TATATCAAAACAAATGAACTTAAAAACAGTTAAAGTTCAGACATGACACATTGCTATAATTACATTATTAATCATTTCGCAACATTTATTATGAAATGTCGAACACAGTTCTTGCATAAAGTACAAAAATAATGAATTATGTTATATTGTATTGCACGTTCTAGTAGACAGAGACTTACTTGCTCTGACACAGAAATATATATATACACATATATATATTTATATATAAATGTATGTGTTCATATGAGTTGATGTTTACATATATTTATTTTGTGTGCTTTGTATATTCACGTGCAATATTTGCTTGTCCAGGCTATCGACTTTTTGATTAGCGGGTTCTGCATCAAATGGAGCGTTAAAGAATTAAATTACCGGAACTCCAAGCACTCTATTACAGAAACACGACATGGAATCAACACTGAATTATGCAGTATATACATAAATACATACAAACATATATTTAAATATATATATTTATGTGTTTTGATACAATTGCAGCTGGTTTGTAATAAAATAAATGTGTACCGCATCGAAAAGGGGCGACTTCTCCGAATTTATATAAGCTGAGAAATTTGATGAAAATAGTTAATGGTTTTTGTGCAAAGTATTTAACAAACTGAAGGAAGCATGTATGTTCTTGGTCAATATGAACAATCGAGTCGATCTAGGCATGTCGGTCTGTATGAACAAGCATATCTCAGAGTTAGAGACTATTTTTTTTAATATAAGCCCCCGTATATCATGCGCATATCAAGTTAATTTAATTTTATCGATAACTGCCCCTGTTTTGCGAAATTCAATTTAAAAACATATATTTCCAATAGCAATAAATGACACGATTTTAAAAGTAGCCTTCTAATTAATGTAAATATAACTTGATTTATTATTATTGACCAACTGTACAAATTTCATCAAGATCGAATAAGAAAAAGCCATGATCATATCGATCTCAATTATGTATAAATGTATAATAATCGAATCTTGCTTTAGTATAAAAATATAATATTGTATGTATTTACCACCTTAGGATACTCACCGGTCTGTTGACAAGACACTGTAGACTAAGGAGTCACCTGGCAAAACTGGGTATATATAGTAGCGACCTGTGCAGGTTTTGTGAAACAGAGGAGGAATCCTCGATACACATGCTGGCAGAGTGTGTTGCCTTAGCTAGAAGAAGAAGCAGCCTCCTAGGGGCGCATGTTTTGAAATGCAAAGACATAGAAGACCTCAACCCAACAAAGATCCTCGTATTCGTGCGGTAGTTGGGGCTGATGGAAGATGTATAAGCTCAGAAGGGGGCACAATAGATCAAATAGGTCGCGGTGCAGTTTTTCCCCCCTAGTAATAATAATAATAATAATGTATTTACCAGCGTATATTTATGGTATCTCCTAGTCAAGCTAAGCACCTAGAATAATTCAAATTACGATACACAATTTTCAATTTGGAATAATCTAAAAATTAACTCCCAAAAAAATCACATATGGATAATTGAATATTTTTCACTGCCATTACTTTGTCAAAAGACAAGAGTTTATTGCTGTTTAGAAAGCCAAAGCTGAACTAAACAATTGCAAATTCCCTGCAGCTGTAAAATCAGCAGTAAAGTTAAACTTAAATAAAATTATACGATATATCAAGCATACATGTTCAACTACTATTTGTTGTTTGATGTTTGCCTAATGCTTTATTTGCTTATGGAAAAGTTTCATCAATGGAATCTTTCAGGAAATTTCGAAGCCACATTGTAAAACTTTAAGCAAATAAAATACGAAAGTCACTTCTGATGTGCATTTGCAAGCTGCTGTTTGTACTCAATTTGATCAAAGAAATGCAACTTATTTTGATTTAAACCAGAAACCATATTTATATCATACACATCCTGCTTATGACGATGGGGCAAAGTAGCCATTATTACAACAGCTTGTAAGTGATAGAATCATCTTATCATCCAAGCCAATAAAAGACTTAAAAATAATGAGAAGGGTTACACATTGTGACGGTTATTTTTCGTGATGCGTCAAAGTTATGTGTCCGCTCTGCTGTTCTATTTCTGTTTCTTGGCACAAAATGCCGAGTAATGTAAAACAGCAGTAATATAAAATATGTAGTCCCTTATACGAATTCCGACGGTGGCATTTTCTGCTTCAAATATTTGTCGTGCACACATTGCAGAAGGCAGGCTCAAAGTTACACCGAGCTTGCCACGCTCAGCTCCATTCAGCTCCAGGTAAGCACAGCCCTGCTCACCTATGTTTGTATGTATGTAAGTATGCCCTTCTCATATTGAAAATATTCACGAAAAGCTTGTAAACTTTGTGCACCCTCATAGCGCACAGCAAAAGTGGGTTAAAAAGGGAGCAGAGGGGGTTTCGGCTCTGGTCACGCTGACAGAGCTTATTATGGTTGCTTTTCAATGTTTTCAAAATTCACTTCACGCAAGAATTCCTTTTGTTCTTATAACATATTTCAAATTAGTTTGTAACATGTAATACATACTCGAAGTAGTTGCTGTTTCTGGTGCTTCTGCTACTGCTGCTGCTACTGCTGCAGTGTTGGCATGCTTCTATAAACATGTACATGTTTTTGAGTATCTCACAAATATGAACAATATAAAATGTTCATTTACACGCACATAGACCAAATTTCAAAATTGTCTCCACTTTCACAGTTTCTCTTGACACTTCCTCAATGACAGCGTCAGTTTGATAAACATGATAAATCGTTTATATTACAACGGACTTAAGTATATCTTTGCCAATCGCATGCCAATCGCAAGGGGTTTGTCTAAGTTCAGCATTGCTTCGTAAACACATTAACTGGCAACTAAATATTCCGGAAATTCACTTAGCTTGTGACCATAAGCACCAGATACTCACATAAATACAAACAGACTGACCAAAACGCATTAAAGCAGCTCTTCATTATCTCCCTCTGAAAAAAAATATAAAACCGAATTGGCCAAGTTAGTCGCGATTTTGTCTCATTATTTCTGACCCTGAAACCCATGCCTTACTTTTTAACAATTTTTTTAAAATACGGAAAATCTTTGTCTATGATTTCACAGATATACAAAAATAGCTTAATCTCGAGCATATCATTTCAGAATTTCTAAGGATATTAAAGTGCTTGAGAATCGTAAGAACTAATTGTATCGAACTGCATTGTCGGATTATGGAGTCTTCTGAGAACAGTGAGTCGGAAATGAGTCGAAATCACAAAATTCCTGGTTTTTCGGAGACTACAGCTCATTGGTAAGTTTGACATTCAAGCTTAAAAAATAGGTAATCCACGTAGATAGAATATCTACTTACTTCTTACGATATTCCCCTTAACATTAAGATAGATAAATTAAGCGACCAAAATAGTATATTAGATAATCGATGCACAGAAATGCTGCTAAGAAAAATTAGTATTTATACAAATTATTTTGGAATACCATTGCACTGCGTAGCTAGAAAAATTAAATTTGCCTTCTTTAGAGTAAATTAACCCTTTCATGATCAATGTGCTGTCTGTAGGCAACTGCAATGTTTTTTTTTATTAATTATTTAAATGACCGGTTTGTAATAACATTAAGAATAAAACGACATCAAATACTATTTCAAACACCCAAATTAATTCGGTTCTGAGAGGGTTATGTATACTAATCAACCAAAATATACCTTCTGATATTATCCAAGTCGTAAAATTTCATCGCTGATTAAGGAACCTTTTAATTGGCAAGATGGTAAATCAAAAGAAAGATCTTATTCCATAATTGAAAAAATTCTGCATCCTTTCTTAAACTGATTATGCTAACTAGACAGCCAGCTACCACAAGAAGAAATAGTAAAAAAAAACAGCAATTTTATAAATTTTTACACAACAACTTCGTTTTAATGTTCTATTCCAATTGACAGTACAAATTGAGCTCGACTTTTAAATATCGTATTTCGAATTCGTCTTACGAATGACATTTTCCATTTTTAGCAGATATGCGCTCTCACACTTGGTCTTATAATTAGGGCTTAGAGTGTATGTTGTACAAATAATTGAATTGCTACAGTGTTTTTTTGATTATGTCTTTAGAAATTCAATGATTGTTTTGTGTATTGAACTTCACACATACAGTAGTAACATAACAGTATAAAACGACTATTATTAATTATTTGGCTTACATTAAGATGGTATGAAGATGTACGTTTTAATATTCGTGAATCTCTCAGTCTAATAATACTATTGATATCTTGAGACATGCATACATACAAATATATTGTGCATATTGTGAGGTCTACTCGAATTGATATTTTTCTGTAATTCATACAAAATATTTTGTTGGAATGTTGTGTTATGTATGTGAAAGAAATATTTTTGTATTCGTTGTATAAAGTATTTCATTCGCATTATCTACTGCTTAACTTAGATAATCTAATATGCAATCCCAACACGAAATAGATCAATTTCAAGATCTACCAAAAATTGTGCTTACAGCTATTGTTTGTGTATGAAGTAAATTTATAGTCATTATTAATATTACTACTATTACTATTATTCATTCATTTCAAAATTGTATTCCATTGTATAGGTGATCTCACATCAATTTCAATTTTTCTTACATCTAAATCTTTCAAATAATTGTTTGCATACAACTATCAATTGACTATATACTTAAATGCGATACTGTCATCCAAAATTTAACATAATTATTGCAATGTGGAAGAAGCAAAATCTGCCCAGAAATCCACAATGGCCAAATTGACTCACATAATGTGAACAACAGGCCCAAACAGCATCTTTTATTGAACTAAAACAAACAGGGACTTACGGCTTACTAAACCTACTTATCGTATTCCAAATTGAAGTTTATTTCAAATAAATAATTGAAAAATTGCATATTGCAGATTGCTTAACATGCCACAGATGCCACAAAAAGTGATTGCAATCTGTAAATGTGAATAAAATGAAGCACATACACAAAAGTATACACATACATATATGTATATATATATGGCTTATGTAATTGTGGTCTTTGTCATTATTTAACACTTAAGATATGTCGAAGCACTGGATCGCATTAATATGATTTAAACGTTCTGATGGTCAAGTTAAGACTACACTATCGAATTATTTATACCAAATGGCAAAATATGCACTACTTACATTCATAAACATTTTATAATCATTTTGATGATAATTGCAATATTTGAATTAGTAAATAGTTGTATGTTATAAATGCATTAAACCTGGTTATTATCTTGGAATTAATCTTGCACAATACTTATACATTTAAATTTGGCTAACCCGGTCAGTGAAGGCAGACGGAGGACTAACATGCTTCTCAGTTAAAATGTAATCTAATTGCTCAATTTTTGGATTCTTATGCAAGATGCTGTTCTCAGCCGAGCTATTTTCCATTTGATATTTGTGGTCACTCATTGTGGCACCCATGGCCAAGGTTTCCGTGTTGCTCAATATCTCCATGGCATGGTATTCGAATGATCTATCCGCATCCTTCGATACCTCCAATAAATCTAATGATTCAATACTGTAAATATGACGATGATGACTGATGAACTCACGTTGATCCCCTCCACTATTCATTAATAATTCTCCATTCGTATCACCATAGCTCTGATTATAGCATGTTATTGACGAAGAACAACCGAGCTTATCTCTGTCCTGCGGCTTCAGTTTTTCAATATATGAGCCCGGTTGGGCAATTGGTCGGGAGATGCCCTTGTTTTCCCCACAATCGCGATTAAGGGAGCTGCTGTTGGTATTACTATCGGTACTTTTGAATCGCTGGCGACTGGATACACTTCGGGACACATCTGAACATTGGGCTGGACCTTTGACAGATTTAATTGTGCCAACTTTCCGCTGGGAATCGCAAGAGTTCGCTGATTTCCGCTGCTGCTTTGCGGACGACTCAATGAGCCGGTAGTCGATGGGCACGATGTCCAAAATGCTATGACAATAATTACATAATTAGTAGAGTTTAATACTGTTTGAATCGAGAACATTTTCCGGCTTGCCGAAGACTACAATCTCCAAATTATATACACCAAAGTTCACCTACACAAATCTTAAAAAATATGAGAATAGAAGCAGACAGGTAGACAGACAGACATATGAATATATATATAGATTTAGCTGTATTTACTTTAAGTAAGTAAGTAAGTTAAAAACTTGATTTCATCTATATAATCAAATCTAGTCTAGCCTTGAAAGCATATCCAATTTTACAGTTTCTTTCTGGTACAGGAATCGTAAATATTGATTAAAGTCGGAACAGAAAGCTCTTAATAACTGGCGTTCTTATTCTAAATTCGAATAAAACAGATTAGGTACTAACTTACTATGCAGTTGAGGTCTGCTAAATACCGAAGACCTATCTTTACCAATTCCACCATCGTTTCTTATTTTCCGGCCATGTGCTAAAAAAAGAAAATGCAAATTTAATAACCAATATTAGTGAACATTAAATATAGATACCTGTTAGACCCTCATCATCTATATAGGTAGTAGTCTCAAGGATACTTCGATTATCGTCTCGAATACGCTCTCCACTAATCTCACTATCACTATTTAAGCTATCGTACTCCTCCGATTCGGACTTTATAATCTTTGAGCGACGCTTCAGTCGCTTCTCCGTGTTTAGATGGTTGCTCTCATCCGAGGAGGCAACTATCACGCTCGATAGCTTCACATTAGCATTGATGCCACCCACACTAGTGGCCATGATTCGTTTCCCCTTTGCCCCCGAGCTGCACAAAGTGTTTTCGTCCTCACAGCCTCGAGACTCGTACTTTGATGGATTGCCCGTGTAGCTTAGAGGTATATTTCCAGATTGGTTTTCATGCTCGGGCAAATGGAATGTGGCATATGGATAAATATCCTCCGAGTATTCGGGTATACGCTCGAGACCAGCAACCGATTCTGGTGGAGATTGCTGGCACGATTTGCGTACAGTGCCATAGAAGTGTTCACGACTCTGAATATCCTTTCCATCGACGACACCAATCTGTGGCCTGAGTGAGTCCACATTACGTGAAAATAATGTACGCGGACCTGTCAAATATAATGTTTTTACTTATTGTTCCGTTTTAACACTTACATTTAATACTCACAGTTTTTGAAGCAGATAAAAGCTCCAAGCAGGGCAAGAATTGTGCCAAAAATGGATGTTATGATAACAGCAATAAAATGAGCATCGGTAAACATGGCTTGATCATCAGGTATTTCCTCCGAGTCCGAGCTGCCAGTAAATCCCATCAAATGCTGTGTCTCAAAATAAAACTCCTTTGTAGTTGAGCCAGCATTATTATTGGCAGTTACGCGCAGATTGTAGGCGGTTCCTGGCTCTAAATCCCCGATATTGTAACGGCTCTGTAAAGAATTATAAATATAAAATGTAATTTATTTATATAACGTTTTCTTTTTTAATAACTCACATGTGTTTCAATTTTATTTGAGACTATAATCCAGTCACTAGAAGATTTGTAATGCTTAAACTCGATACTAAAGTGGAGTATGGGGCAGCCACCATCTTGCCACGAAGACAAATCCAAGACAACCGATGTTGTATTCGCTCGTATAAAACTCTGTTTTTGTGGTGCAAATGGCTTATTGCCTGTAAACACAGAAATAAGCAATGTAAATACTTTCCATTCTATATAATATTTTTCAGATATTACCTTTAGTTTGTGCCGATGCTATAGCGCTGGTCGCACTGGTTCCGATTTTATTAAAGGTATTCATGGTCAGCTGATATTTGGTGCCACATTGCAGATTCTCGAGCATATAGGAAGTGATGCGTCTATCGATTTGGATCTCGTCCCATTCAGCTGATTCTCGGCGATAGGTTAAAGTAAAGCCGCGAATGGGTGCACGGCCAATGTCATCAACTCTCCATTGAATGGACACCGAATTCTTGTGAACTGAATTCACAGAAACATGCGCAGATGGTGGAACTAAAATAAAAGAAACCTCAATTATTTAAACTAAATCGAAAAGATTTAAGCTCAAATTCTTACCTTGAACATAGAGTTGATAAACTATATGATCGGAGCCGGCAGAATTTTTGACAACGCATGAATAGTTGCCCTCGTGGGATCGTTGGATATTGCGTAGACTCAGAGTATTATCATTGCTAACTTCCAGCTGGTACTGCTGCTTGGAGCGTGTATTTAGGATCTTCCATTCGGCATTCGATTTGGGATTCCCAACATAGAGACACGGCAACTTGATGTCCGATCTCCAAGTGACGGACAGCGTCTGACTGAAGGATACAATGGCAGCGGGTATCGAAGTGCTCGGCACTAGTTTGATTACCGGTGTACTTGGACCCTGGCCCACTCTTGTGGATGCTGTTACCCAAGCCTCGTATGTCTCCCGAAAATTAAGATCTCTTGCCTCGAAATGTCGATTGTGTGCCGGCAACATCTCTTTCATTATTTTCAACTCCTGTCCCTTTTCCAGGACACGTATATAAACATTGTATTTGGTAATTAAGCCATTGGGTCTTCGTGGTGCTAGCCAACTAATAACCACTGAGGATTCGGTGTTCACAGCAGACTTGACCAGCTCGGGTGCATCGGGCACTGCCTCCTCCGTAACGCAGGAGACAGCCGGACTTGTGACACCCTCACCGGCTCGAGTGAATGCCAGGACCTGAACACTATAGTTGGTGAACGGTTGCAGGCCATGGAGCACTGTGCTAAGTGCGGATGTAATCTTCGTTTCCCTCACGCTATATTCACTCTCTAGGAAACCGGGCTCGTAGAGCAGCTTGTAGCCCTGAATGATGCCATGACTCAATTCCTTTGGCGGCGATTGCCACGATATTTGTATATTTTGCGCGGTGAGTGCAATGCATGACACGGATCGGGGCGCCGCGGATGGAGCGTCCTCCAAAGTGTGACCCAGGGCCACATCGCTTGGCGGTCCATCGCCTTTGATATTGAATGCCGACACAGTGATGCCATATTGCGTATACTTCACCAATCCAGTCAAGCGAAAATCATTTATGCCCTCGCTAATTAGGCTGCCAACCTTCGTGTGATTTTTACCACTATCTGGAGTACCTTGCCTCTGATACGAAATTGTGTAGCCCAATAGTTCGCCATTCCACGAATCTCGCACCGGCGCTCGCCACGTTATAAGCAACTATTTGTGTGGAGAGTAGCAAAAGAAAGCAAGAAATTTAATTAAATGTCTAGAATATATGTAAGTTATAAATATATCTTTACACAAATGAATATTCTTTAGCAAAAGCTCTGCTTCTACTTCAATTAAAAAAAATCGTCCTCAAACTTTCAAAATCGCAATGAATAATAAATAATAAGACAAACGAAAAAAATTTCTTTAAATTAAAAAGACTGTTTTCTATTTCATATAAATGTTTTTTATTATTAAGTAAATTTCTAAAAAGGTTTAAATTAAAATAAAGTAACAAAAAGCTAATATAAAAACTCTGTGTAAACTTAAAACAAGCGCTGGAAAATAGGTATAAATTTAATAAAGACTTGCTGAATAATAAGGTGAGCTACTCTTGACCTAAAGCGTGACTTGCTAAATTAAAGGAGTATCTGAGTATACCCTTAGTAAATACTCTTTCGATTTATCAGCTTCGCTTACCTGCTGTGGCCCAAGTGGCTCGGCAGTCACCTCTTGCGGCGGAGCAGATGGAACCTCGGAGTCTGTTTGCACGAAGAGAACATCGCTTGGAGCACTGGTGCCCAAATGATTTTCGGCAAATAGTCGTATATGATAAACTTGTGCAGGCCGAAGGGAACCCAGCTGGGCCGTAGTTCTATCGCCAGGCAGAAGCTTCTGATTGTTATGCTCGTGCCAAACATCTAACAAGAGAATTTTAATAGTTAACAACAAATATATTTAATTATTGGCAGTACGCACCTCCAGCTTTCTTATATTGTAGAATGTAATTCGATATTGGTTGTGCATCTCGATTATTACCGCCACCTCCGCCCAAAATGATCGAGTCCTGATCATTCGGGGACCATGCCAACGTTACCGAACGACTGCCCAGATCTCTCACGTGCAAATTAACTGGGAAATTTGGTGGCTCCTGCACTTGGACAATAATCACACTCCTATCCCGTCCATAAGCATTGTTGGCTATGCAAGTGTATTCGCCGCGATCCGTGAGAACCGTTTGCAGTATAGTCAGCTCAGAGGAGACGCCACGAGCCAGGGGCGAGTTCTTGATATGGTATCGTATATCATAAGATGGATCAATGCGACTGGCCTTCGAGCGCCACGATATGTCCAAGGGCTGATCTCCGTTGGCCTCACAACGCAATGTGATGCGTTCGCCACGACGAATTGATAACTGCTTTTTCGCAACGGTAACTGAGGGACCAACTAAAAAAGACAAAGGACATCAATTCCAATTTAAATTGTAAGTTATCTTTAAGCATTCGTGCTTACCATGCACAGTCAACTTAATCAGTGTGCTCAAACCGGCGCCAATGCCATTGCTCGCCTGGCACAAATAACTCCCCTCGTGCTCTCGAGATACCTTCGATATGATGAGGGAACCATTGGAATTGGCCACAATTGAGGAATGTGAGTTTCCATTGCCAATATCATAGCTAAGATCCCGATAATCACCGGAGTCACCTTTACATACATTTTATTATTATTTTTATTTTTCTTTAATTATAATCTAAAGATCACTTTTATACCTATAGACTGTTTCCATTGTATGGTGGGTATGGGAAATCCATCGGCCTTACAAGATACCATTACTGGATTTCCTAGGATTGCGTCTTGATCAGTGGGCTTTAATATCCATCGGGGTGGTACTAATTTTTAAATTTAATTAATGACTTAGAATTTATTTAGAATGCCAGTTTAACATGCAAAATATCCATTACTTATTACGACTTCATGCTAGTACTACACATAATATATACAATATCAAAAATATTTTATCTATATTTATTTACAAATGAAATTTTAATAATATTTTAATAATGGGCCCGGCTCAAGCTATGTCCAATATATAAATATCCAGTTTAAAGCTGCATTGGAAATGTGAAGAAGGTAACTTATACTCAGATTTTTAGCCGTCGAATCCTTGGTATTAAAAACATTACCATTTTAAAAAATACAAGAGTCACATATAGGATAGGAGGATCAAATGAAAATTATTCACTTGACAATTCCTAAAGTTAAGTAAAAGCAATAAATAACTAAAGTATTACGTTCTCGCACGTTAATAAAAACTTCTCGTAAAATAATACAAATAAAAAGATAAATAAAACAAAAATGTTTAAAGTTTTTTCGATGTTCATCGCAAGATTGAAAAGATTTGCCGTCCACGATATGATATATATTATTTTTAACTGCTTTGCTATGCAAAAAAATAGAATTGCTTTGACTTCAGTTGAACTACTAACGAAGAAACAAAGCAAATTGAAGCACCTTTAAAATTATTTTAATTGTTCAAATGAAATTGAACAATCTTTCAAAAAGCTCTGTAAAAAATGCCATTATACATGCGACTTATAATTATGTGGGTGGTTTCAAGTAAACTTTTGGTTCACAGGTATACGAGCAAGTGGGTGCAGAAGTGCCGAGTGCATTGTGCTCAGTGCATCAGTCTCCTATATTTTTGAATACCGGCTTAGAAAATGCGGTGAAGGTCGAGTTTGGCTACGTTTACTGGAAAGCTGCGAAAAAATATCCCAAAATGTATGCTACGATTTTGTTGATTCCCTCGAATTAGAATTTTGCAACGAATTGAACCAGAAAAATATTCAACATCTGTCTATATACATAGTAAATCTTTTATAAAAACAATCAGTCAGGGTCCTAAATATTTTTTTAATGAAATTTGGTTGCCGGTAGATTATCGCCGGTCTCGAAAGATATGCGTTTGACCTTTTTTTTATTACCGTTTCAAACACAAGAAATTGTAGATGCCTTCCATCAAAATAAATCTATTTTTAATTCAATTCTCACAATTTTTAACCAGAAGTCGCATAAGTAAAAATTTACAGATGTTTCCATCCATCGGCTACTGCAAGTGCATTTGTTGTTGATCTGTAAATATTCTTAATCAATAAGTCATGTGAATTTGTCAAAAACGATTTGTAACCAAAATTGAGTCTGCACAATTATGCAGAGCACCCGATGTAGCCAAAACACATACATATCCTGAGAGACCAGAAATTACTAATTATAGATAAACATGGGTCTATGGATGACCAAATCCAAATCGTAATAGTATCTGGGTAAGTGAAGTGAAGTGAAGTGAATCCTCCTGGTGCAGTTTCTACGATATTTACGGTGAAATTTGTTTTGTTCTTGTGCAAAGTATTTTACATTTCAATATACTAGAATTAGAGCTCGTTTGTTTTTTTGTTTTTTATTTTTAAGTTTTAGAAAACAATAGTTACACTTGATTTACCCGAAACCGAAAGAACAGCTGTATAATCAACAGTACCAGCATGGTTGGCCACACTACAAGTGTAGTTACCATTGTGCCCCGAGGAGACGTTGTGTATGGACAATATGCTGGAGAATGGGGTATATTGATTGATTGTCAACGACGGATCCGGTGGTATAAATTCTTCGTTCGGTCTTGTCGTCAATGGTTTGATGACACCGGTTGTGCTTGTCGTACTTAGAATCGGTAATTTATTTCTCTGCCAAGTTATATTGAAAGGTTGATCTCCTTGGCTACTGGAACACATTATTTGTGTCCGCATACCTTCGGTTATTTCGTCTTCAAAAGCAAAAGGAGAGATGCGCGGAGGAACTAAACAATTGGAATCCAAGAAAAATAAATCAAAATGAATGCAAATGATTTGAACTTCATAATACAGTTTATCAAGAACCTAGGAATACTTGTTTGTAAGTAAACACCTGAGAAGCCAGAGACATACTTATCTCTATCACTGTACAGTGGACACAAATGAATATATAATTGATTTCAATTCAATAATTCCAAAAATAAAGTAGAATTGCTGGAAAATCTTAAATGAGTTTTTAATAAATACAAATTTAAATATCCTTAAAAAGAAAATTTTACATGCAGTCTTTAATCTGTATTTTTAAAGTATTATTGAATATTAATTAGTATTGAAGTGATCCCAAAAATCCCACATAAAGTGTTATTCTCTTTTATCAAACAATTGAAAATTATAAACTAAAATAAGAAAAATACAATTTAGCCAATTTTTAGATGAATATTTTAAAAATATGCATAGTTAAAATATTAAAATTTAATTTCATATTTTGCTTGTCCAAACATTTCCAATTCATACAAAAATGTGGTCAATTAAAAGCAATTTAGTTTAATATTTTAAATATTATAAATAAAACTAAGGAGCTGTTGCTGCCTTTAGTTTCCAATGTTGTATTTTTTATGTAAATAGTTTATTTATAATAAAAAGTTATATTTGATTAGGTAGCAACTACATCATGCATAAATAGTTTAACAGCAAGTTTTAAATATGTGCACATAAAAAAAGAATATATTTAGAAGATTCATTCAGTTTAAAGTGCTATTAAAAACTATTAAATTAATTGTCGTAAGCTGCTGACAAACAAATCAATTAGTGATTAGATATTTTAAAATGCATGACGAATTAAAAATTGTGATCAACTTATGTATCTAAGTGATTATATCGAATACGGGCATATCTAAATATTGAATAACCATTTCGAATATGCAACTATATTGCAGAAAGAAAAAACCAAGGAACTAAATAAGAAAATGAAGCTTTCACAAGTACCATTAACTTTGAGCTGTGCAGAGTGCGTTACAGTAGCGGCATCGTTTTGGACGCGACACGTGTAGGTGCCACTTTGGTCCCTCGTCACACTTGTGATGCTGAGGGCGCTTGTAAAATCATCATTTTGGCGAATTGTCACTTGGCCGCTACTTTCACCACCACTACGACCATTGTCATTCGGTGCGATGTGTTCGATCGCTGATGCCGACGGTGACATGCTAGATGAATACTGCGACAATCCGGAGCCGGAGCCGGAGCCGGAACCGGAGCTGATGCCGGAGCCAGTGCCGGAACCCAATACAGCAACGCCACCGGTACCCTTAAGCCCACCGCTGACACCGCTGTCGGCCACACTGCCCGCCGCCATTGGCAGTGCCTTCCCATCCTTCAGCCAAGTGAATGAAAGCGGCAGGTCCCCGGTGCCAATAACGCACTGAATGCTGGTGCGGTCACCGACGTTCAAATCGCGTGCGAATGAGAATGGTGTAATCTTGGGTGGAACTGCATGGATTTTGATTTTCATTTGAGTATTTTTGCATTTTTGTGGAAGAAAGAATAAACGTTTCCATTTTCTTTGAGGCACTTCATTTGGCTTTCTTATGAAAATCAATTTTGTTTTTTGTATATCTAATTTCAATTAATGTATTACTTTAAATTTGGAAAAAAAAAAATATTATAACTATTCTTAAAATGTGGACTCATTTGAAATTGTTTCTTTCATAGCTGCCACAAAACTCGCTTTAAAAAAATATATATTAAATAGTTGTCAGTTTACAACTATAGATATTATTATTATATGTGGACTATGCCAATTAATATGTTCACTAAATGACTGAAAGCGGGATACGAATATATTTGTGTATTTAAAAGAATTCTTAAATTCATCACTGTTCTTATTATCTACACTCCAGATACTGACTGACCACAAAATCAAATCAAAACTATTCAAATAATAGAGAGAAGGTATTTCATCAATACAAGTAATATGTAAATATTATTCCTGAATTCACACCTGCGGTTATGTAGACGGCAATAAATATGTATGAGTATGAGTCAAATATGCTTCGCCTACTTGGTGTTATAAAGTAGTCTTTTTGTGGGTGTACTAAAGGTATAATAAGACTAAGTCTGGGCCGGAGAATAGTGCCTGAATGCTAAAAGACATTTCATATTAAATATATATAGTTGGTAAATATGCTAAAAAAAATATATAAGTATTTTTAGATATGTTCTATTTGGAGCAGAACAAATGAAAACCCATCAAAAAGACTACCAAATAAAACACCTGCGAAGTATGATTAACTGGCTCCAACTCAAAACGCCAAATTGAGGCTTTTTAGCCCATAGGTCATAGGTTACTGGTTACTGGCAGTCAACGAGATTTCGAGCAATTACAACTCACAACTGTGGCGATAGAAACCCTGAAAAAATACCGCGCATGCCAAAGCAAGTGCAAGTGCAGTTGTTTAGGATTACCAAATGCAAATGCAAGTATAATAATTATTGTAGTTATTATTGTTATCATATTTAAGTGCAGTGAAAAAGTGCGTGAAACGGTGCATATTATACAGAATATTAAAAATCGATATGAGTACAAAACTATTATTATTATTATTATATTAAGAGTGTGCGTACGGTTGCTTCCAAAAAACATACCACAATTAATATTGAGATTGAATTATTTGGTTCATAGAAAAACGTTCATTCAGTATAAAAATCATCAGAGACTTTCAATGCTGTACTTACATACCTATTTAATCAATAACAATACTTAAACTTACATACTACATTTGAAATTCAGGCAGTCGATTATATCCGACTGCGATTTTCTTATTTCTTTAACTTAGTTTAAGCTTCCGATTCAATTTTCAGCAGATGCTTTGCGAATATATCCATAAGTTATTTGGTAGAATCTTTACTAATAACAATAATAATTTTGCTTAAATTACCCAGAAGGGAGCGTGGTGCGTGCATTAATCTGCAAAACTCATCTATGCACGTGCAATTTGTCTAATTGATTGGTAAATTGATTGCCCTAAGTGCAAAGATGGATTAATATGAATGTACATAAATTCATGCACTTGTGAGAAAATTTGGTCGAATGCGGTTTAGTTTTCTCTCAAGATATAAAAGTATATGTGCTTAGAAATACCATAAAATCATTTATATATTAAACCAATTAAATTCTTTTGTTGGCTTTTAACTTAAAAGTAAATAACTTCTTAACTATTTAATATATTTGTTATTATTTAATTATAATTTAAACTATAATTCAAATGTTGCAAGTTGTATCCCTTCTTTTAGAATATTGAGTACACATTATTATATATTAATATATAAATATATAAAAATATAAAAGTAATAAAATGATTTATAAAATTAATTCACTTAAAATCGTGATAGATCTAATACTTAATATACAAAACTCCCCAAAGACTTTGTTTTATATTATTTAAATAAATTTAAATATGTAAAAATAAAAATAAATGGGAATAACCTTTAGTTCAGGAGAGTTTTCGATACATACCCAATACTTTGACTTCGACTGACCGCTGCGATGTATAGTTGTGTTTGTTTCTTGCAACACAGGTGTATGTGCCCTGATCGGCGGCACGTTGCACGTTTTCAATCACAAGCGTTCCATTTTGGACACGCTGTCACATGTTGATTGGCAATCTGATGCCATCTGCAACAAAAAAAACAATTATCGATGCTGTTATGGCTGCTATGGAAATAAATCATACCTTTCTCGATATAAACACTTTCAATTGGATATCCGGCAATGGGGCATTTTAATGAAAACACTTTGCCAGCGACAGCAGATATCTTTGGCATATGTCGTATGTAGGGCATGCCTTAAATAAATTATTACATTATTTTACTTTATCTATAATTTATGATCAATATTTGTTATAAACGGACTACAAACAAACAAGAAGACAAAGAGATAAGCAGCTATTGATGGTTGATAAATTATAATAAATCCTCAAGTTCTGGGGATTTTTTAAAATTATTTGTATTCATACCATAAATATTTAAACGAGCAGAATTTGCCACTTCACCGGCTCGGGAAATCGCTTTACACTCGTAATCGCCTCCGTCCTCTGATTTGACTGCTGATATGTTAACGTGGCTTATAACATCACCAAATGTGGTAACATATTGACCAATCATAAGGCGGTCATTCTGAGAGGCATATTTGATAAATATTGATAAAATAAATATGGAATTTTATATATAAACCATATTTACAATACTTACATTAGGCAGAGGAAACCCATCCAGGAGCCAGACAATTTTGGGTGTTGGATTACCACTGGCGCTGCACTTAAGTGAAACTGAAGGTCCTGGCTGCATTGTTTGCTCAATGAACTTGTAAAGCAGTTGAGGTGCCACCTCTGAAAGAATACAATATTTAAATAAAAGAAAATATTTGAAATGAATTTAAATATTAATTTCATTTTTAGTTTCTTCAATACGCACCTCCCAATCTTAACTCGGCTGAACTCTGGCTGGACTCTACATCGTTTTTGATCACACACTGATACATTCCCTTATCCTCCTTGATGATGGATGTAATACGCATATGTTCCTTGGACAGGAGACGCACACGTGCCCCAGATCGCAGTGGTTTGCCATCCTTGAACCACGATATTTGTTGTTTCGGAAATCCAGATGTGCTGCAAATCTATGAAACTCCATTAGGTGATTTGTTGTTCTTGGTCCAACCATTGTGGCTTAAATAGGTCACTTTACTCACTAAATCGGCAGTATGACCCAGATTCACAGTCTGTATTCTTGGCTGCACGCTAGCGGTTAAGGGCGATGAAACTGCCAAATCCACCTCCAGCGTTTCACTGCCTTCCGAATTGGTAACAGTACAATAAAAAATACCATTATCCGCTTTTGCAACTGCCGATATGATAAGAGTGCCATCTTTAATCTTGGCCCGCCCAGTCGCAAGCATATGTTGAATGGACTCCTCGATGTTTGATCGTGTTGTACGCCATCTGTAGATGAAATATAATAACATCATTTGTATATCTTGAAGAGGCATGCTTGCAAATTAACAATATGCTTGTCAGACCTGCCACAAAAGTTGTATAATTTAATGAATGCCTGTTCTTGAAGTTTTTCAGTTTCAATTCACAAAAAAAAAAAATGCATTCGAGTTTTTGTGCGGACGAGTTTGGCACAGAAGTCAGGGTCTGTTTGTTAGCCACAGTATGTGTGTATAAAAATACGAATTTATGCATACATACATACATACTATATGTATATATATATAGATATATGTTTGCAATATATCATAGAGCAATATGCATAAAAGTAAATGAAATAAATGAAAAAAAAATGCTTGCCACTCTTATGCTAGAATACACTTGTATGTACATTAGATACATACATACATAGATGCATACATATATTGTACATACGTAGATTTGGTCATGAACGTCAAGTGTGGACCCGCAATCTAGCAGAGTTCCAGACAGACAAACATACATGGGTACATACATGCACATGTACCTAAATGAATGTCCTTTCATCCATATCCCCCTCTCAAATGGTGGCAAACCCAATACATATATATATAGCAGTTTGGATGTATGTACGTACATGTGTGTGTGTGTGTGTGTATGTGTGGTACATGTATGCAATCACACACCACAAAGTCACAAGCCAAAGGAAAACATCATGCAGAAAAACTCAAGAGGAGAACATTGCAAATAAAACAAAGCAAACCCTAACATCGTTGACGACTCGTCGGCTAAACGCTTGGATATGTATATGTATGCATGAGTACATGCATGTTTGTGTGTGTGCATATACAGTGGCTCACAGCATTAATGAAACATTGCATGCAATGTTTGAATAAACACTTAAAGCTGCTGTGGATGCCAAAAAAAATAATACTGTCTGAGATAAACATAAATAAATATATTATATTATGAATATGAACTCGATCTCATTATTATTTATTTTATTAATAATTATTATTATCAAAAATGTTGTCAAATCAAAACTTTAAAACTGTTCTACAACTCGGCATTTCCTGTTTATATATATTTTTTTTAATTTTCGTTCTATATATTTGATTACGCTCTACAGCAACTGGATGTCCTGCATATGGATTGGTTCATTTTTAGCTGTTAGCCACTGTATGCACGCCGGATTGGGTACAGCAAAGGCAAAGGCAAAGCCAAAGGCACATACATATGCATATATCCCCCACCCCCCACATATGCACAAAAATACTGTACATGTATGCACCAGATACAGAGGCGAACTCCACATAATTTAAGTGAAGTTGTCAGAGCGTCAGGCTTACCCTATCGGACTCGGGGACTCGGAGATGTTGCCTGAGCGACCCATACCACCACATTGCTGTATATATATATATATATATGTGTGTATGCATGTGCATTTTTATGTATGTTTGTGCATTTGTGAAGATGGCAGAAGTATTGAAACAAATTTAGTTGATATGCTCGAGTGCATTGACATGCCAGAATTTAATCATTTGCTTCTCTCTTAAAGATGGACGATTTATTTTTATGCATGTAGCAAATTATTTTATTACTAATGCATAACGTGCATACATATGTACATATCCTTAAGAAAATGCATTGTTCAAACTAAGACTTTCACAGTATGTTCGTAATTAAAGCTAAAGGGTGCTCAGACCAAAAGAAGGGAGAAGAAATATTTCTATCATAATACAAATATTTATTCTACAAACTAACTAAAAATGTACACAAATTAATTCATTTTTTTGGAATATGTGACTTACTTGTAAGTGGGTTTTGGATTTGCATAAGCAACACATGCCAACACCAAAGGATCTCCAACTCTGGCCATTACCGAAACTGTCTTATCATTCATTATTGGTGGCACCAGTTCCCGCATTTCTAAACAGTATGAATAGGTTTCAGTTTAGCAAATAGTTTACTAATAAGTTAGACAGAAACTTACCTGTTAGTTGAATTTTACCCGCATTGCTGCTGACTATTGAGTCCTGTGTTAATTTGTGATGCGTACGGCAACGGTATATTTTTTGTGAATCATTTCTAGTGATGTTGTATAGTAAAAGTTCCCCCGTCGGCAACATATGATTTTTACCATCTATTGAAGAGCGAAATGTGTTGCAATTAATTAAACATTTGCTGATCTGTAAAATACGCTTACCGCCCTCCAATGATGGATATATATTGAAGTTGGGCTCTTGTAGCCAGGAGGTGACTGTGACATACTCCTTAACAAACGATGGAATATTGCATTTAATCAGAACGTTGCTGCCAATGAATCCACCTGGATTTTGCACCTCCGGTTCATAATGCTGATAGACCACTGGAAAAAAAGAAGAAGAATTCATACGATTTTTTGGTAATTACCAAACAATGTTGCTTTTGAATTCACTTACCTGCTTTAACAACCACATCTCTGGATATAATCGTACCCACGATGTTAGATGCCACACATCGGTAGATCGACCAATGCACATCCTGTCGAAATTCTTCAGCGGAAAATGGTGGAAAATGTAATGAACCATTGGCCAGAATATGTCGAACCTGAAATGAAAGGACCTCATTTTGTAATACGAACTAAAAACATTTCTTTAAGAAAACTTTAAATAACATTTTACAACTTTTTACAACTTAATGCGTTTTAGAGCTACAAACCTTGGATATGGATGTAATGGGATTATTTTCCTTATCTAGCCACTGAACATTCGGCACAGGATTTCCATGAGCTATGCAATTGGCTGTGTTTCCAGCTGTATTCATAAATTCAATTCTACTAGGTGGCTCTAGGGAGAAACTCGGTCCTTGCGTGTCAAAATAATTTGATATCTCTGCAAAAGAAAGCACAAAATATTAATATTTATTTATACTCTGCAAAATACAATTATTTTTGTTGATTTTAATTTCATCTTTGTTTAACACCCCCTAAAATTGATGCACCCCGTTAATTGATGCAAGTGAATGGCGTTTCCTAGTCGAGCACACAGAATTTTACAAAAAAAAAAAACAAATAAAATAAAAAAAAAACGAAGAACAAACACGCCAATGTTGTTTACATCCCATTTCAAAAGACTTTCACACACTCCACCGCTAAGGGAGAATGCGACCATCCCTTACAGAGGCAACGAAGGTATGATGAATACTTTTTTAAAGAAGCACGCAGCTTTCATACATTTTGAGATTACATTGCGATAAGGTCTGTGTGTGTATGTAATTGCAATGTAGATTAAACGATACACTAATTGGTGCGATTGCATCTCTCTATATTAAACTGCTTGAGTTAATTTTGCCACATAAACGGTTTATCTATGCAGTGAAGGGCTTATACTCTGTTGCCAAGTGTAAATAGAGAGTATATTGGTGCATTTTATGTCTATGCACTAATAAAAATACTTATTCCGAATTTGTTACTGACTTAAATTGCTCAAAACTGAATTGTTTTTTAAAAGTAATATATTTTTAATCATTTATATTTAAACCTTGCTTAAACTGTTATCCCAAACAAAAAACATAGACTTTCTTAACTTCGGCAAAATTTAAACGATTTTAAAAAACAATACATTTTTAAATATAATATGCCATTGATATTAATACTGTATTTAAATCGTGTCCTATTAAAACATCACTTGGGCACTTGACAAATCTTAACTTGAAGCATTTTTCTAGTAGTTTCGGCGATTGCAACATTTGAATAATTTCGAAAATATTATGCGAAAATTTGCTTACCTGTCGTTGTGGCTGAAGCACATAATGTCAAAATAACAATGAAAGAATATGATAATTTCCACTTTGCTTCCAACATCCGAGTCATTTTGTAATCCTCTTCTAATGGAATATTTATTTCAAATATTGTGAAAGCTGGCGTTATTTTCTGCAATATACAAATTCAAATTGTTAAGACATAAAACAGACAATTACTTGATTGTGGTAGAGAGTCGAGAGATATGCCAATTGTGCGATATTCTTGTTCTGGCAAAAAGTTGCAAAATAGCTAAAAATTTGCGGAAACAAGTAAAAGAAAAAAGGGCTTTGAAGACACTGCCAGGATAATGCGGGCGCTTTGAAAAGAGCAAAGCGTGTGTGGAGAGAAATTTGGGGGAAGAAAGGAGATAACCAGGAGCACCTACATAGTCAATTTTTAGTAATGAAAAATACTGCTGGTTAAAGTGGCAGAGGACAAAGGTCAAAGGATAGCTTGCTTCATGATAAGGAATTTGTGCCACAAATTAATTAGAGACTGAGAATGCCATGTTCCGGAAATTAGTTCTTTAGTGATGACAAAAACGAATCAAAAATAAGAAAAGGCCTCAAAGAGCACTCTTTCGATCAACTAATAACCTAAGTGGATTTTTAATAATCATAATCATAATACTCATAAACATGATAAACGCATTTGGTACAATTGTACCAAAAATGGTACTCTTTTTACTTGCTCAGATCAAGCTTTCCAAATGTACCACATTTGTAAAAAAAAAAAAAACATTTGTTTTTAATGTAATCAACGCTGAAAAACAGCGCAACCAATGGATATGCAAAGGGTACACAGTGAAAAGTCGACATATACATATTTTCAATATGTATGTACATATTCCTATTTATAATTATTTTTTTTTTAAATTGTTTGTTTTGTTTGTTTGCATTTAAATGATGCACAGATACGGTTTCACACAATGTTTGTTTATAATGGATATTATTTTTTTAATGAATGACACCAATTCATTTTTTCAAGTGACAAAATGCTCTCATAAATATCATAAAAATCTCTTTATGGCTCTCTGCCAAACATAATTAAGAGAGCCGCATTTAAGCCGTTATAATTATTAGTTATGCATCGCATGTGACAATTTGATTATCAAATTCATAGTTCTTATCACAAGTGTACACAAAGGCATTCTCACAGCGTTTAATTTCTGCTATTTACTCAGCCTAATAATTTCCGTTTTGTGCCGCATTCGTCGTTACATAAACTCAATTAACAGAAGGTAAAGCTGCCGGTATTTTTTTCTTAATTTATTTATTTTTTTTTTTCCTGTTTTGTATTGCGGTATCAGGCCAAATAATATTTGCTGGCGATATTAAAGCACAGGCAGACGCACTCGCATAACGTTTCCCTGTACCTACTACAGTGAAACAAGCACCGAAAATGTATTCGTCGTATGCACATTTAGCACTGTATCCTGACACATACATCTATCTATGCCATCTACATATGCAAGACCAATGTATATGGCTGCTGTGAGGCTTTTCTATCTACAATAAACATTAAATTGGTTTTTTTTTTAAACTCATATTGTTTGTCTACACGGCGCGATATGAACGTATGACGGATGTGGCTGTATGTGCGATGAGCGACTGTCTCCTCAAGAGCATTTGCGATGACTGAGATATTCGAGCGCAGCTTTTGAACTCGAATCCCCGGAGCGGATGCTTATGGTACATGGGTACGTGGGTACATGGTACATGCTCCTGGTGCGCGTGTCCTCTGCGCAGAATCTGTTTTTATCTATTGTGCTTTATTTTAACAATATAAAATTTGAAAGCTTTTTTAATCAACTATGCCAAGCTGCAAACTGGAGTCGGGCGCTGATAAGAAACCATCTGTTTTAGTAGTAAATAATAAGCATGCCACTTATACACACACACACACACACACATTCATACCAAATACAAATATTACGTTTCAAAACAAACGTACACTGAGAACAAAGCTGTCAAAGAGGCATGTCTATAATATGAAATTATGCATTTAACTATATTCAATTAAAAGAATTCAAATATAGTTTATTGTTTGACTCAGCGAAAAACATTTAAATTAAAATGAAAATAAATTAAATATTTCTTCGCTATATGTTTCTTTGAGTAACGGCGTCCAACTGCTCATATATTGATTTAAATAGGAATTTAAAATATTTCCCTAAAAAAACAAATTATTAAAATTCAATTTGCGACAGATTGCGAGAAGCTTATAGTAGCCGATCCCCCTCCAATCCAAAGAAAAACGATAGATATTTATTTCATCATATGTATGTATAATTTATTGCAACTAAAATAAAAACATGCAATTTACAACGCCAGCAAAATCTCAACATTCAAATTGGAATTAACACTTTTAAGGATTGAGACAGAAACATTCCGTTTTAGACCCATACATTTTATTCACTTAAAAATAATCGCTGACATCCATTATTGAGCCAAAAATGCTAATGGACAAATGCAGACCTCACAACTCGATGACAAAGATGCTTGAGCCTAAGTTAAAATAGATATGTACTCTCAGATGCATAATTTCTAGTAATCTTTAAGAAAATGGAAAAGAATGGATTAAGTTAATAAACAAATAATCACATATTAAAGTATTTACCACAGGGAATTAAATTATTTTTCAATTGTTCAATTGTTCTTCCGTTTGCTGATTGACGTTCCAACAAACTAAAAGTATATATTATATTATTAGATAAGTTTAAGGAGAGTGTTAATATTTTTGTACCTGAATTATGAATTTCATAATTTAGTGCGTTTATTTGAATTATCTCTTGGACCGCCAGATGCTCTCTTTCGTGCGAAATTGCGTTCTTTTTCCCTGGAAATACATTTAGAACTATATTTAAAGAAAAACTGAAAAAACCATTTGATAAATTATGCTTATAAAAATGCAAATAAAATATTTGCGAAAGTATTTATTACGGGAGGAATACATAATTTACTGCAACTACACATTTTTAAAACATGTTAAAGTTTGTTGCTATTTTAGGTTGTAATGTGAATTATTTTAATTAAGAGATTAGATGCTTACCCCTGCAAATTTACATCTATTGGCAATTGACCATTTCCTCCGTCATGCGTACTTTGTTTCGCCGTAATATTTTGCACTGCGTTTGTTTGTTTGGCTTTATGGCCTGATTCTGACATGGAATTCTTACCTAGAATCTGAGGCGTAGTCATTAACTTGCTGACCCCTGCAAACTCAGATCCTGTAGATTTCTTAGCCAGTTCCGCTTTAGCTGCAGCTTTAAAATAATTGACAGGAATTCTTTTGTAGTTTTCAATTGGGATAAATAAATTGATTTCACTTTACCTGATACGTTCTTTGTGCCTGAGCTCAAGTTAAACATTTTTGTATTCTGCCTATTTTCTGTGCCTGAAGTTAAAGAAATGTTTTTTTGTGTTTCAGGTTTGGCTTTTTCGGTTGTGTTTAGAGCAGTTAGCGAAATACTTGGAGACATTTCATTAAGCTGCTTCGTAATACTTATTGTACCCGGAGGGCTAGTTGTCGGTATAATTTGCATTTCAGAATTACTTTTCAGAAAATCCTTGCCACTTGGATATACCGAGCCGAAATTTATATTCGCAGCCTTTGCATTTTTCGAAATCTCATTGACGGGCAAGGCTGGCAATTTTTTCAAGGACATCGGAACGGGTGTCGTTGTCGTGAGATCAACCGAACCTGCTGGTTGTGTTTGATGTGCTTTCTTTAGCGGAAGTTGGTTTTTGGCAAATGGGCTAGCATTAACAGGGATATTGACTTGCGCCGGCATCGTCAGATCGACCGAACTGACGATTTTTTGTGCATTATTTGAATCACTGGATGATTTTGATTTAGTTGTCGTTTTATCTTTCGCGTTCAAACTCTCAACTGCATCCAATACTTTTTCTGGATAAAGGGTGCTGGGAAATGGATTAAGACCTGCCTTTAAATTGGCATGTAAAGTTTCGGCTTGACCAGGATAGTTCTGGGCAGAATAATTTAATAGACTTGCCAACGGGTTTTCAAGCATTTGCTTGTAAGGGGCTAAATTCGAGAGAACACTATTTGCATTTGAACTTGCAGCGCTATTATCGAGTGCTGATAATTCCGCCGAAAGTGGATGATGAAGTTGTGGATGCGCCATTGAGCTTGTGCGATTCTTTTGCGTATCATATATGCCAAAGTCCCTCGCCTGTGATTTGGCATTTGAAATGCCTGGCAGATTGGGCATCAGTGATGGATTTGATTGTAGGCGATTAAGATTTTGGGCATTTAGAACGCCAAAGGGCGATGAAGCAAAGCTGTTATCGGTTAAGCAAGAATTCATATCGGGATAACGCATAGCCGTATACTTTTGATACATATTCAAAGTGTCCATATAGGTTTGATTTAATCCGTAATTGTATTGTGGAACGAGCGTCGCAGATTGCAGACTGTAGTTCAAAAGAGTTTGCATCTGAAACAAACAAAACAATTCCGATTGATTAAACAGAACTTTGCTCTATTTAATTAGTACTTACGTCCAGACTTGGAACTGACCCCAAATATGAATTTAGCTTAGAGGTTAGCATCGAATTTTGAATCCTAAAAATAAAAACAGTTTTTTTTATATATTGCAGTAGATTATGGTATTTGAATAAACTTACTTCTCGGCACTTAATCCTTCTTGTTGGGCTAGTAAATTAAAGAAATAACAATATATAAATTTACTATTGTAACTATTGTATTTTCTACTTACCCAAATTCATTTGCAATTCCCTTTCATAAGTGTCCCAAGCATCCGTTTTTTCTTGCTCACTCAATTCTTGTTCCACTTTATTTTCCAATAGACTGTCATGCTCATGGTATTTATAAACCAACTCCGATTGCCGCAATAGATGCGCCAATATTGTGTCTTTGGGTAAAAGGGGCATTGTTCTCTCGCATTGTTTGGGATACGTTAATCTAAGCGAAAACATTACATTTAAAATGAGAGCATATACGAAAATATAATTATCATGAGTTACGTGTATAGTTCAGCCAATTCTGCCATATTATAATGCCGGTCAATTTGCTGTTCATCGACAACTCGAAAGCTCATCGCTTGCTTTGTGACGGATCGCGAGTAGACCTTCTCCTCCATGGTTCCCTGTACAATGAACATTTTACAATATTTTACCAAATATTACGAAAACAATATGTACCCTACCATTGCTATTAAACGATATATGTAACAGTTTTTCTTCTGACCCAGTCGAAAAATGCGAAAGATATTTTGTTGATCGTTCGATGGATTCCATGAAGTATCCAATATTATTACTCGATTAGCACCAATTAGATTTATGCCCTGTCCCCCGGCTTTGGCAGATATTAGAAAGACGCGAGCTCGCCGATTGGCTTCACTGTTAAACCTTTTTATCATTTCATGCCTGATATTTTTGGGTGTTTTGCCATCCAGTCTATAATAGTCCTGCCCATTTATCCATGTATTAGAGACCTTAAAGCTTGTTGGTATATCTAAATGGTATGAAAAGAATGTAATCAGTACTTTTTTTAGTTTCTTAAAGTTATTGTTTAAACTTACGAATTTGTTGCAATATTTCAGGATCCGATTCTGTTATCTTTTTAAAAAAGTATTCAACCACATTGAGTACAGCAACAAAGGCAGAAAAGATTAAGCTGAATAAATTGATAAAAATGCATTAATTATTATAAATATTTTTATGTTTTACTAATCATTACCATTTTTCACCCTTCTCTTCGCACATACGAAGTATGGAAAACATTGTGCGTAGTTTGTTGCTAGGCATAATGGTCTCTAGATCTTTTTTTGAAAGATCTTTTCGCCACCAATCATTAGTGACAGAGATTGAACCCGTTTGACTATCATATATGTCATCAGGCTGATCATCGTCTGAATGCGGATTTCCGACTCGCTTGTTATCCCTCTTGTTTTTTTGCTAATTGTATTTATAGCAGATAGTAAATCTGGTTGAATTGACCAAATAAAATGGGTTACTTACCATATTTGCATTCTTCCACGCATCTTCCAGCACTTTGGGATGTGTCCATATCTGTAATAAGTAAACATTTTTAATAACGTGCTCAATAGTATCGGCAATATTTCAACTACCTTTCTCAGGACCGTATAGTCTGTGATAAGACTTTTGCCTCGACTATCTCCACGGTTGGCTATTGCTTCTAAGATATATTCATACAGAGTGTTCTAAAACAAAAATTCGTTAGTTGTTGTCAGGCAAAATTCATTTAAACATACCTGGACCGCAGTCATAGGTATAAAAAGAACATATTCAAATTTTTGGGGCAGAAATGTTTTCAATAACTCGGCTTCCTTTCTCTGAACGAATTTCGATAGTTTTTTGTGTAAGACATACGATCTTTGCTTCATAACAGTGATATCCTTTTTGCTTGAATCCTTATGCTGTCCATTTTTAATTGGATTCGCATATAAATTGGCAAATTCCTTTTCAGTTCCCAGGTATAGAGGTTTTATAAAATTAACCATACTATAATCTGCAAAAGTAGTAACAAATTTGATTATTAATTACTAAGCAAATTCCGCTTAAAGTTTGTACTAACATTCTTTGAGATTATTTTGAATTGGAGTGCCGGTTAGAATAATTCGCTTTGGTGTAATTATACGGGCAACAGCCATACTTATAGCAGATTTGCTATTTTTAATAATGTGGCCTTCATCGCAAACGACAAGATCCGCACCTGCAAAAACAAAATTGGTTTAAAGTTGTCTTTACTATATTCAAAAAGGTATATTTTACCTGGCTGCAGTAAATAGTTGTTTACTTTCTCTCGAATACTCTCTAATTTCGCTGAGCTTAAGTTGCCTCGATTCTTATACGAGTGATAAAACACAAGAGTTCGGAAAGCTTCATATCCAACCAGCAGGCAACCAGCCCTTTTGACCGATGAGTGCGACCATTCCTCCAAAACTCGTAATTTTTCTGAAATATCACTAAAGTAACAAAGAAATGAATAGCAATGATACGACAACACTCATTTATCTCTATTTTAAACTTACGATGAATCCGGAAAAACAAAAACTTTAATATTGGTTTTACTTTTTAGTGGCCCCAACCAGCGCTGTAACTCATCGGCCCAATTCATAACCGTGCTCTTTGGACAGAGCACCAGAACTTTTGCTGTGTTGAGCTCCTTGTAGGAAATGACGGTGTGGAGCAAAGCTATCAACTAATAAATATACAAAATATTTCACAATTGATCAGTAGTATTACAAGCTTAAATTATAGTAAGTAAGTTCACCTGCAGAGTTTTGCCGAGGCCCATGCAATGTGCCAATATGCAACCAGAACCCGTATTTTTCTTGGCGTGATCAATTCCGCCGTAGCATGAATCATACATAAACTTGACGCCATCGATTTGATGGGGCTTCAGTTGTTTAACAATATCCTCGTCCACTTTAACAAATGTTTTCGTTTTTTCTAAATAGTCCAGTATCAATTCGGATCGATTTGATGTTTTGTTTCCATTTCCGCCGATATTTTTGATTGCCTTTGAAAGTACCGAATGTTTCCTATCCAATCGTCGAATTCGCTCACTTTCTGATTTTTGAGCAGCTCTCGTCTCATTTGCCAACTGATCCATACGGAGCATGGGCTTAATAAATCGAGTTTTTTCTTCAACTGGTCCCGGCTCTGCGTCAGAGTAATCGCTTTCGGAACTAAGGACGATTTCATCATGTTGATTGCGTTTTTCTGCTTCGGCCATTAGCTTTTCCAGTGATTTCTTTGATCGCTTTTTTTGAATGAAATTATCGTTCCACAATTCATCACTCACATCCAAACTATCCGATTCCTTTATTTCCGCCTCAAACTTAATTTCTTTGGCCTCGTTGATGCCATCATCCTTAAGTGGCTCCTCGGGTTCGCATTTAAAAGCTTCCAGAAACTTATCAACAACATCCCTTTTATTTTCATCATCTGTTGATGATGATTTATTCGAGTGATTGTAGTCACTTTGATCCGACAGGCCAGAGTCACTATTTGACTCATTTAACAATTGCATTTTAATTTGCTCATTAAATCGGGATAAATACTGATTCTCCGTTATAACTTCGTCGTCACTCTAAAAAATTTAAATATTTGTATTACGTTTCCCTAATCATAAATGTTCCAAGAGAATTGTCCAATTTGTGCTATATCTTAAATGTACATACAAACTCACTTCTTTGAAACTATTATCAGTGTCCGACATTTCCAAATCCTCGTCCAATTCATTTGGAGCATTTGTATTTTTCATAATTAAAGTTTTCAGTTTGTTTTTATCCTTGGGCAAAGCACGTCTATTAGCTTGATGACGCTTCTTCAGACCATTTAAATTGGTAAGCCTATCAAGAGAATTGTTTCATTTAATTGTATATTTTAAATTATGATATTTCATAACATACCTATCGATTTCTTTATCCGTATTATCGCCAGATGTACAAGAATTCGATCCATCATTGGCAGGTTCGCAGGACATTTGTCGAAATTTCCTATTTTGTATATCTAATTTAATATATTTGCTAAGATCAATACCATCGCTGTATTCCAATTCCTTATTCAGTTTGATATCATTCTTTGAGCACTGAACTCGATCCACATTATTATTGCTCTCATTAAACAACTCCAACTTTTGGTCGCCACAACTATCACTGCTGGAATCTGAGGATGTATCTAAAAGATTCCGTTTCGCCCGATGATTTATTCGATGCCTCTTTTTGCTAGAGCCTTTCGGAAGTGTTTGCACACATTTATCTGTCCTGTTCACAATATTGGCAACTGTCCTTAATTTATTAATTTTATCGTTTATAAATACTTTAAATTCTTCTTCAGTTTTTGATGCCAGTGACTTGCATTCGTTATAGAAATCCTTTGCAAATTGGGTTGTATTCGTGAGAAGCGTATTTAGAGGAACTTCATTTTCTCCCGTGTTCTTATAAAGGATCTCAAAATACTCATCGTTGACCTCCACTTCTAAGGGCTCCGAGCAATTCTCCGGCAGCATTGTTCGAATTGTATCCGTCGGCGAGGCCTCTTCATGCACTGTTTCATGTTTCCCAATATTTTCAAATTGTAAAATTTGCATTTTATTGATTGTGTTATCAATGAAATTAGTGACATTTGTTGGCACCGATTCAAAGGATGCTTTGCTTGGTGCAATGTAACTCAGGAGCATATCTTTAACACTGCCCAATTTGGGTTGACTTAATACGATTTCTTGTGACGTATAATTATGATCATTTAATGCATCAGAGATTTGAGATTCATATTGCCCAACGAATTGCTTATCATCCAGCTGCAGTTGACTCATTTCACCAATTTCCTCGGCGCTTTCGAAAACTGCACCCACTTCCTCATGATAAATCTGTTCCGTTGGCATCCCGTAAAACGTTGTCTCCGTTATTTGTTCCTGCTCTAATTTTATTTCGCTTTTAATCTGCTTCCCCAAAGGCATTTCCGAGTCCTTGCCACAGGGCACAAGTGGGAAAAACCAATCCATTTCCGATTCCGAATCCATTCCTATTATTACTGCAACGAATGCGATTAGTTGTTATGGACAATACAAATTGATTACAACAATCAATAAACAATGCTCACATAAATATATATGTTAGTGGGTATTTATATTATTGCAATAATTTAATAACATAAATATTTATATGCTTCGGAAGGAATGAAAATATAGACTTGAATTAGGGTTGGTAAATTGATATAATTATATCGATACATCGGTAAGCTTTGATCTTTATCAAATTTATTGTACATTTAGTATTTTAATATCGATATATCAATCAATTCATAATAACATAAATAAATAAGTTTCTGAAGGAATCAAAAAGGGAGTTGAATTAGGGTTAGTCAATTGATCAAATTATATCAATTTATAGAAAATGCTTGATCTTAAGAAGACCATTAATCAAATTTATATAAAGTTTAGTATTTAAATATCGATGTCTTGATCAATTGATATTGTTTTACCATCCATGGGCATAATCAAAGTAAAACAGATTGAAGAACCGGTTTAATTTCCTAATAATATTTAACATTAAAATAATCATTCATTGAAAATTATATTTTGACAAAGAGCTATAAAATAAGATTATACATAAACATGGTAAACAAACCAAAAACTAATCAAAAGCGGTAAGTTTAGCTTTAGAAAGTTATAAAAGAGGAAGACCACTTTTTGTTTCCATTAAAATTACAAGTTTTTTTGGAAACAGCATTTGAATACAAAATGGTAAATAAAACGTATATTTTCAGGACAACCAAAAATGGAGATAAATCATACGAAGAGAAGGTAGAGGAAAAATTTAGAGTTACGCGTTACCCACCACGACGAATTCCAAAACATGTGCTAACCCGAACCCTGCAAATAATTAACGATGGCAATGATGAATTTTGGTTGAACAGAAATTCATCGTGTGCGCCGCCAGTGAACACCACATGTTCCGATCTCAAAAGGTGCTCCGAATCCCACCAGAAACTCAACTTGGCCCGCAAATGTATGGTTACCCGAGATTTTAAAAGCTTGGCCAAACTTCTGACGTCCAATCTAATCGGGGAAAATTGGACTCAGAGGAGTGCATATCCCGTATTCTCAGAAGTGAGTAAATCCCCGACTACATCTATAATAAATTAATCCAATTCGTGTAGTTGAAACTTGTCTGTTTCCATTAAAAATATCTTAAGTTAATCTTCTTATTTACAGAAGCTCTTTGATTACGATTTCTCTTTGCATAAGTGATGTGTGTTTTATTCTTAGAATCCTTTGAGTACACCTATATTTTTAAAATTAACTGAAAACTGTCTTATTTTCAGTATTTTACCATCCTTTTAAGCTTGGAAGATCCAGAGCTTTTAAAAAAACTACAGCAGACAATGTCGCCATCTGTTTTGCATTCAACAACCGACAAAACGCCAAAGGATTCTTCAGATTCCACCATGAAGGGAAAATAACCCAGAAAAATGCTTCATTTTTGTAGACTTACATAATAGTTTGTAGCAGTTTTAAAATGAATAGCATAACAAAAAATAAATAACAATAATAAAAATTGTTTAGGGTAGTTTTTCCATGCAGCGCTTAACCATAATAAAGAAAATAAATACGTAAACGTTATTTTCGATTTAAAACAAGGCTCTGATATTAATGAAGATTAAAATATAATAATCTGATCCTTGGCCTATACAGAGTCATTATTTTAATCCTATAACAACATTGCACTTCATTGTGGCCCAGTTTTGAATGAGGTGATCTAGACAAAAACAATACATCATTTAGCTCTCAGAGATAATAATCCCTCGATAAAAACACTGGTGCACTTTTAGAAACTTATGTTTATTTTTAACGTTTTATATTAATATTGTTTTGAATAAAATACTTGATTAAATATTACATGTGTATTGTGTATTGCGTAAGTTTCTAAACTTCAAAGATGCTGTAAGTGATGCATTTAGAGAATTGCTATGCACAGAATTTGAATCCATGGCTATAGCGTTTAAGTTAAGATCTCCATTTTCTTATACCGCTTTGCTCGCCTGCTTTTTTGTGCCCATTTAAAGCGCACTAAAAAAAAAAACATTTGAAATATTTAAAAAAAATTTATATTATTTATATGCATTTGCATAAAATGAGCATAATGAAAAAATGATCCAAGAACTACAATTGATTAGTATAGATCCTCTTCCATTGAAAAATCGGATGTCTCCCCAGCATAAAGCGAACTGAAATCAGATGATGGATAAGGAACAGTATAGTAAATATATGTAGGAAGTAATTTAAATTTAGATCATACTTTACGGCACGACTGGTGAAGAAGACGATGCGCTTTAGCTTCTTATTGTAGAAGAAATAGTTAAACGACCACAAGCAACCGGGCTCGCCAAATGGGTCCGAGCTCAAGTCCGGATTATAGCTATATATATCGCATTCCGATAGATTAACCTCATCATCAACAGCAGACCACAGGGGCTGGCGCAAAACCTGATACTGATCCCCAGCTAAGGCCGATAAATTTGAATGAACCGAATTCATGACCCAGGGCAAAGAAGGCTCCTTGCTAAACTCGTGCGACTGCAATATACAAGAGTAAAACTATTAAAATACATTTTGGTTTTTTGTAATTATTTCCGACTTGCCTTTGCATCCGAGAAATCATAATCCGGCTCGAACGAGGCATTTAGAGTTGCAATCAAATAGAAGAGAGTTTTACGTGAGATCGTGTCACAGAGGATGACGCCCTCATCGCCGGACTGACTGTTGTTCCGATGAAAATTGGGCGACAGATCCGACAGAGTTTGCGGTGGCGACAACGCTTGCAGATCATGTCCGTGTGTCTCTGCCGTAAAGCGCTTGTACAACACCTTCTCCGCTGCAACCATTTTGCTAAACAAAAACAAATAAATCAATATATATAATAAGAAAGGGAACAAGGCAAATTTACCACGAATAGCTTTCGATGCGTCCAAAAATGGTGATGCCTCCAGTTTGAATGGAAATGGCATTGTTGATGGCCTCGAAACGAGAGCTCTCCAACAGCTTCATTTTGCCGCCTGCCCGTCGAAAATCTCAAGGGGCAATAATCAGATCCGGGCTAATGTGTTTTAAATTAATGGACAAATCAATTTGCTCAATCTCACACCAACACAGGCGATGATGTTGATGATGATGATTGGGTTGAGTTGTATATAATCCAAATCAGACAAATATATATGTGTGTGGATTGTTGAAATGAAATGAAAGCAAATTAGGCGCAATGCGGTCTTATTGTAAATATCGGCGTTGTAATGTTTCGCGTCTGATTTGCTCTTGATCCATGCATTGCCCAGAAAGTAATCGTATGGAGGAGTTTGCAGTTTCTAAACATGGTACCCGGATGAACTATAATTCTTTTCTTAACGGCCACTTTTTTCTCGATTTTGTAGATCTGCTGCAATTGGCACGGTCTCATTAGCATTACACTCTGCACCAAAAAAAATATTGTTCAAATTTGATTTGCTCTTTCGACTTGTTTTGTTTTTAGATTTTGTTTGCTTTTTTGCTCCTGCAAACGCACTTTTTACTTTTTCTTCTTTGTTTATTTGTTGTATAACTTTGTATCACATACAAATTTATTCATATGTGTACACAATATATATATATATTGTGTGTGCGAGTGTGCGTGTGTGTGTGGAAATGACCTTCGTATAAGGAATACGCTAAAATAAATATGGCGTCCCAAAATTTTCCAAGTTCAACGTCGTTTTTGTTTATTTTTATATAAACTTTAAATCAATTCAGCCGTGACTTTCAGCACTTTTGCTCAGTTATAAATGTTCAGAATCCATTAATTGCGACATATTTTTATATTTGATTTGCAATTCACTAGATTCCGTAGACCTGAGATCATCAACATGCGTACAGCGGGTATTGGAAACGAAATATGATTTTGAACACTTCTGAAAATGTTGAATTAACACAATTTTTATATATGTAGACTTCTGGTTTTTAGTTAGAGCAAACACACTTATACTTCACTGTTTATTCAATATTATCGGATTATGTTATCGCTTTCTTAGTCATTTTTCATTTCAGTCAAAGTAGCGTCGTCATTTATTCCGATAGTTTGGAACAGTGGACAATAAAATACACACAACTATCATATAATGATTGAATTTCCTAATTTTGACAAGCCGAAAAAGTTATTTTTTCTTTCAAAAGCTTTCTTAAAACAGTTTAATCATTTAATATAAATTTGGCCAGTTAATTTGTTAAATTAATCCTTAAGCTAGCATTACAAATAATTAAGTTTTCGCAAATATACAACTGAATAAGATGTTATAAATAAATAAAGTAATACAGATTAACAGCAATAACTGACTGCTACAAAAGTCGTAGTTAATTATTAGGTTGATCGTCCAACCATATCTACATTTACCTCACAACAATCATGTCAATATTAATAAATCATAAGAATGATTACTGAATATGCATATCTCTCTAAATACCTGTCTGCCATAATCGAAATAGAAATATATCGAAACGAAATGAGCATCTCTAATTTTTGGTATATCCATAAATACATATGTATATTGTACAATAAATGTATCGCAATCGTACAGATGAATAAATAAAAAAATTAGAAAATAATTTTGTGATAAATTGAAAGCTTATTAGATTATCAATAATTCGTGTGAATAAATGACAAATAACGTGTTAATTTCACATTCGTTTCAAAGTATAAAAAACGGGCCAATTATCGCATTAAAGGAGACAAACTGAATTAATCGCTTCGGGTGTTGCCCCAAAAATAATATACATATACATTTTCCATTATAATAAGTTCATGTAAATTCAAGTAATTGTCCACACCTATTTCAATATCTCCGTGAATTGTGTGACGCATGACATAAGATACGAATTCCATTTTTTTATCTGCTCGATTTTTAGATTACAAAAAAATTTGTGTATATAAGATGGCGGAGGGAAATTCTGGAGTTAGTGCTGAGGGTGCCGCTGCCGCTGTGGCTGTGGCTGCCCCACATCCCAACGCCGAAGTTATAAGGGGGCAAATATTTGAAGTTGGCCCCAGATATAGGAAACTAACATATATTGGCGAAGGCGCATATGGAATGGTCGTGTAAGTTTTCGTTTCTAATACACCTAAATAAGCCTACCCTTCTACACAATATACATATATACAGCTGTACACATATACAGTGTCTCGCAGTTAAACTGGAACAGCGCCTAGCAAAATATTTAAAGTGCTATAAGGTTTAAACAAAACAATAAACGCAAAATGTTTAAATGCCAATTTGTTTTATGTTATATCACGTTTGAAAAGGAAGCTTCAGTTTTTATTAAAATATTAAATAATTAACTAAAATTAGTCAAAACTTAAAACTTATCCAAAATACATGTCAAAGTTTTTTTGGAACAGTCTTAGAAAATTAACTTATTAGGCGTATAAAAACTTAAATAAGGATCTTAATACTTAGTATGATACCCCTTAGCCTTAATAACCTCCCTTAACCTATTATTCATGGAAGATACCAGCTTCCGGGTGGTTTCTGGACTGACTTTGCTCCACTCATCCAGCAGAGCATTTTTGAGATCGGATCTGTGATTCCTGATGTTATTTTCCAGCAGAGCCCACAAATTTTAAATAACATTTAAATCTGGAGACTGGGCCTGTGGAATTATCGTGTGGGGGCAGTTCCAGATATGCCAGGAGTGTACTAATCCGGACTTATGCTTGGCTTTTGTCCTGGTCGTTGTCGTGGTAGAACCGGAAAGTACGTCGGATTCCTAGCTTCTTGGCACTTTGGAGTAAATTTTCCTTTAGTATATTGAAATACACACTCTTGTCCATTGTTGTTTCAAAAAACACCAAATTCCCGACGCCGGCTGCCGAGATACATGCCCATACCATGACACTTCCTCCGTCGTGCTTGACTGTTGCCTTTAGGATTTTGGGACTCAGCTCAGTATTGGACTGTCGCCACACATAATTTTGTCCGTCTGAGCCAAAAATGTTGAATTTGGGCTCATCTTCAAATATGAATTTGTTTCAGAACTCCAAATCCTTGTCCAAGTGGGTTTTGACGAATGCCATCCTAGTCCCTTTATTTTTGGCGCTTATAAAGGGCTTATTCCGTGGTACTCGGGCATTAAAGTCATGGTTGCGCAGAACCCGGCGCACAGTTTTCACACTGCACTTTTTCCCCATTTCATCCTGCACCTGTTGAGTCAGTTTTGGAGCCGATAGCTTTGGATTTTCCCTTATTTTCCTGATGATCCTCCGCTCCTCCTGTTCGGTGAAAATCTTGTTTGGTGCATTTCTGCCCTTGTCCTCTATCCGATTTTCGTCGACGAAGAGTCGAATGATGTTGAATACAGTGGTGGTACTCAGATTTACCATTTTAGCTATTTGGCGATGTGAAAATCCAATCTTGAAGTGTTCCAGGATGAGATTACGTTGCCCAATGGTAGTCCGTTTGTCAATAGTCCTTGTTGGCTGGTGGAACCCGAGATGCAGGATATAAATATACTGACTACGAAGGATAGGTCTATTTATACCGAAAATAATCAACCTGACGTAAAAAATCCGGGTTTTATGGCACCCAGGTGTCCATAACGCCCTTGTTCCACATAATATGTGACCATAAATTAAGGTACTTTTTTACATAACCCGGCCTAGCCGATGGGAAAACCCCAGTTTATGGGGGTCATATAGTCATTTAGGTAGTAAATATATGTACCTACCATCGGTCTTTGGAATTTTTGAAAAATATTGAATAATTTGTTTATGGCAGGCAATTAACTTTTTTGCTAGGCGCTGTTCCAGTTGAGCTGCGAGACACTGTAGGTACAAGTGTGTACATACATCCTTAATAGAGATGAGCGATACTTTGATATACATTCTTACGGTGACAACTGTCTTTGTCACACTTTCAAATATCAGTAACTGCATATGACAATTTATATATATACATATACAATTTAACATCGATTATCCGTTATAGATTACCGTAATTACCAGTTTAAAAAAAAGAAGAAAAGCCTTCAAAAATTTGATAATCTATTAATTTTTAACAGGAGAATCTGCACTCATACTCGTAATCATAAAGGAGGTAAATAAGGGTTATACATGAAAAATCAGGTAGTAAATCAACCATATTCAGCCTATCGGATAACAGGTGTTCCCAATTCATAGATGTTCGCATTCTCGAGGTTTCAATAAACAACTGTGTGCTGTGACTTCTTGAAATATTTTATCGGTTAAAAATATATTTTTAAATGATAGATAGGAAACTATGACTTTGTTTGGACGGGGAGCAATTAGTGTATTAAAATCTAAATGCCGAATTTGAATTAAACTGGGTATTTTAAAATATATATAGTATGCTAAATATATATAGTATTTTATTTTCCAGTAATTCGAGAAACATTTATTCATAAAAAATCAAACATTATTTTAAAATTGCAGATCTGCGGATGACACATTGACAAATCAAAGAGTTGCTATCAAAAAAATTTCTCCATTCGAGCATCAAACGTATTGTCAACGAACTCTACGAGAGATAACCATTCTCACCAGGTTTAAACACGAAAACGTAATTCAAATGCAATACTTTCGTATTTGTTGACATGTTCCTACAATAAGAGTTTATTTCATTTTAGATCATTGATATACGTGACATCTTGCGAGTAGATAGCATAGAACAAATGAGGGATGTATATATTGTACAATGCTTAATGGAGACTGATCTGTATAAACTACTTAAAACGCAGGTAAATAAATTATCTTATCAGATAAGCACAATGACTGTAATTAAACATGTATCATTTATATTTGCAGAGGCTGAGTAACGATCATATCTGTTACTTTCTGTATCAGATATTGCGTGGTTTAAAGTATATCCATTCGGCAAATGTTTTACACCGGGACCTAAAACCGAGCAATCTTTTGTTGAATAAGACATGCGATTTAAAAGTGCGTATAGTTTATATTATATCTAATATTATTAAGATTTAACAAACCTCTATTTATTGATATAGATTTGTGACTTTGGCTTGGCCCGAATCGCTGATCCAGAGCATGACCACACTGGTTTCCTAACGGAATATGTGGCAACTAGATGGTATCGGGCGCCTGAAATTATGCTTAACTCTAAAGGGTATACCAAATCAATTGATATCTGGTCAGTAGGATGCATTTTGGCTGAAATGCTAAGTAATCGACCCATATTTCCCGGTAAACATTATTTGGATCAACTAAACCATATACTTGGCGTGTTAGGATCCCCATCACAGGAAGACTTGGAATGTATTATTAATGAGAAGGTAAGTCCAAAGAACATCTATATTTACTTCATTGATGGTAATTATTATTATTTCATTTTTTCAGGCACGAAATTATTTAGAATCGTTGCCTTTTAAGCCAAATGTGCCATGGTCAAGGTTATTTCCCAATGCAGACGCATTGGCGTTGGATTTACTTGGTAAAATGTTAACGTTTAACCCGCACAAACGAATTCCAGTTGAGGAAGCTCTTGCACATCCCTATTTGGAGCAGTATTATGATCCTGGCGATGAGGTAATACCAAAAATAATTTAAATGTTTATTAATTAATAATCTATCTGTAAGCGTTATTTAATGCTATTCAACTTATACTGATCGATTTGTTCTTTTGTAGCCTGTTGCTGAAGTACCATTTCGCATTAATATGGAAAACGATGATATCTCCCGGGATGCTTTGAAATCGTTAATTTTTGATGAAACGTTGAAATTTAAAGAACGACAACCAGAACAGGCGCTTTAAAAACAAATATTACAAAATAAAACACACACATTTTTAAATATTTGTTTCATTTTGATTTAATTATATATGTAATGTGGTTTTTAAATGAATACACCTTCTTCCTACGTTAATGTTAGCATCGTTTCATAGCTCTGGTTATTTATTCTAATTGTATTTACAACAAAATCCTCAAACTAGCGTATATATATACATATAATTAATCTGCCTATAAGCACGACAAATTTCTTCAAAATATTTGGTGTATACCTAAAAATATACCTCAGTGATATAAGTATATGTTAATTTTTACCACTTACTTTTGGGCATGCAAGTTTTTTATTTTTATTAATTGTGTTGGATATTCTTTGACAACAAATTGAATTATGGATGCAGCCAACAAGTTCAGCTTGGAAATCTTGACTTTCGCATGCAATCTGAATTAGGTAATTATGGCAAAAGGGAAACGTATGTCTTGCCCAAAATTGTAAAATATTATTTAATTTAGTATTTTAATTACAAATTAGAAATAATTATAGTTTTTTGACTGATAGATGATCAACTCCCAAAGTGTAAAAGCTAGGAGGAAGTTAACTTTTATGATATAAGTTAACACTATGGAAATCTTTGTTACGCCGATCGCAACAATTATTATCATTATTCTTTTAATATTAGCACGTATATTTATTTCGCCGAGGTATTGATATTCGTATGTGTGTTTTCATTCAAGCTCATGTCTCATGTGCATTTACGTGTTTCAAGCTATTAGGATAAGAATTCAATTTTTGACCTGCACATTTCGTCATTTAGAAATTCAAATTTTTCACCAACGATGTGAAGAGAAAACCTCATTTCTACATCTTAAATGTAAGATATCAAAATTTCAATGAAATGAAAAATCTCGCTAGATATCAAAACACTCATAATGATGATATGTAAATATGTATATCAAAGTATATACTTATGAAACATTATATAACGAATTAATCAAAATTTGCGAATGGCAACTCAAGTCAAAAAAAAAAAACAAAAAACAGAAATAAGGAATGTACATATGGGCATTTCTGAACAAAGGTCCGCTGTGACCAAAAACAACAAAAACTGTTTATCTGATTTAATCAAATAAATTGTCTTCAAATAATGTTTTTTGTTCTTATTTTATCTACTTTATTAAATATTTGCTGGCCAATAGTTGTGTAATCACAAAACGAATCCTTAAATCTTTCCAACAAAAATTATATAATATGTAAGAAATTTTGCTGTGGCAACTGTTAAATATAAACGAAAGCTAAAGGAGCAATCTAAGAGATACTTGGATACAAAATAATACGAGTCAAAATAAAGCAAATAAAAAGGAAAAAAACTAAAAACAATATTAGTTAATAGCCATGGAAATGTCTATATTTACGTACATTCCTTATCCTTATCAAACGCAACAACTTACACAAGATTGCGAACATTGTCAAATTTAACTACGAATAAAATTTGAGTGTTTCAATCTATTTAAACTGTGTGTGTGTGTTCTATATTCAAAGAACGCGAAAGCTCGAATTTGGATGATAAAAAAATCGATTATTTTTGTTTTTATATAAATTTAAATGTGTGTATGTTTATCTGTCTTGATATTGTTTTTATGAATTCTTTATCGGCATACATACATGCAGACTTAAATTATACTATAAAATTAAAGTATTACTTACATTTGTTCCTTTTTTACCTTTAACCAACTGGAAGTAAAAATATGTATCTTGCTCATCAGATAATTAAATAAACATTCCATATATTTGTCAATGTGTTAGGTGTATAACTACATAAATATCTTTTCAAGTGCAGACGTCTGAATGTGTACATGTATGTATTTCCAATACAATTATTAACAGAATTGAATGACACTATGGATATAAGTAACAATTTTTAAGTCTTCGCGTTGTTAATAAATCTTCAAAACAATGTATGTTGAATTTTTTGGATAATTAAAAACATAATCATCATTTTTGATTTTAAAATTACAAATATTTATCTTTGTCATAATGGTATGGGAATATATGTATGTAATTGTTTTCATTCCTTATCTGTGGTTACTGTAATCTACACATACACTTTTGGAGGGCTATCGAAAACAACAAAAAAAATACTTTACTTATCAATATTTATATAATAATTATCATATATATTGAGCAGTAGGAAGTAAAAGCGAAATCCAATTAATTAGTCATATAGTTCAGATTTTCAGGGCTTTTTGATAATGGTTTGACTTCTAGAATAATACTGAATTTTATGTCGGAAGCTCAATTCTAACTAGATTTTTTTATTAACATTTTTCTAACAAAAAGGGTTTTTATAGACCAACATTTTCCATCAAAATCAACCTTCCAAATTTGATGACTACATTAAATATTTCGTAATATGTAAGGACTTATCGATATTAGTGATTTCTCAGTTCTTGAGTAGGGACTTTTTGGGGATCTTTAAGCAATAGGGAACTATTGCACTTGTATAATTACATTTAATCACTTGAATGTGCGAAACTAGAAACTGTGTTTTAATCGATGCAATCGATACTTGAGCACATTAAAGTAGAGCACTCCTACTTGTTTTCTTTTACTAGAGACCGTAGCCTTAACAACCTTAAATACATTTGTTATTTTTGTCAAATAAGCCGATACGATTAAAGGGAATACTCATTTGTAAGCTGAACGTGCAGCACAACACATTTGTTTATAAAATGCCTGATATCAAGGAGTTGGAGAATTGCGATTTAACAAATGGGTCGGAAGATGTGCCTGAGCCAGCGCTGGAGCCTGAAGAAATGAGTATTCTTCCGCCCGATCATCCGCTCCTGCGAAAGTTCCAACAATCACTGAGGGAACATTTGCTGCGTACGAAAAACAAGTTGATAGATGAGATAACGGATATCAAATATGAAGTTAAGGCCAAGGAGGAACGACGGGAGGAACAAGGATTACTCTTGTACGATATGCAAAATAAAATTACCTATCAAGAGCAACAAATCAGGGAGATCTCTGCCCAAATTGATGAGCACATTGAAAAGCGGCAAAAAGAAGAAGCTGCTGTCGAAACGATCAAAAAGGAATATGAAGAGAAACTCAAATTGGCAAGGGGACAAAAATCGCTATATAATAATCGAATGATGGAATTGGAGGACTTGCAGAGTCTACGTAGCAATATTAAACAATGGGCATATGATGTCGAAGATGAGGTGAAGAATGCGAAACGCATCGTTAGCAGAGATGCTCAGCTGCAAAAGCAACTGTCGGAAGAGAAACGCAAATCGGATATACTATTTTATCGTCTCGACATGGAGGTGAAGAAAAAAGAAGTCGAATTGCAATCAATTAGCGACGATGAGATCGCTATCAAGGAGGTTGTCAATGTACTAAATATGAGTATTGCGGATGCCAACACCGATTTGGAGGCTCTGCAAAATGAACACAAGCGCTTAATACAGGCCTGGTCTGAGGTTATCATTGCAATTCAGTTGCGAGATAAAATTCTATTCCAAGTTCAGGACAGTATACGGTATGAATCAATAATTTATTTTGTTATGATGGTAATAAATGGTTTTATTGTAGTAAGCAAAAGGAGTCAATAAAACTTAACGCAAATGGGATTGAGGCAGTTAAAAAACAGATTGCACGCGAAATGGAACTAAATAAAAAGCTGGATTCATTTAAGCAGCGCTTGGCAGATGACATGAACAATCTTAGTCGAGACTGTAAGTATTTGAGTAATTTCTAGAATTAATTGTTGGAAATGATGTTTGTTTGGTGATTTGTGTAGGTCAGCGGGAATTGGATAACCTAACGTTGTTAAAATTGAAACTTGATGAATTTCCCGACTTTTTGGCTCGAACTGAAACCGATTTGAGTGAAGCGACACGCGAAGGGACTAAAATACAATCAGAAGTCCGCCGTCTTGACCACACCTTGGATAAAAATCATCAAAAAAAATTTCAAATTGAGGAAGCAATACTAAAGTTGGCACAGGAACAACTGATTACGGATAAGGCCAGTGCCTATCGCTTAAAATTATTGAACAAGGCCCAAGAGCAGCGTCGAGTCGTAGATCTATCATTGTCGAAAGTACAAAGTCAATTGGCAATGGCTATGCTGGATGTGGAGAAGCTGCGAAGTGTTCTATTTAATGCACGGAAGGAAAACGACAATGTTCAAGAAAGCCTCAATAAAGCGGAAGGCAAATCCAACGATCTCGATGGAGAACTGAAGAAATTACAAGCTAAGATTGACATTAAAACGAAGCGTTTTGAAAAGTTGAACAGCCAAATAGAAGATATCCAAGCCGCTTTCGGCTCTGATTGCGGTAATCCAACCGAACTGAAGGTAAGGCCTACAAATAATTAAATCTCTTCACTTATTCAACGATTATCACACATAATTTTAGATTAAACAAATTGAGAAATCGATTCACATTGGCGAGCACAGTATCAGGGAGCATCAACAGTTTTGGATAATGCTTCAAAACCATTTTGTCAATTTGACACATAAGAGAAGCGATCAGGTCCATGAAATTCAGGTGACTCGAAAACGTAAGTTTCCATAATATAATATGATTTTGCTCCTTAATATTAACTTTAAATTTAATATTATCTTTACAGAGCTGTCAATCATCAAGCAGAAATCGCTTAAGGTGGAGCAAGATCTAGAAATTTCTGAAAGTAAGACGAGAGACTTAAATCTGGATATTCAGAAGTATACCTCAAAATTGGAGCTGCTTAACGAAAAAGTATACACTAAGCGAAAAAATCATGACATCGAAGAGAGCGAATACGAGCACGAACAAACTGAGCTAAGTCAAAAACTAAAAGTACGTACGTCATTTGCAATCATCCAAAACTTGAATTAATACCTTCTTATCTTAGGATACTGAGCTGAGTACATTAAAGTTAGAAAAAGATATTAATGAATTGCAAAATGAAATTGAACTGCATAAGGATCTTGTGCTGGACAAACATAGAGAATCGTTGTCCTGGGAAACAAAGCATAAACTTATTGAGGAAACAATCAATTGGACTAAAACCGAGCGATCGCTGAATGGCGAAATCGGTGCCATGAAAATCGAGATCCATAGAATGACAATTCGATTTAATCAATTGAAAAGGGCACAGGAAAAACTGGTCCAAGATCTGGAGCATTGTGTAATGCATCGTGAGCAGATCTTCGTGAACGCAACTGTCAAGGAGCACATCGATGCCAAGAAGAAAAAGATCAAGAACTCATCGCAGGTCCAAGTTAAACTTGATGAGGTGCGCAATAAAACCAAGATGATTCAAAATGAAATAACATTTCTGCAAGAGACTCGCATAGTGGATGATAAAAACAAAATTGAACGTATGATCTACATTCTCCGGAAAATAGAAAATGACCTGAAGGAAGTTACCAGCAAAGATGCTGGGATTCGGGCTCAAATCGAAGATGGCCTGTTGACCAAGCATGCCAACTTAGAGCAAATTGTGCGCAAACAAAATCGGGCAAAGGCATTTCGAAAGCTCCTCAACGCGAAGGGACAACAGAAAATTGTGCGATCTGAGAGCACCATTCAACTGCAGTTAGAAAATCAAATTGAAATGAACGATTCCCTGATGGAAATCGTTCAGACGCTAACAAACGATTATCCCGAAAAGAAAACATTCTTTACAAAGCTAATTCATTTCCTTAAAGAATAATCGAGCTTATAGAATCAGAACTTTATTTGAATAAAAAGTCATGCTCTAAAATGAATAGTCAATTTCACTTATTTAAATCTGGGGTTCGAGTCTTTTGCAAGGTTTAAAAATATGTTGAAAGTTCTGACTCAAAAATAGAGATAATATCGATAATAACATTAATCATCGATACCATAATTGGCATACTCGATATTACGATAATATTTACCCTTAACAGCGCATGCGCTTTTAAATAAAACTTTTCTTTTCAGCGAATTGAATTCTTAAGCAAGCAGTGAGTTTTCCGTAACATTCTTTGGTAAGTTTATTCAAAACATTAATATAATTGAAAAACTAATTAAATAAATCATTTCAATGTTTAACAGATGTGTTAGATATGTGTTAAATGTGTGTTTTATGCATGGCAATAGTGATTTATATGCATATCTTATAACGAAATATGCATTTAAATTGATAGAAATATATGTATGTATTTGCACGCGTATGTGTGTCCATATACATAATTGAGTCGTAAATTTGTGGCTGCCGCTTGTTATATGTATGAGGTCGATATATATGTGAATATTTGTCACATGAGTAGCAACAAAGAATTGACCAAGGGATGCTGCATAGTTGTCCAGAGTTTTTGAGATAAATTATACATTTGACATCTGTTGCTGAAAACGATGAAAATTTACAGAAATAAAATAAATAGGCATAAACGAATAAAATTAAAATATAAATAAATAACAAATTTAAATGGACAATATTGTATCTAATGTTATCTGTTTAATTTGAGTAAATAAATTCATATTTTCAGGATATAATAAAATGGATAACATGGGTATCTCAACGGAACCCAGTTTCCTTGAAGTTGAGCTTCCACAAACTCTGCTTGAATCACCGTCAACATCCACATTTTTACCGGACGAAGAGGCCTCCGTTTGTCCACTGCTGCATTCAAACAACAGCGCTTTGGACCCGGTCCTGTTATCATCCCACCCACTGAGCCCAAATATTGTGGCTAACGATATTACCTCATCAAATATAAGCAACACAGATTGCAAGGCGGAAACGAGTTCCTCTGGCAGCAGCGATGGCATCGCCATGGATGCTATGGAATCTACCTCAACCAATCTATTCAACAAAGTGAACTATCATCATTTACAAAACAACAATATTACCACAAATCAGGTAATTGACAAGTACATTAATTATATGGCTAAATAATTAACAATTGATCCTGCTCTAAATAGGCTTCCAATAATCACTTTTTAAATGGCAACAGACGGCAATCAAAAGAAACCCCAAATTTTGTATCCTGGAACTGGCCAATTATTCGAAAATGTACATTCTTCCTTTTCATCTCTGGAATCATGGCGATGTGTTCAATAGTTATTGTCAATATTGCTACCATGCCCAAAGTTTGTAACCCAAAGTGAGTACAACTGAATAAGTATTAATTGAAAGTGTAATTTAACTAACAATATTTGCTCTGCAGAATTTCATGGTATCGAGGGAGTGTTTTTTATGAAATAAACCCGGCCGCGTTCATCGACTCTGATCATGATCAAATTGGTGACATCGGCGGCATAATAAACAGGATCGAGTATTTTGCCAATATGGATATATCCGGACTACGGTTGAACTCAATTTTTCCATCCGGTCCCTCCAATGATAGACACATTAACGGTTCATCTCTAATTACAATAAGACCGGAACTAGGCAGTTTCAGTTCTGTGCGAAATTTAGCAAATATTTTACATTCACACAATATAAATTTACTATTAGATTTGCCATTGCAGCAAGTGATTGCTGCTAGAAGCGAAAAAGAAGTTCTAGATGTAGTTTCAGAATCTTTAGAGTATTGGATCGATCAGGGAGTGAACGGATTCTATTTGAAAGGACTGGATTCCTTAAAGAACAATGCAGCTTTGTCAATGTGTTTATCGTCATGGAAACGCATACTTGGAAAGAATAGAGTTCTCATTGTCGAAGAGTCAATTTTCAAGGATAAATCAAAATCGGAAATTTCTCTTCTTCTGGATGATATCGATTTGGTTGATGTTGTTCTAAATGTTGAGAATAATGCGATACAAATGAAGGAACGCATACAAGTGGCTTTAAATAAAATGCCTATTGGAGAGGAAGTGACTTGGGTTCAGTGGTCGCTTAGCGAAGTTAAGTCGGACAACAGTCTTCCCTCATCCAATCTAGAAAGAATATTTCCAGCAACCATTATGCAGTTGACTTTACCCGGAACAACAAATATTTTGCACACAAATGAAGTAGCCATTGCTCAGAACAATAAAAATAGGCTTCTTACCGATCAAGTTATTCAACATTCGGATGACGGAGCGACGGATCAGCAGACCGATAGTGAAATGGTACACAGAATGATATCCTTACGTGAACGGTCTCCGGCAATTTACAAAAGCTTCATATGCAAGAGCGACAGTAATAAACAAAATACTCAAATACTCGCCCATAGCAGTGCCGACATTCTAATTGTGGTACGAAATTATCCACGAAAAAATTCGCTTGTATCAGTTACAAATTTTGGGAGTACCAAAGTGACAGTAAATTTATCGTCTAAATTTTATAGTGGAATACGCATGCTGATGACTGAAACAGACGAGAAGATATATTTCGAAAGACTAAAAATGTTTGCCTATGACACGGTTGTTGTTAAATTGGATAAGTAATCGATTTTAGCAGCTATGAATTTATATTGTTTTATCACTTGTAAATGTATGTACTTATTGCATGTTGAGTTTTATAATAATAAATAAACCTTCTACAGAATATAGTGAATTTTTCGATATTATTTTCAGTTTAATCGATCAGTCGAGCAAAATCTCTGTGTGTTTTTTAACTTTTAGCTCAAAACGAATGTTGAAAAACTTCAACAGGAAAGGTTTCTGGATAACTTTTAGCGCTGCGCGAATATCGATAAAAATGGATTTCAGATACCAATAAAAATCCACCAGAGGTATATCTTTCCAACCGAGAATTTATGTTCCTTTATATTATATTGATCATCTGTAAAAATTCATATTATTTAATATGTATATTTATATTTATTTCTTTTGATTTGAATTATTTAATTGCTAGAGTTTTGAGTATGAAACAAGTTTGTTCTGTTAATTACTAAATAAAATATATTTGGTTTATTTGTTGTTCAAATAAGTGAGGAAGATTAAAAACAAATTCAATAGCAATTACAACTACATACGAGTACAATCTAGATGTAAAATTACTAATCACCATGTTTACCTTATAATGTAAATAAATTCAGACGACATCTTCGGGCATCCGAAGTTCATATATACATAATTATATATATGTATGTATTTTAAAGTCGCTTGTAAAATTTAATAAACACTCATTTGATGCTCCATTATTATACAATATACAAAACATTAATTTGAAGCAATTATTATATAATATTATGATTACTATTATTCTATACAGTAGGGGAATTCATTAAATGTCGATCAGAAGGATATTCTTTTAGAAATGTTAAATGTATTAATTAATTAATCAGCTGTTTAATTTACATTTTGAATAAAGATTACAAAGCCTGCAATGCATTTACATATTTCATACATATCCATACATAGTATGTATTTATAATACGGGTATATATATGCTCACATTTTTTATTTTTCTGTTTTGTTTTTTTGTTTTTATTTTTTGTGCATAATTGCATTCAACTGACGAAACATAATTGTTTTTTTTTGTTATTTAAAATTAGCCGTTCAACATTTTGTTATTCGACTAAGCACAAGTGCCCTTAATTTTAGCTTTGCAAGACGTTAATAACAACCAAATTGAGTAGTTCGGACTTTTTGGGGACTATACATATTTTTAGTGGTGTAGTTAGTGGCAGCAGTGTTATCTGGCGGTGCACTTAATAATCAGCTGATTGCCCTCTTAATTGCTTACTATTAGTCAATATGTTGACTAGACCGTTTTGAATGGAAAATGGACCAACTGAACCATTGAGTTCAACCGATTTAAAGTATATATAATTCATTGTTTGTGCGGACATGTTATTTTTTGTTTGTTTTGTTTTTGCAAATCGAGCTCCCTGTGATCTTTGGCGATCATTTTTGAGGCACAATACTATTAGACATTTATTTTTTTATTATTTTGATATTATTTTTTGCTTAAATCTCTATTGCTTTGTCAAATCCAAAAACCAAAACGGAACGGTCAAGTCTGATAGATTCTGATTTAGAATCCTGAGTGAGTTGTTTACATATACATATATATATATATATATATATATATATATATATATATATTTTACTGAAAGCACTTTTGATAGTCTTCTGCTAAAAACCTCTGCCATTCATAAATTCACGACAATTAGTTTTTTTTTTTTTGTTAGACTTTGATAAATTTTGTTAGCGATATCATTGAAAAAAACATTTTTTCAAGTGGTAATAGCAAAATCAAGCTATTTTCTTATTGTGTTATTATAATATATCTTTGGGAAGGTCGAGTAAAGGAAGCGTTTACTTTTGTATTTCAACATTAACATGGCTGTTATAAATCAAATATAAAAAGAAAATACACAATTATGGCTCGCTATGAAAGAAATATATATACAAAAAGGAAAAGATAAAATGGATTGGAAGATACATAATACAATCATCGAGAGGATATTATGTATAACTGGAAGATTGAGGACGTTAATATGAATACTTAATATATTTGGAAGTACAAAGCATTACATGAGCCATGCTATAATCTATAATATATCCTTCTTTGGAAAACAACCAGTGTATTTGTAATAGTATAACATTTTAAATTTCTGCATAATATTATAATAATTAATCTACTCTATTTACATATAAAAATGTTTTTGTTTTTCTTTTTTTAAGCCTGCTACTCAGCAGGTACCATGTTTTGATCTAGATCTGGCTTAGTATCATCCGGATCCAAGCTCAAGCACTCTGCAAAATAATGTTCCATAGACGAATACACATGCTCTAAGACACCATTCAGATCATGGCCTTCATCAGCATAAGTCTGTAAACAAATTAAATGCAGAGCTTTGTTAAAAATATCATCATAATTTAGTTTTTTTTTGTAATATGAGGGGAATATATATATATATATGTTTTTTTAAGGAATATACGAAATGGATAAATTAAAATGGAATCACCCGTCGCAGACAAATTTAATTAACTCTCGCTTGCTAAAAAATATTATTAGAATTGACTTGCCACACTGGATATTATAATTTACCTGATATCGATATAATATATTTGCTTCTGTTAATGATTTGGCTAGTTGAACACCATGCACATACGGTGCAGTTGAGTCTGCCAAGCCGTGAATCAAAAAGAATGAGTTTGATTTGATTAGGCGAGCTCGTTGCGTTGCATCTGCCTCTACATATCCTTTGTAGTTTTCGGCAGGCATGCCCAATATACGCTCAGTAAACGCAGAGTCTAGAAGTAATTAAAATACATTATATATATATATACATACTAATCTTAAATTGTGATTGTTTCTTACTATAGTAGAGCCAATCTGCGATAGGGGAAATAGATATGCCACACTTGAAGACGTCCTGTTGGGTGCCCAGTACCATTGAGGTCACATAGCCCCCATAGCCCCAACCCCAAATACCAACTCTAGTCTCATCTAAAAAACTTATAGTGTCCAGAAGATATCTGCATAAAAAACATATTTAATTGAGTCCAGGTTTTTTATATTTTCAAATTGTGTACTAACCTCAAAACAGAAATTTGATCCTGAACTTCGACTCCACCCAGATGACGGTAAATAGATTTTTTGCTTTGACCTTTTGCTCCTCGTACATCCAAGCGAACGTAGATAACATCATTTCTGGAGGACATGTATGTACCCCAATCTATTCGAAACTTTTCCGAGACAGACTCGGAGCCTGGTCGACCATTTCTGAAATTAAGAATAATAAGAAAATATTTTAATATTTGGTCAAATGCTGTCCAAGTTGTTTACTACAACATACACTTCAACAACAACTGGAAATGCTGCGTCTCGGAGTTCTTCCCGCCAGCTAGGTGGCAAAAGTAATTGCACTTGGGCTCGGCTACCATGGGGCAATGGAATTTCGAATGACCTTTGAATGGGTAGTGCAAGTTTCTGCAACCTTTCCGTGTAGAAGGGCCGTGTATCATACAATATCTTAACGAGACTGTGGGTTTTCTGCGCGTGCACACCCGAGACGGGTAATCCCGGACCTTGACACTCCAAAATGTAGAAATCAATTCCATAGTTTGTCGCAGTGCCAGTTGTGGGTGTGATGAAGGCATCAAAGTGGGAACAATTCGTATAGTAATACCTGCTACTCCACAGAGCCTCGCCCAGGTCGCAAGTGATGCATTGAGGTTCGCTTCTGTTAATAGAAAGAGACAATAATCATTTAAAAAGTAAGGAATTTTATGAAAAATACTTTACATACTTTCTAGTATCATCATGTACGGGATCCTTAACTGAATATAGATGCCTCTGGCCAGGTTTTTTGTCTTGAGTGGCAAGATAATAAACCACATGATTCGTTGTATCCCAGCACAAGATTTTTAAGACCTTAAATAACAATAACAATTGACTTGACATTGAATAAAGGCTTAAGTTAAAAATCAAATGAATTTACCTCATAGCGGCCATGCGATATCACTGATATCCTTTGCTGTGAAATGGTTATGTGTTTAATATGGGTGAAATGATCATTTCCCGACTCTTGAATCCCTGCGAGCAGTAAGAAACTGTTGCCATCCGGAGCAAACACTGGATGGGGAAAAATATCTAGCCATTCATCTTCAGGAGCACGCTCGGAATGTATCTAAATAATGTACACAAATTAGTATAGCATATTTTCATAAATAAATAAACAAATCTTCACTTACTTCAACGCATGTCCAATTGTGTTCTTTTGAGCATGTTGCGATTATACTATAATTTTGGGAGCGTATCATAAAAACGACAGATACCTGATTATTGCTACCGGATACCCAACTGGCCGATGTTAGATAAAAATCTCTATAATATAAAATAATAATTATTTTTTAAGATACCATAATTATGAAAGTATTATGTTGGCATTTGACTCACTGTCCATTTAAAGAAGGTGGTGGTCTCAATTCCATTTTAGAGATGGATACAAAACTTGTAATGTCGACGATCCACATTTGAACTTCTGGATTGGCAGTGCCTGGCGTTGGGTAACGTACATTTTTCGTTTCAGGAAATGAGCTTCCCGATGTCATACCGCTACCAGCGATTATGGCTCCAGATGCTAACCATGGATATGTCATCATCCCCACATGCGTATCATTAAATAAGGCAAACATAAAGTGACTACCATCCATGGATGACCAAATTGCTTCAGGAATATCAAAAATTTCCTCTAAAATACAAAATGAAAAATTGTGTTATTTTTGCAATTGAGCATTCAAATGGTTGAAAATTGAAAAATACCCTGGTAGAGCCAATCTGGTACTCCATTATATATATGATTTTCATGGCCAGTTGTAGTTATCCTTATATCCTCCTCCATCGATGGCGATTGTCTTACAAATATATCATTGTCAGCTACAATAATGATTGATGTTGTGTTTCCCAGCCAGGACGCATATTGAAGTCGAGTTCGTTGCACCTTCGATGAGTCTTTTAACTTGACCGGCATATGGTGGTCATTATCCACATCATAGATTGTGTAAAACGCAGTAAACGATTTCTGAAATATCTGCAATATCAAGTATTATTTACATATATATTTCAATTTTATAGAAGAAGTCTTTCTCTTTATCGATGCCTTACTTTTTTCACATTATGCCTGAAGAGCACATAGTTAAGATCGTGCGAACACTGATAGCCCCTAACATTTAATTGACGAATGGTGTGATTGGTAACTAAAATATTGATTGAGTTCGTTGTTGTGTCCAATATGGAGAGTCCACCGTCATCGGATTGAAATACATATTTCTTCGTTGTCACCCAGGATGGCTGCAATCGAGTCGGCGTCAACTCTCCTTGTAAATATTCATCGAGAATCATGCGACGACCAGACCAATAAAGGAGTTCGTCCACATACCTAAACAAATATATATATGGAGATTAAGGACAAGAAAATTAAATTAATTTTGAATATAGGCAATTATTATTTAGCATAAGTAATTGCTTATATACGTACCCCAACAAATATATAGCAGTTATAATGCCAGCTATTACAAAACTAATAACTAACAGAGAGAATATAATACTGCGCCAGTTGTGTCCTTCGTCAAGATCCAAGTCTTGGTCTTTTACTTTCGGATCTTGAACCTGTAATGTCTCATCGGGTGGTAGTCTCCATGATCCGCCGCGATCAGAGGCAGCATTGGCGTGCATTTTCTAAGAATCCAAGGGGGACGTTTCAAGCAAAACTAAATTTTTGAATAATTGGAAGTTATGGCAAGTCGAAGTGTGCTTCGGACGGTTTCGGAAGAGAAGAGCTATGCAAAATGGATATAAGAAAATATATAAAAAATGTTAGATACGACTTAGTATAAGATTAAAAATAAACACTTTAATAAAGAATTGAATACTTATTAATAATATATGACAGTCTTATTATTCTTAAGTTTGATTTAAAAAGGAGACTCTAGATTACTTGGACAGTTGGTTTGTACAAGGCATTTAAAATTGCAAACTTACTCACTTTGGCTTTATCATCATGCTGGAATCTTGTTTGTCATCGCTTATTATCGATTCGCGAAAAATGGTCGAGCCAATTTTCTGAAAGAATAATTAAAATAGTTGATAATAAGATGGACAACTGCTTTTACTAAAGATTGTACTGATAAACAATTTATATCTAATAAAAATATATTAGAACTAATTTCTTACCAATATACATTGATGATCTCACGATAATAGCATTTGCTCCTGGGGCCATTCACATAATTTATGTAAAAAACATAACATTGAAATATGTGGACATATTTTTTTTTACATTTCTCCTTCACAAAATTATAAATATAATCACAGCCTCAAGGAATGTGTGCTTTGCAACCTGCAAATAGATTAAACAATTCATAATATACAATTAAAACAATATATGAAATATAATACGTATATATATTGCCATATTGAGGATATTATAATCTCTGCTTAATCTTAATCTTCTTTAATCTTATCCTCATCAGGTATTGATTTATTTTATCTTTTTCATTTGACAAGGTCTCCAATTATTTTAAGCAAATCCGGTTTCAGACACTTTTTATATTGCTGTGTGTAGTAGTTTAACCTTATTGCTTTTATAATCATACTTTTTGAAAATCACAAAGCTCTTCAAGCTGAGACCACACAATGCAAATGCGAAAAGCCTTCATTAGTCCTTAAGGTTAAGTTGGCATTGATTTTTCTTCTTTTTTTCAGTCAGTCTCTCAAGTTGACCCTTCTCACATATCAACCTTTGAATATCGCAACCTTTGAATGCAAAATACATTTATAACTAGTTCTGTGGTGCTCGCTATGCTTTTTTAATGTTAAGTATCAACTATCTATAACACAAAAATACAATTAAGTTCTGCAAGACTGACTTTGTCTTAGTTAATCGCTGGTTCTAGTTTTTAACAGCTCTTAACAGGTGGGCGTTAGAGGGTGTGGCAACTACAAATTTGACAACATATTTCGAGAAGTCAGCAGAAGTATATCGAATTTGAGGCGAAGTGGGCGTGGCAAAAAGTCTAAAAGTCCAAGCGTTTATAAATGATAATTAATTGAATTATTGGAATAAGTAAGTTATGAATGAGTATCATAACTGGGATAAGTAAGCTTGTTGCAGAGAGAAACTTTTGAGCATAAAATTCTCTGTACCCAGGCTAAGCTCTTGGCTCCAGTTCAAATTTCAAAGTCTTAGCCAGTTTGTTGCCATTTTGTAAGAGGCGGAAATGGGCGTGGCAATAAAGAAATGACGCGCTTTCAGGTCGTGAACTTTAATAAATCGATCAAGACGAATGGATAGAAATATAGAATTCTCACTTCTTATTTCAAGTATGTACACAATTAACATTTAATAATATTAAATGAGAAATACATACAAGTGGATAGCTTAAATATATATGTATCTATTTATAGTTGCCCATTTCCAATGAACGTCACAGACATAAATTCAGTGTGCAAACACATATTTTGCATGTTTTGTTTGTAATGCTAATTGGCCAGGAAGCTTCTTTTTGTAATTAAGTATACACGTAAGAGCATTTATAAGGATATATATATATATGTATGTGTGTGTGTGTGTGTGTGTGTGTGCGTGTGTGTGTGTTTGTGTGTGTGTCTTTACATAAGCACTATGAGGTAACAAGAAAAGAAATTGGCAAAAAATAATAGTCGAATACTTTTAGTTAAGGCAACTCAAATCGGACTGAAATCATTAAGAAGTCTGGTAACATAAGACGTGTACACATACATACATGCATATTTACATATACACACACACACACATAAATAATTGTGTATGTGTATGTGTATGCGTATTCAAATTGTTGTTGGTAGTTGGTAGTTGTCCTTTGGGCTCGTTTATCCAAACTTTAGTTTGTTGTTATTCACTTGTTTAATTTTGCATTTGGATTTATTTTTTTTTAAGATTGTGTATAAAATTATCAGTTCATAAAAACAAAACAATTCACAATTTTGTCACTTTTTTATTGTATTTTTTTTTGCTTCCATTTGGTAAAATTATATAAATACCCCAGCTACCGTTATACACATCCGCATGTATTGCTTATAAATTGCCCATTTCAGGTGAGCTTGTTTCATAAATATAACAAAAAAATTACACAAATTTGGTATGCTTGTACCAAGAACGTATATATGTATATATATAAATTATATATATATATATATATATATATATATATGTATATTTGTAGCGGCCTCTTTGCACATAAATTGTGTGTTGTCATGCTTATTGACTATATATTCACATTCAATTTCTTGTCGTTTTATTAACACATACATGCATGCATGCATGTACACACACATACATACATTACATACATACATACATCATGTGTATATGTTATGCATGAATTTCACATAACACCAAGAATATATAAGATTACAGGCAACCCACTCGAATGTTTTCGTACAACATCTATTCAAAGAGTTGTGCATATTTTTCATTTTCTTCTTACAAAATAAAATCACAACCTTCAGAGTGTATATACACATACATACTTTAATGATAGCCAAAAACGCAAACACTGGGTCTCAGTTATGTTTAATGGAAGACCATTACCCAGCGACAGGCAACCCGGGACTGAAACCTACATTCGACTGTTGTTTTAAGAATTGCCAAAAAAAAGAAGAAAGTTTGCCTGCCATCAGATATACTGAGAGGATTTTTATACAGGGCAATGCTGTAAGTACACAGCAAAAACACAATAATTCTATATATTTTTTTTGCAAAAACTTAGAAAGCAATAAGGGTTAGACTCAAACTTTAAGTAAAAATTATGAATAAATATATAAATATTTGTGTATTTTTGATTGCTCTTATTAAATTGTTTAAGTATTAAATATTTCAAACATCTTTATTTTCTGTTAAATTTTAATATTATGTATTTAACAATAGAAGCAATTTTTATTAATTTAACATTATTTATATTTGTATCTAATACATAAACCAGCGACTTTCATGGTTCTCGGATTTTCTGTCAAAAAATAAATCACAATTAAAAGAATTTTTAAATGATGTTCCTAGTCTGTATGTTTTTTAACTACGTATTTGATACACAGCCTCTTATCTCGCTTTCGATAAAATATAAGTATAAAATTTATTTTCTAAATATACCAATAATAATTTTAAAAATAGAATTCGTTGTCATTTTTTAAGTGTAGCAATGTATACTAATAAACCGAAGGGGTGGCTAAAATAGGTTTTTGCACTTATGTGATAATTAGAATTTATAGCAAATGTTTATATTAAGAATATATATGTCTCAATATTATAGATGATAAGCGATTAAATATGCATGTTTATATTTGCATAAGTGCAAGTGTGTTGTCTCACAATTATTTATAATATTATTCAAGTGAAACAAGTGGACAGGCTTTGGGTATTTCTCTCTTAAAGAAAAATAGTGGTTTGCTCTTTACATTTTGGGGTTGTTTTTAACTTGCGATGTACTTGTATTCAATCAGTGCCTATTCAATTGCTCTTACAAGTAAGAGCATATTCAAATATTGTTATTTTATGATTGTTTTCGAGTGCTGCAATTAGTACTGAAGCTATGTGATTTACGAGTATCTTATTTAGTTTAATTATATTTGTACTGCAATTACCTATTGTAATTAGTCTAAGTATTTATTTTTAAAAGTGTCCTTTCCTTTAACATCGCAAGTATTAAGAAAGGTTGTAAAAAAATAACTTTTGCATGGAATTCATCTGCATAAAAACAAATTTACCTCCGTTCGCACAGATTAGTTGAATTGAATTTCAAATAAATTGACTAAATTAAAAATGTGTTATAATTTTAATAACGGACGTAAGCCAAAACTGTTATTAAAATAACGATATCGTATAAACGTTGGTATTTTTAAATCAGTCTATCGATATCAACAGAGGATTCGATTTAAGCATAAATATCGAGCTGCATAAACATACATCGATATTTGTTCAATCATCGTTTACTTATTTGTTATTAGTCAATTTTATTTTAAATATTAAATTTTTGTATTTGTTGGTGATTAATTTACATGGAAACCAATCTAAACTATTCCAAATATGCGCTCATCTCGCGTCAAATTGAGCTGATCTCGTGTGAGCTTCTCCATTCCGATGTGGACTGCAATGTTAACAGCAAATCGTATCCAAATACGCATTCCGAGAAACTGCTGCTGGTCGAACCAGGGGCATTGATAAAAATCATTGGCACTCCCGATGGCAACGAAAGTGATAAAAACATTGTTCAGCTCATAGACTTCAAGAAGAACTCCTCAACAAATAACTTTTACGAATGCAGGACAAGCTACCTGGTCAAAGTGACCGAGGCTCTTTGGCCATATGTGATAAGCATTGTGAATTTGGAGCGACGATTGCGCCTGGCCTGCAACAAGGAACAATGCCTCTGGTTGATTAACTTAAAGGTCGACGATCTTTTGAGTGTCCATGGAGAATTGTTTAAGAAGAAAAATTCATATTTTGATTGCATTCTACGGTACATTGGCCCAGTGCCGGAATTAAATCCAGTTGGTTATTTTTTTGGCTTGGAAATATTGGTGCGTTAAAGTCTCTGCTAAGTATTGTTAATATATTTATAATCTGATATAAAAGACAGAAGAGACTGGGAAATCGATAATTTCGATAAGTGTAAATCGATAAAAAGATAAATCTCATACTTTTAAAGCTAATGCTGGTGACTTCCTTTAAAAATCGGCACTCAACCTCTGCAAGAAATATCAGATTATGTCCGGCAGCAACTTTCTTATCAATTTTTTATATATATTTTTTAGCATCTTAATAATGGTTACTCACCACAAGCCAAGGACATTCCATTCGCAACGAAATATATGCCGTGTGAGCCGAATTTAACGATATTTGCAACAGCTGATTGGATAACTCCCATTCCGAATGAATTGAAAAATAAATTATCTGCAAGAAAATTGATTAACGAAACAATTGAACGGGTCTACACAGCCATTGTGCCAAATGTTCATACCACACAAAAGAAACGACAGCCAACATCCCAGTTTTATGATTCAAGCCCACTAATTGGCCGGAGTCCAGCTAAAGCCGATCTAGATACAATGGCAGAACCCTTGGAAACTGAGGATTGTATGCCAATAGCTGACAAGAGCAAATCCAGCAATAAAGAGTATAAAATAGCTATAGGCAATAATGTGCCGGCATCTGTGGAACGAAAGAGTACAAATCATTTCAATGCAAAGGATTCGACTGGATTTCGAAAGAACAATTTTCATGCTGGTGACACAATGAACATTAAGGATCGGGACATTATCGTCATCAACAAATCGGACATTGAGGAGTCCACCAAGAACGAACATAATGTCATCATTGTTAACAATCCTCAAGAAAAGGAGAATGTTGACTTAGCCGATTTGCTTGGTTCGAATTGGCCAACAAATGCTGGAGGAGCAGCAATGATTTTAAACCGACCAAAAACTACGGACAATAATTTAGAAAAATCGGTAACATCGTCTGGTAATTTTGTAAGGAATAAGGAAGACTTTGCCCAAAAAGTTATTTCACCGGTGGATGTCAAATCTATTGCAAATCCTGGTAAGAACAATGAAGTTGAAATATTCACCATAATTTCAAAATCCAACGAAATAAATAACGTAAATCAATGCAGCCCGATTTGTACCTTGCACATATATATTTAGACTTATTTTGAGTGTATGTAAAACAGCAGCAGTTTTATTTTTAGAATCTGTGCTTCGATGAAAAGTAAATAATAATGTTTTCTATTTATTTTGCACAAACAAATAACTTTACGTTCGAAAAACGTTTACTTGAAAAGTATTGAGCTGAAAAACTGAATATTCTTGCAAGTGTGCTTCAAAATCTTATTCAATCTTTCTTGCGACATAAATGTACATATATATTTATATAAATATAGGCATTGTAAAAATAACTTTTTCGCGCTGTGAACACTATGTATAAAAATATATACATGAACGAAGTATAAATTTTCGCCACAATAATTGTCTATTACTTGAGAGTCGTGTTGTTTTCATTGAATAATCATTGAAAGTATAAGTTTTATTCGATTTTCTATCAGTCATTGGCATTAATATACTAAAATGTACGATATTCCATTGACGGTTTTGGAGTTCAGTGTACAGAATACAGAAAATTGCTTTGAAGGTATGCATCAAAATATTTTCATTCGCATTGAATCATTCTTATTATTTTATTTATTATAAACAATATGATAATGTAAACATTGTGTATATTTTTGCTTTTAGAGATAAACAGTTCAAATTACCAGGAGTTACATGAAATACCTGGAACTAAACTAACGATCGGATCTCTCGTTGAGGTATCGGATTCTGGAATTTGTGCCGATCTATATGGCGTAATACGTTGGATCGGCATAGCGCCGGACTTGCCACACATATTAGTTGGCATCGAAGTGGAAGATGATCCAAACTTAAAGAATCTTACCACATCGGATGGAACTTATAATGGCGTCCGGTAAATGATCTACGTATATCTATCTTAAATTGTTATTTAAACTATAAATATAATAATCTAATCTGAAAACTTTGATTTCTCCTAGATTGTTTCAGTGTCGTGAAGGTGGAGCTATTTTCGTGCCTCCCAATAAATGCACAAATGATCGAAGGTTTGTCGAAACCGAGGGAAATCATTCAGTAAGCGTTATTTCAACTGACACGAATGCAGTTAAATTTGGACATGTTGATTGCCCTCCAGTTTTGGGCGCTGTTGCACCATTAGGTAAGCGAAAAAAGAGGAATTAACTTAAATATGTGTTTTAACATGTGTTTGTTTTCAATCCTCATTTTAGGCATACACAACATCGATGAACTGGAAAATATTTGCGGTAAATTTAAAGGCATCCAGGGACACCACAATTCATGTTATTTGGACGCAACATTGTTTTCCATGTTTACGTTCACGAGCGTATTTGATTCCATTTTATATAGAAGACCAGATGCTCAGGTAAGTCTAATATCACTAATTACTTCGACTTATTAATATTCAATATTATACAATATTCCAGGACATTTCACACTATAGTGCTGTTCAGAACGTTTTACGAGATGAGATTGTTAATCCATTGCGAAAGAATGTTTTTGTTCGTGCGGATCGGGTAATGAAACTACGCAAATTTCTGGATCAGCTTAGTTCTGTGAGCGGCTTGACCAGTGAGGAAAAGGATCCAGAAGAGTTCTTAAACAGTTTGCTGTCTCAAATAATGCGAGTGGAACCATTTTTAAAAGTACGCTAAACTATTTCGATCATAATTTATTGAATTGATATAACTTGAGAGTATATGTGTTTCAGTTAAGCTCTGGACAAGATTCATATTTTTATCAATTGTTTGTGGAGAAAGACGAACGACTTACATTTCCGACGGTCCAGCAGCTATTTGAGCAAAGTTTCCATTCGTCCGACATCAAATTGAAAGAAGTGCCGTCATGTCTTATTATACAAATGCCTCGCTTTGGCAAGAGCTACAAAATGTATTCCCGAATTTTACCATCCCAAGTGCTGGATATTACAGATATAATTGAAGACTGTAAGTTATGAAAAAGTCATCTCTTTAAAACTTTGATTTATTTTTCTATTATTTCTATTAGCACCGCGACAGTGTTCGGTTTGTGGCAAACTGGCTGAATATGAATGTCGTGAATGTTTTGGTTCCTTGCAGGCAGGCTCTGGACTTGAGGGCACAGCCTTTTGTCAAAAATGCCTTAATACGGCCCATATGCATGCTAAAAGGTAAGTTATTAAATACATATTAAGTTCATAAAATATTTTACTTGTGCTTTTTATATTTGCAGAGCTAATCATGAGTCGAAGAAACTGTCTGTGCCAAGGGATTTCAAAGTGATGGCTGATCACATGACTTTGCCCAGACTGTATATGGAATTATTTGCCGTTGTGTGTATAGAAACATCGCATTATGTGGCATTCGTAAAGGCAGGATCAGGACCAGATGCTCCATGGTGTTTCTTTGACTCAATGGCAGATAGAAAAGGTGAAAATCTAAAATCCACTTTCAAAATTGATTCATTATTAAATTTGATGATTTTTATAGGTGAAAAGAATGGATATAATATACCTGAAATGATATCCGTTCGGGAATTGCCTCAATGGCTATCAGATGAGGGCGCTCGAGTAATCAATGAAAGATCAATAAAGGATAAAGTTTTACCTGAACACGCAAAGCGTCTGTTTTGCGATGCCTATATGTGCATGTACCAAAGCACCGATGTTATGATGTATCACTAACGATATGCTTATGATCAGTTATAACAATAAATCATTGCTACATATAATGTAAATGTGACTTTGTTATTGTTTAAGTAATCAGTTCTTAACACCATAATCCAATATTCCAAATTGACAAGTATTTCGTGACGTTTAGACTAAAAATAAGTTCATTATAATCCTGCTGAAGTAGTGTATTTATCAATGCACTTTGTTTTTTATATAATAAAAAAAACTACCACTTTTCACACAACAATTGCTTGCATTAAGATATACGACAAAAACTCTCTTTATATTAATGATCGATCGATTAAGGTGAGGATCTCTCTCTTTCTCCCCGACTTTAGGTGAGCCGAACTTTTGTCATACTAGGGCTGAGCCGAACTTTTCTTTACTCAGCTGTAAGCCCATTCACACGTAGATTTAAAGCTCTCATGGATTGGAGTGCTGCATTTTTCTCTTTGACTGAGCCGAAGTTTTCGCTCACTTGGGCTAAGCCAAACATTTCTCTTACTTAAGCGTAGCCAAAGAAGAGCTCACGGTTAAGCTTAACGTAGAGAGCGAAAAGAAATTAAAAGAAAAATATTTTTTTAATTCAACTTTTCTAAAGAGTTAACTTTAAAATACACACTTCGATAAAAATATTTGCGATATTTGGAAAATAAAAATAAATCCCAAATATGTATTTTATTTAAAATTTGTTTTCCCTAATATTTAAGTTTTGCTCAAATTGATGCACGATTTTTTTGCTGATACGGTTATTTATTGTTATATATATATCTCCCACAGTTAAAGATGAGTTGAAAGAAAAACAATGTTCAACATCAAAGGCAAATTTATTAAAATACGTACTTTACCACAAATTATAATTTGATAATTATGATAGCCTGGCAATTGCCAGAATAATTCTCTTGATAAGTTGAAATAGATAATAACTAAGCTACTAGTAATATACATTATTTCGGACAATAGGTGCAATTTGTTAATTAGTCGTACGTTTTAGTATTTACATAGGTTTTTTTGCATTTTGGGATAGATCTAAACCATTTTTAAATTTTACTTATCAAATAAAAATGAATAATAAAAAGAAACGATTTGTTTTTTTTTGTATATTTTAATTTAAATGAAACCCTTTCTCCTTGGTTGCTGTTAACAATCGATCCTTCATTATATCCTCAGACGGGTAATCAGGCAGCTTCAAATAGTGAACACAAGTGTTCACCGACGGATAGCTTCCTGTGCCAGCGTCCACCTTGCGCACCACCGTCAGTCTGGGATGCAAATTGGCCAATCCACCCGGTGGCAAACTGCTGCAGCCAGTTGTAAATTGCAAAAAGGCTTTGCGCTCAGCGCCCGAGAAGCTCAGCAGAACGTTTACAAAACGCAAAAATCCAGGACTAAAACAAAGAGAAAAAAGAATAATAATTATACAAAAACCAGCATTCGATTTTGGTTAAATTAAACGCACCTATCCTTGGAATAGCCGAGTTTTGGTTCAGTGTACGCCATTAGATCTTCGCGGGTCCATTGCGGATATTGTTCGCCACAAATCATCATTCTGGCCTCGGTTGGATTAAATGCGGCCAGTTTATTTAAAGGAAACACTTCGCAGAAACCATCGTGGAATGCCTGCATCTGCATGGCGATACCATCCTGTAGCATAAAGTTGAGTAGCAATTCGCAATACGCCTCTAAATTATTAATGTCGACTTCGATCGATGCACCATTTGGAATAAGCTCGGCATATGTGTAACCATATACGGATGAGCTGGGTAAATAGGTGAAAGTTAGGGCTAATTCCTCTAGTGATACTTCAATATCATTTTTCGTGCACATCTTCAGATTATTAATTAATTCATCTTTCTCGTCACAGCTCAGACTATCGTCCAATTCAATAGTTTGCTTGCGCATCAGCAGATCTTGTAATTCGATTAGGAATTGATAGCGCGTTGCATCGATCTCTTTGAGGTTCTCAATATTGAGGACGCCGCTAAACCACTTGGATTGGCTGTAATCATCGTTCAAACCCTTCGAATCGCTGCTTGCCAGTCCTTCCGAATCCCTCGACACCACCGAGCTAACAATCAGATCCTTGAAGCGTGCATTGGAACGAAGCTTGATATCATTGCGTGATAGTATTTTATTGTGACAAAGCAATTGGAGGAACGATTTGGAGAGAGGCATGTCCACAAGTCGCATATCCTGCAAAACTTTGGCAATGAAAACGCCAAAGAACCAATAATACTTGGAGACCTGCTCACACAGCTCCGAGTTCTGTGGCAACGGAGCCGGGAACAAACCATTCTCACGCCTATTCACATAATAACCAATCGGTTTCGTTGCATCAGCAATATTGTGAAATTGTGGTGCTGCATCCTGGATGTTAGTCGCCTCCTGATCATCATCACTCAACTCATCGTCGCACAGCCACATGCATAAATCAGAGCGTTGAATCTCTGCAGCAACGAGGGCATAGAACTCCAGTGTCGGTCCCAAGCCAGTGCCTTCCTCATCCAGGAACTCGACTTCGAGCACCGATTTGCGATTGCAATGCGCCTTCATCACTTGAATGGCCCATCTGAGCAGATCCTTGTTGCGCGGCACCTTGACACGTTCGTGCTTCAATCGCCCAACGCGGAAATCATGCTGATCATCGCGGCGTGGACTCATTATGGGTATGCGCTGGCGTTCATTGGTTATGTCACGCTGCGACTGAAGGCAAACAATGCTACGCGATGAGCCAAATGCCGTGCAATTGAAATACAATTGTCGCGTCTCGAATGGGAATAGAAATGGACACGATTGATTCAGATCCTCACACCAATTGGGCAGAGCATTGCTCGAGAGGACGAGTGGATCATGGATCTGTTGTTGCAGCTTATTCGTTATTTTCTTGCTCATAAAGAGCTCAGCTGGTAGACATGTAGGATTCGCTGTTGAGGAAGTGGCGCTCTGCTCATCGCCATCCAATTCATCAGTTTGATTGAGCGCATTGATTTGGGTGAGCAAATCGAGTACATCCTCCACGGAGCACAAGTTATTATCGGTTATGCTTAGGCCGCCATGCACCGGTGAGTTCGGTGACAGTGTCGATGCTCCGCTTCTCGACGAGACACCGGGCGTCTTTTGGCCCTCATCCGATTCAATGTAGGAACCACCGCATTCCAGCACCGTTGGAAATGTCTCGCGATAGACAATAGTGTATGTTGGCTCCCACAATTTGCGAAATTTGTCGTTCTTGTTGAGTTGACTGTTTTGCAGCAGTTCTTGAACGGCACGGAAAATGGTCCACTCACTGTTATCCAGATCGATCTCAACGTCGGGCACTCCACCAACACCAGGACCACGTAGCTTGAGGCCAAGAGTTGTCTGCTCAGAGTTGATTTGACCACTCTGCTGATACGTTTCCGGACTCGAGTCGGGCGGACAAATTTCCAAATCGGTCGTTTGGTTGACATTGGTACGACCCGGTCGAGGATCAAAGGCCGGTATTAGGGCCGAAAATTGTCGTTTCAAAACGTATTCATCATCCCAGGATTTACGCTTGCTGACGCCGGCCAAACGATTCTCCAGCGACTCATCATCCATGAAGGTCAACAGATTGCGTGAGACCATCACCTGCAGCAGAGTATTACCCACCTCTTCGTATTCATCTTCGTTCTCCTCCTCATCATTCTCCTCCTCCATGTCGTCCTCATCCTCCATGTCGCCCAGCAACGTGGGCGCCCGACAGCTTTCCAAAAAGTCCTCCAGCGACACTTGCTCGCTGTCACTCGAAGTGGACGTCAGACTCATGGTCAACGTTGGATTAATCGACGGAGTTGGATGTTGTTGGCTAAGTTTCTTATTGGTCGAATTCGACGATGAATTCTCGCCATTATTCGACGACAGACTCGGATAGCTTTGGGCGGTGCTCAAAAGACCCGAATGGAAATTACTGGACAGTGCCAATTTCACCAGGCTCGTCACCGAATTGGGACCCCGGGCAAAGAAGGAGCTGGCGCCACCCACATTCTGATTGCTGTGCTCGTTCTTGTTGGCGTTCGTATTGTTGGACTGATTCTCCTCGTTGTTGGTGTCCTGCGAGGTGCGACGACGAGCGATCGCCGCAAATGTTTCCAGCAGACCCGTATGGACGGCCACCTCAGATGTGGATGAGACCTCCGACGAGGAAGTGGTCAGATTGGGTACACTGATGCTCATTTGATTGGAGACGGCGGACACAACATCATTCGAAATCTGTGGATTCATAATGTTCTCAATGGAAATGCCCGGATTCTCATCCTGTGGCGGCGTCGATGATTTATCCGCATCGACAGATTCATTCTTCTGGAGATTACCGGGTTGAATCAATACGGAGACCTTTGTGTTCCCCTTGAGGCCGGCTGTTGCCGTGCGCGGTATGTGCAACTCATCCGAGGATAGAATATTGTTGGTATTGTTGCGTATCATGTCGACACCATCGCGCATCTTATCAATGATCTCGTGCGTTTCAGCTGAACCACCACATTGGGATTGAGAATTGCCGCCGCTACCGACGCCACCACCTGCATTCAATTGCTTCAGATTGATCAAGAGACCCTTGGCCACATTGTTGGCATTCATCTTGTTGTTTTCCTCAATGTGTGGAATGCGTTTGGCTGCATGCTGCTTTGACGAGGCAACAGGATTCGCTGCTGCTGCTGTTGCTGCTGATTCGCTTGATTTTAAATCCGTAGATTTCTCCTTGGATATCTCCACAATGGACAAACTCTCCGTAATCGTTGCCAAATCGGAAGCATTGCTCAAATTGATAGCCGGCATTGAGTTATTAATGGTGGACAAATCGGCGATGTGTTGCAACTCCCGAATCAATGGAGATGCCACAACATTTGTTGACGACGACGACGATGATGTTTGATGATCTGCAGCACTCGCGTCCTGACCCTCGCCGCCTGTTGCAGCAGCAGCAGCAGCTGAAGCTGAAGCTGCCACAGCAGCCGCAGCAGCGGCTGCAGCCGCATTCGCCTGATTGTTTGCAATGTGCGACTTGGCCGAGCTGAAAACGTTCTCGGTGATCGTTTCGACGGTTTGCTTCCAGGCCAGATTGTCGGCGGAAACCGTTTGATTGGATGCATCCTCGGGATGATGATTCTTATTGATCTCCGTGGCCTCGGGCAGCGATGGCGTTGAGCTCGATTTACGCGATGTCAGCACATTGGTCTTATCATTCTTCTTGCCACAGCCGACACCAGCACCACCCGACGAGGCGATTGGCAGCATCGAATTGACACCGCCTTCGAATACGGAAACACTTTCCAAATTGGCCAATTTCAGATCGTATTTGCCTTCGGCCCCCATGCGATACGAATTGCGTACACCATGATCCCACTTGACATCGATCCAACCGTTGTGGATTTCACCAGTGATGGTGCCCTCACAGCAACCATCCTGATCATCCCAGCGCCAGTCGACGCCGCGCACAACGCGTGCTCCGCTCGTGATGTGCTTGAGCTGGGCTCGTATCTGACGTCGTTCGCGACGTGTTTTGGCCTCCGCCTCTTTGATGGTCTTGCCAATGTCATCACATACACCAACAACACGGCCATAAATCTCAAATCCACTCAGGCTCAAGTAGTGCGTCTGGCCGGACGCATTGCGTCCATTCTGCTGAATGCGAATGTGACGATATCCCTTCGTATCGTCCGCATTACAAATGATGGGCCACGTTGCCGTGCTGCCCGGCTCAACGAGACTCTTGTCATCCACATGACTGATTAGAGTGGTCCAATTAACGCTGTCCTTCGACGCTTGCAGCAGCCAATTCCTCAACGCTGAGCGACCATAGCCGCGAGCATGACGCAATGTGTATGCCGTGGGCACAATATACACGCCCAAATCGATGGCGAACCAGGCCTTTTTATTGTCCTTGGTGTGACAATTCAATGAGACACCGTCACGCGACAATATATCCTCCAGTTTGCCATAGGGCAGCGTTTTACCCTCCGAGCTGGTCACCTGCACCAGACCGTATTGGGCCGGATTGACCCATTCATAGGTGCGGCCATTGGAGCCAATGTAATATATTAGACCCTCCTCATCGAAATCGAAATTGTGTGTGAAAGTTATGTTCTCCGGCTGCTTGGGTTCGCGCAACTTCTTCAAATACAAAAATGTGGAACGATCCAAATCGTACCACTGTTTGGCCACCATTTTTAGTAGATATTTAGCCAATTGTCCCACTGTTGCTAGCGGTTCGATTTTCAAAGTGCGTCCGGTACGATCAAAGAGGGTACTTTCACACGAAGCACGCTCGAGGCGAAAGCGGAGACGCTTCTGCAGGATTTGCAGGCCGTAGCCAGTGCCGGGTGCATCGTAAAGAAAGACGGGCAACTTCTCCGTACTCTCGAGAACAGCGACCAATTTTTGTATTAGAATACTTGCCGTATTTTTTGGAGTACTCGAAGATGATTCAATGTTGCATTCACCGAAAATGCACTTTTTAAATATATCGATGCGTTCCTTGAGCATTTTATTCGTTTTGCAGCGCGACAAGTGCATTTCCCAATAGTTGTTGGACAGTACGGCAACCAAGGATTGAACGAGACCCGACGAGTGCATCTCATAGGCACTAACAACGCCATCCTCATGGATCAACTGCGACAGGTTGGTCAGTGCCGTGTTAAGGGTTGTCGACCAATTGCTGTTGCCTAAACGTTGCTCCTCGAGGGCCACATTGATCTGCTTAACGATCGCCGTCAGCTTGGCAACTGCTCCGCGCGGTATCACTTGAGCCGTCTTGAAGTATTTATTATAGATTTCCCGAGATACGTTCACCACTTGCACCTTTTGCACATCCGTTTTCGATTTGATGCGTTTCTTCTTCTCCGTTGACCAACCGGATGCAAAATCGGCACCCAATGATGTTTCCGCTGTGAGCGAATGCTTTGTTCCGCGATTGCTTTCGAATATGAATCCCTGCATATCATCCTGCAAGATGGTCACCTGGTGTCCCTCCGTATTGTGGATTTGCAATTGATTCGGCTTATGCGATTGCAGCACCCAATTGCCAACAACCAGCCTCAGCACACACACCGTCGGCAATATGGGCTGCGATGGTGTGCCAGGACTAACGCTGGAGCGAGCACGCACAAGTTTCTCCAAGAACTCACCACGATTTTCTAATAAATAAAACAAAACAAAGAACAATTGCTTAAATTCAATTGGTATTGATATTGTTTTGCTAAACTAATAGTAGTTCTGCTTCTTAAAATGCAAATTATCAATATTTTCACAGCTCATTTTCATTTCGATTCCTTGCACCATTTACTCTTCGATATATCTCCTCACATCCTTTTTTGTACTTTACTTATATATTTTAAGCGGAACAAGTTTATTGTGTAAAAGTTTTAACAAACATTAAATTGCTGAAAATCGTCACCTCTTAAAAATCTTTAAAATTGATTGGTTTCTCATCGAGAATGATTTAAATAATTACAATTGAAACTTCTCCGGATATCAACCTATAAATAGCAGTGTACAAAATGGATCCATGCTAACAAAAAACATGCTGCGAAAAGATTAAAGTTTGTCAAGGCACATTTGAATTAGCCATTGAAGAAATAAATGGACTTGTAGTTTTTGGACATTGATATGTCATTGATTTGGACATGCCAGAAAGGTAACGACTATAAGTACACCGGAGTCAAGTCTCCACAGAATCGTTCTCAATCTCGATCCGATTGATAATTGATTTGAGTTTTGGGAGACTATGATGAAGTCGGTCTTGGAAAGCAAATATCTAATTCTTGTAATCGCATATGTACTTCTTGTCAACTAGAGAATATTGAACTACTTAGCTTATACACTGCTTTAGAACTATTTAGACTAATACTAAATGCTTAAACATCTATTTAGAAGGGGATATTGAAAATAAAGTGCTACTAAAAAAAGTATATTTAGGCAAATATTAAATATATAATATTAAAAACATAGAGATCGCCCGAGCAGGGACTTGAACCCTGGACCCTTGGATTAAAAGTCCAATGCTCTACCGGCTGAGCTACCCGGGCATATTTTTCCTGGATGAAAAGCTATGAATTTTTCCCTACTTTTCACAGGCTCATTTGTGATAATTTTAAAGATTTAATTCTTTTTTATTAATAATTTTATAGCTATCCCATCTTGCAATGTATCTTTATTGTCTTTCCTTTTTAACAAAATTTTAAATATTGTTAAAAATTTTCCTTGTACTCACCTGAGCTATCATTTCCATTTTCTGGGGTGCCACTTGAATACATTGTGGCCAATTTGCCGTCGAGTATAAATCGGAACCAGCCATTGGAGCCATTAGATAGCTCTAATGCCGCCGAATCTGACCAAACATACAAGCAATCTCGGCCACGGCAAATGCTCCAATCCCGCCAATGATAGGGCTTGCCCTGCAAAATCTCCTTAGCGTCCTCGACTAAATCATCTATAAATATAATTATTACTAATTTATTCACATAATTAAAATGTATGCTCGACTCACCTTGTACCGATCTATGCGGCATACAAAGGGCAGCAGCTGCTTTTGACAGATCCTGCGAGCTACCTGCTAGCTGGCTAGCGCTTGCATCCTCGCTGCCGTGATCCATTAAAGCTTGGACTTTGGAAAAGACGCCCAGGCGGGCGAAATGCTCAAGGAACTCCTCTTGTGTCTTGCACATGAGCTCTTCAATAATGTTCAAAATGATTAAGTGACCATCTTCATCATCCTATAATGAAAGCCAGCGATTATGTGTATGTTAATTGATAGACTAATTACTTCAGCCGTAAGTTTTACCTCGCTATCCAATACGCTGGCTATGACTTCGGTCAGCAAGTTGCCAACACTTTGAGCCGATATTGAAGTTGAGGGCTCGTTACACTTCTTGCAGATACTCTTGAGCACTGTGGGATGAGCATATTGCACGATCTTTTTGATCAGACCCAAACTCGCACGCCGCACACTCGTCAGCATCGAGCCCTGAAAGGTGCGACAGAAAATGGGCAATAGTAGTTTCAAATAGACGGGCGCCATTTCCGGATCACCACGTGGCTCAATTAATGTGCACGTCTGTCCATCCTTGTTGGCGGCAAGCAAGTGCCCCGATGACATCCATTCCCCCGGCGATTGTAAAATGGCGGCCACCTCACGATGCCCATCATCGGATCTTTCGCGTGCCTTATCAAGTGGCGTTTTGCCATCCTCATCTCGCAAATCAGGATACGCTCCAAATTTAAGCAGTATCTTTGCTATGCCAGGTCGCCCAAAGCAGGCAGCATAGTGAAGCGACGAGCTCCTTTGTCCCTTGTTCACATCGGCACCCTTCTCACAGAGATATTCAACCATTTCCAATGTGCCAAATGCCGAGGCCCAATTCAACAGGGTCTGCCCAACGTCATCCATGCAATTGACATCGACACCACAAGTTTCGATGGCCTCCTGCAATGCCTCTGTATCCTTGGAGCGTATACAATCGATTAGCTGGCGATGCGTGCGATCTGTGGTAGAATCAGTTCGTTTAGGACGCGGCACCAGCTGTCCCTGATTCGAATTAGCACTGCCCCTATTCAGGGCTTGACGCCCCTCAAAGAGTAGCAGGAGCAGCAGATCTGCAAAGCGCATGCAGTCGAGCACGCAACGTTCATCGCCCTTGAGGGCTCTTTCAATTGCCTCCGGCAACTGAGATCTTAATATGTCGCGCGTTATTGACGACGATCCACGACACAAGGTGGACAACAGCGAAATTGTTGTCGATATCGATTGAGGCGAACGCATTGATTCGCTTGCTGGCAATTTGCCGGTTGTTGCAGTCGTCGTAGTTGCTGCTACTGCTCCGGCTGTTGTGGATCCCGCTCCCGATCCCGATACATTCTCGGTCCTGTCCAAGTTGGGACTTGGTAGTTGTGGTGCATTTAGTTTCGTTGCGGATGTTAGCGGACCGCCCGCATTTTCCAGCCGTTTGAGCAGCTCCGTAACCAAACCGTATTCGGCCAGGGGAGCGGGATCAATCCATTTGCGTGTGAAACGATCCGCAACAGAGGCAAAGCATTTGAGAGCACCATCCGATACCAAAGCATCCTCATGCTGTAATAGGGTGCTCAAGCTTTCAACACAATTATTTATACAGGGTGAATTGGGTTCAACTTTGGTGCAAAGTCGCGAAACGACCGACATTGCCGAATGCAATGTGTCCTTGTGCACTTGAGATCCACAGTCTCGGATAAATGAGAGGACGCAGTTTAGACCGCATCCCTCAAAAACTGCACCGGCTTCGCGGGTGCAAATCAATTCCAAGACTTTAATGCACTGCTCGGCGAGATCGCGCGAGGTTCGCGACGAGAGATCGGCGACGACCAGACGATTGCAGATCGCCTTTATGGCGCCATCGATCGAAACAATTCTACGTGTGCACTCCGCCGACACATCCAGGTAATAGGTTATGGCGCGTGCAGTCACTTCCAGCACATTCTCCGGTGCAAGCTCATCCAAAAATATCTTGCACAAAGCTGGCAAAAAAGTACGCGGAGGACAACTGCAAATAATACAAGATTGCAAAGATTCAATTATTCATAATTCATTTAGGCTCTGTTGAATCGCATTAATTGGAGTTATGTCAATTACCTTTCGAAACAACGATCAACATTATCTGACATCAAGAGAAGCATACACAACTGCTCCAAAGCAATTAACTGCATGTCCCTTTCATCTCCTTGTCCCATGGACAACCATTCCAGCAACGTTTCCGGATCAACGTCGCTCATCTAGAAAAAAATATAATGAAATCTTTGAACGTTGTCTTTTATTGATAAGAATTTAAAATGCTCTAGTGAAGAGAGCTTGACTAGGAGCACGCAAGTCTTTGCCAATCCATAAGAAGTAGAAGTTCATGTGTAATTTGACAAATATGATTTCTGGCTTATTTCTTAACTAATCTTGATCAATAATGTATTGGGGTATATTTAATTCTGAATTGGCTATATCTGTATCTTAAAAACTGTGCATTTATTTGCCACCTGTTATCTTTTTTATAGATGTTTAGGCAACTGCGGAAGTCATCGATAAAATTATACAAACTTGGTATTAACATATAAGAACTTATTTTCTCTTATAATTCTTAAATATCGGTACGTTTATGTTTACAAACAGAGATGGCTAAATCGATTTGGATTTGTATGCTGATCAAAAAATAAATAAATTAATATATATATATATATATGTATATCCTATAATATGCTTCATTTTGCCTGTTATAAACATTTACAGAACTTCATTTTCAGCGAATGCAGTGCATAAAAGCAGCATTTTCTTTATTACTTTGTTACTTAAGAATAATTTTTAGTACCTTTTGTAAAACTTTTTACAATACTTACGTTGTTTTCTTATTTTGTTACAAAGTATTCAAATTGGGGATATTTATATCTGAAAATACAAGAAACACAGATTAGATTATATATATGAAATAAAAAAATATATGTGTACTCCAAAAACAAAACATCTTTCTTTATACGATACACGATACATATACATATATACATATACTTTTTTTTTCGTTTCAATGGTAATTAGAAACAATACGTATATTGCAGTTGGCCATAAGTGAGTTAAAAATCCCCCTCGATCAATATATAAACTTTATCTATTTGTTCCCAGGTCATGGTCATGTTATTCCACGGATATCATAAGCTCAATAATATGTATGGAAAGCGGTAAAACCCAAAAGTCCCAACAAAAACGTATGCATTTTTGTGGCGTTAGTTTCTTGTGCGAAACACAACTAAGTAAACAAAATGATTAAACAAAATTTGTAGTTGGCATCTTTCAACTGCGCAATATTCTTTTGTTTCCAATTTGCATGCTATTTAAGTTCAGGCAGATATCGACAAAATCGATAAAATTACATTTATACAGATATAAATCCACACGCACAGCATGGAAAACAACGAGAGTACAAAAAAACCACGTGAAGAGAAGAAGTCTACTGCAGTTGATGATTTATAAAAATATGTATGATTCAGTTCTACTACGTCTTATTTTCACCACAATCGTAAAATTGTCATAAATGCTGCCCAGGTCAGAAGAGCACTTTCCACACTTTGATGCACAGACAAAGAAAAAAATGGCATCATTTCAATTTGCCTGTAGCAATTACAATCAGCTGTTTAATGATCTTTTCCAATACTTTTTTGTAGGATAAGTTCTTTTGGTTGACAAAATGTAGACGAAGAAATTGCCCTAATATTAATAAGTAATATTCTCATACCCATTTTAGTGCGTGTAAGTCAAAAACGTGGATGTGATTTTTTTCTCTTATTTCGTCTTATACTGTGCACTTGGACCATATAAGTACACACACACATGCACACACACACGTGTACATTAGAGAGGCAATGGAAAAATAAGTACAAATGCATGTGTGCGTATATATGTACGTACATGTTAGCATAAATATATGTATGGATATGTATATGTTATTTGTATATTGTGCGTGGCAATCATTTCAGTACTTCGCATTCTTCGACAGTTTAAATAGCTTATATATTTTTTTCATTATATACATATGCATGTACATACATGCGTAGTAAAATATGAACCTACTTTAATTATTTGGAAAATATACGAATACATATACATGTACATTCTTACATATTGACATACATACAGACTAGTTACATAAAACTTTATAATTGTAATAAGCCCAAATATAAAATTCATTTTACATTTTTTTTTATTTCTCAATTGAACAATTTTATACTACGCACACACATTTATATATATATATATATATTTATATATATAAGTAATTTGGTAATTACCTTTTGCATTATAGAGCGGCACTGCATATCTTCGGCCTAGAATGGTTGTTTAGTTTTACTAAATGCACATCTGCAAATTTTTTTCACGGTTTTATTTTTCAATTATTAAATTTTATAATTTAATATTGCCCAAAATTGAATGTCTATTGAAAACACACACACCCGTACACACATTGATACACAGTTGCAATAACTTTAGGTCAGAGTTGTTAATATTTAATCGATATATCATAAAAGGGACTCTGCAGTCATTTTTATAACAATTTTGATAACAAATGATTTAACAATTTGAAGTGCATTTAGGAACCATCACAGACAGATTAGATCTATAGAGCATTTGTTTTCTGTTAAAGTACTGAGAAATGTTCATGAACAGATTATTTCTTATAATCGATAAAACTGAATCGGCTTCCAACCAAAAAAGTATCGATTCGTTCGGCGAGCATGCAGAGAAAAATCGATATATCGCTGTTCTAATGTGTTTACATCACTACTTTATATTACTTATAATTTGCGAGTGTTCCTCCACGGGTTGAATCTGGAATAAAAAATTAAAAATGGTAAGACGATTTAAAGAGAGTTTAGCTTCCATAAATATGTAATTTTTCAGAAGCTTCTACATTTCTACTAAATTCCAAAACAAACATAATTATGAATAAATTATAAAAAATATGCAATTTTGACTTATTTGCCTTTTACACAAACACACGCAAATGCATTTAACATTCATTTGACCTTTTTGACCAATTATTAACAATTAAAAAGTGGCATAACGATAATATATATATATATATATATATATATATATATAAGTGAAAGAAAAAAAACAATTACAGCCAAGCTGGACTTTATTTGGAGAACGACGATAATATTAGGAGAGGGATGAATTGTTAACGGCATACAAAACAACAATAAAAGTTGTTCTCGTTGTTGAACTGCAATCTTAAAAGCAAAAAAATAATTTAAAGGGCAAAGCTTAAAATAAATCAATACCGGTTCAAGTAACATGCATTCACATATTTTGTTGGTTGGTATAATTGGTTAACGTTTCGCAATAAGCAAAATTGTATTAACATCAAATTACGCATGTTTCCATAATTGATAAAAAACAGAGCGAACTATGATCCCAACATTGCTCAAGTCTAATCAGCAGCAACTGTAAAATACACTATATATATTATAATGTATACCCTGTATTCACAGTTTGGGGCAAATACTTTTAATGAACTTTTTTTTATGCCACAATTTAATTTTGACGATTGAATAATCTGTACATAATTGATTAAACCAAAGCGAACGATGCTCAAATCTAATCAGAAGCAGACTATAAAATATACCATGTGTAGTATTATAATATTATATTATTAGTATTATTATTGTAGTATTATAATATATACCCTACATACACAGTTTGAGCCAAAATAGTTGTTCGAATTTAAATCAAAGTTCATGCATACCATAATTTTATTTTAACGATTGAATAATAATAGATAAGTAATCGATTTTTAATTGTAGAATTACTTATGTGGATCAAGTTTAAATACATTTTCAAGAAATAGAGCAACAGCTCTTACGTGTGTTAAAAACCTGTTAAAAATTCAAGCCATAGTTTGGATAAGCATTTATTTTATTATTCTAATATATCCTCATATATAATAGCAACAGATATATATGTATGATTACGAAAGGTAGTTAATCCTTATGATTTTCTATGTTTCTTTAAATAATTTGAACAGATATAAATTAAGGTTAAATAAGTTGTATTTATTATATAATTATTATAGTATATATATTATTTATAATAATGTTATATTTATTAACGAATTATTGAAATTCTTATACAGGCTGAACCAATTCGTGTTGTTGTCACAGGAGCGGCTGGTCAAATCGCCTACTCTCTGCTCTACATGATTGCACGTGGCGAAGTGTTTGGAAAGGATCAACCCCTGATTCTGCATCTGCTCGATATTCCACCAATGGTTGGAGTGCTCGAGGGTGTCGTCATGGAACTGGCAGATTGTGCATTGCCTTTGTTGCGTCAAGTGGTGCCCACAACGGATCCCCTCGTAGGATTCAAGGATGTTTCCGCCGCATTCCTCGTTGGCGCCATGCCCCGCAAGGAGGGCATGGAACGCAAGGATCTGCTATCCGCCAACGTGAAAATCTTCAAGGTGCAGGGTGAGGCCCTCGACAAGGTGGCCAAGAAGGAGGTGAAAGTGCTCGTCGTTGGTAATCCGGCGAATACGAATGCCTTCGTCTGTGCCAACTATGCACCATCGATTCCACGTGAGAACTTCTCAGCAATGACTCGTCTGGATCAGAATCGTGCATCTGCACAGATTGCCACGAAAATGGGTGTCCCAATTACTAGTGTGAATAACATTATTATTTGGGGTAATCACTCCTCGACTCAATATCCAGATGCTGGCCAGGGCAAAGTGCTCGTCAATGGTCAGTGGAAATCGATTGTTGAGGCCGTTGGTGATAATGCCTTCCTCGAGGGTGCCTTCGTTGAAACGGTGCAGAAGCGTGGAGCTGCTGTGATTGCAGCCCGCAAAATGTCATCGGCCATGTCGGCGGCAAAGGCTGCCTGCGATCATATGCATGACTGGTGGAATGGCACTGCTCCCGGTCAATTTGTATCGATGGGCGTCTTCTCCGATGGCAGCTATGGTTCGCCAAAGGATGTCATCTTCTCATTTCCCGTGGAGATCAAGAACAAGCAATGGAAAATCGTCGGAAATTTGCCCATTAGCGATTTTGCAAAGTCCAAGTTGATCTTGACTGGCAATGAGTTGCAGGAGGAGAAGAATGAGGCGTTGTCTGTGTTGGATTCGAATTGACTGACCGGCAGTGGGGACTCAAAATTGTAAATTAGCTATAGGCCTGATTAATGCGCATTTTTGAGGTAGACTCTTAGAGTAAAAAATGTTTATTTTGTGTTATGCATTTATACAAATTTCATACAATGTTTGTAGATAATATAAATAATAAATATTCCTTGCACGGTAAAATTATATATACATATATATTTTTTTTAATCGGCAAAAACCAAGCCATGCGTTATTTTTACTTCGATTTTTAATATATTTATTTTTTAACTACACTTCAAATCTGGTAAAGTATTTGTTTAACTGGCAGTTACGCGCTCAAGCATTTACCAGCACTGCTGGCCAGTGTGTACACCCATTGGTAAGCAATGGCAAATTAGCTATTTGTTTGCTACTTTCCAAACTAGAAATGATTTAAGTGAAAGTGCACAAAATATTAGGCAAGTATTGTAAGTTAATTTATTTTGAACATATTTGACAAACTTAATTTTTAACTACATCGATAAAATTGAAAGCTCAGCGCTAACTTGACATTATTTCGTATTATTCATTGTTTGTATTTTAGGTATTTTTTGCCGTTCTACACACGGTCATACTAATTCATTATGGCCTTTTTTTAGATGTCCACACAACGAAAATCTATTGTGATATTTAAGCAAAATATTACTTATTTTAAAAAATCATGGAATCTGTTGGAAATAATGACGCCAATCGTGACGAATTAATCATTCAGCAGCAGCGTGAAATTGAAAAAGAGGTAAGAATGCAATACCGTAAAGAAAAGATTGTTGTTCGATTACGATTTCTATTTATTTAATTTCCATTCTACATTTAAAATTCTATGGTTTAAGATCAGTGATTCAACGCCGCTTGTGAGTGGTCAACTGCCGTTGACTTGCCTGCGTGAAGAATACAATGGCGATGAAATATTCACAGAGAAGATTCGTGAATTATCGAAAAAATATAAATTCATTCGACGCACTCGTCCCGACGGCAACTGTTTCTTTCGCGCATTTGCCTATTCGTATTTGGAGTATTTGATTACCAATAACACTGCTTACCAGGAATTCAAAATACTCGCTGAGGCCTCCAAGGACAAACTGGTCCAGCTTGGCTTTCCAAGCTTCACACTGGAAGACTTCCATGAAACTGTAAGTAATTGTGAAAGTCCTTTCTTGTCAATCATTTTGAGTCTTACTTTTTTTGGGTTTCCTAGTTTATGGATGTGATCAAGCGCGTGAATCCCACAAATTCTGAAGAGAATGAAAAGGTTAAAAATGAACTACATACAGTATTCAATGAGCAGGGTTATTCCGATTATGTCGTCGTCTATTTGCGTTTAATCACATCTGGCAAATTGCAAGAGGACGCCGATTTTTATCAAAATTTTATCGAAGGCGATTTCTCAATTGAGGAGTTCCGTCATCAGGAAGTCGAACCGATGTACAAGGAATCGGATCACATACATATCATCGCACTGTGCACAGCGCTCGGAGTTGGTGTGCGAGTCGAGTACCTGGACCGTGGCGAAGGGGATCAGGTCAAAGCCCATGATTTCCCCGAGGGATCGGAGCCAAAGGTTTATCTTATCTATAGGCCCGGCCATTATGACATTTTATATCCAAACTGATGTTGATGTCGACCAACAAGCATGATTGATCTGTATATCTCTCTGTGTGTGTGTGTTGCAACTGTATAATAATGCATAATACTGTTGTAGACCTTTAGTCAAGTAAATAACAAACATACAACCACAACAAAAAAAAAATATATATTATTCCGTAAACTACCTATTTCACGAGAACAATTCTTAATACATTTGAAAATACTGTGCAACAACTTTTGGCAGATTTTGCGTAGATTAACGTGAATCGAAATATCTCAGGTTATTGAAGACTGTTTTGCATAAGTAATTTAATTTCATTATTTGTTTCTTTGGTGTAACTATTTAAGTATATAATCGCCTAATTATAGCGTCCACCATACATATATATATATACCTTAAAATTTCAACACTTCCGCGTATAATATCCAATAATAACAATCTGTTTTTCGCCCTCAACTATTTTAAGCAAATTCTCATTGAATATATTTTTAAACGCGAAAAGGAAAAGTCTGCTTAGCTCTGCTTGGACCAGAAAGTTAGTTGTTAGAGGTCCTGTAAAATGAGAATGGATAACGTAATCTCATTCCGGCAAACACAAAAAATAAACAACATATATGATATACCACTAAAATATTATTATTGTTTGATCATTTCAATTTATTGAATTGGGTTAACAACAAGATCTGTTTGTGTTTGTGTGTAAACCACCTGAATGCAAAAAACAAACATATAAATATAGATAGAGATATACTAGCACTTATCTAAACGTTTGGGTCCATAGAGAAGGACATAAGCGCAATGCCAATCACCGCCACCGGAGAGTCGCAAGATCTGATCGGTGCTGACAGATGTTACATCGTCATCATCAAACTTGAACCAAACATCGCCACTTGAACGCACCCAGGCAACATAATGGCCCGACGAACTGGAGCGACCCTTGTGTGTGAGTACCGCTTTAAGTGTATAATAACCAGAATTGTTGCTGCCCAAGTCGTCGTCGAACGAGAATGGTTCATATTTGCTATCGTCATCGTCATCGTTGTCATCGACTTCCATAGATTGGGCAGTTTTCTTTATCGTCGATTCCACATCAACTTTCTTGTCCTCGTGATCCTTGAATTTGGAACGCATCGGGGACAACTTGTTTTGCAATTCGGGTGTGCACAACTCGTAGGCATCGAAATCAATTGGAAATTTAATATCCTTCAAGACCTTGGCATTGATGCCCTCCTTGCCCTTGTATTGAAATCTAACAAACTGAACCGTAAGATATGCAGGCAGTCGACTCACCAAGTACTACAAAAATTATACAAATTTCATTATCATTGTCGATTTGTATAATTAAGAACTTACAGTTCTGGTATAGTTGGCATTACGACCCAGACTTTCCGAATGCTTAGCCAGCTGCTCTTTCATTCTCTGTACGAAAACAAATTAATTTAAGCAAAAAATACAGCTAATATAAGTACTTTCGAAAATTACCGATTTTAATCCGCTATGCATATACTTCACTTCCATGGATATAAAGCAACTGAGCTGCAAGAAGTTCTCTTTGGAGATTGTGGCCGGCTCATCAGGAGCCTCATCTGCAGTCATTTTCACCTCAAAGGTGCCCCCAAAGAACTGTTCAATAAATGAGCTTAAAGCAAGGAATAAATAAATACAATTTCTACATTTATAAAGATGCTTGGCATACCTATGGTTTTTCTTTTCGACAACGGCGCCATCATCGGAGCTGCCTTGGCTGAGTGGCATTAGTTTCTGCTGCAACATTTTCAATATCTCCGACCAGCATTCGTTGGCATCCTGCTGGCGATAGGTGCCATTTTCGCCGGTCTGTGCGAATTGGGGCGATGCACGATGCAAGGCTTGCAACAGCACAATTGGTGTTATAGTTGTGCCCTTCTCCATTTGGGTAAATACGATTTTCATGGCCGATGATATTGTGAATGCCGACGAAGTCGCATCCGAACCATCGTGTCGGAATTTCTCCAATGCTTTGCGCAATTCAGGAACTGCCCGCAAACACTGAACAGTTGCATTCATATAGCAAGTATTGCCGAGATTGGTCAAACCAGCCGGTACACGCATCTACAAATCACATATAAATATATAATACATTATTAAATATATATATAAAGTTTGACTTACCGCCGTTGCCGCTTCGGCTTCGTTCATATCTTCAATGAATTTAACTGGCACTTGGGGCACTTCTGGCACCTTCTCCTTTGAGCCCAGCAATAAGACTACGGCTCCCTTTTAAAATATGAAAAGTGTCGTATATAGTTTCCTTAGGCATATGCAGTACAACTTACATCCTTTAATTGTAAATTCCATTCATCGTCCTTAAGTATTCCACCTTTGCACATTATTTTTTGGCGTTCCGGTTGGACTCCTGTTAGCGCAAAAAGTTGAGCTTTAAACAATATTGGCTCTTCATCGGTATTCACATCAATGTCCGGATACATTTCACGACCCCATTTCACTTTAACTACAAAAAATCGAGTATAAAATAATAATTATTTTGGATATTTTTTTTTTTATAGAAACTTACCTTTAAAAGACGGCATTTTTCAAACCAAAAACAAAAGATTTTTTAGAATATCAAAGTCATGCAAGTCGAGGTGAAGTTAGAGATGGCAATAATGCCTGTGTTGTGTACATACACACTCAACTATCGATATTTATTTACTAACCATGCAGGGCTACAAGTCCGATTTCACTTCATGAATTTCACAACTTTGTGCCGAAATTTGTTTTTATCGAGCAAATATTAAAAAAGCATATCGGCAAAATACTCAATTGGTACAAAATAAGATAGGAACATGCCAGGAAAAACTTATTTGGATGCGAAAATTTTAGAATATCAAAAGTGACGAATGGCGATAATTTATCCACTTTAACTACTTATAGTTTTATCAAGGTTTGGCATCTAGATTAATACTGCAATTATATTTGGCCAAATCGATTTTCGCTTCAAATTCCTGTAAAAATTCTAACCCAAAAAAATCACTCGGGAAATTTTCAAGTCTTGACAAAAGTAGAAAAACAAATCGTACATCAAACATTATGCTTTTTATTTGTAGTTGTGATTACTATAAATTTTAATAAAATTTATGTATTGAAGATAAGCTATAGGCTAAATAACTGTCTTATTAAGGAATATTTCATGCTCTACCGGGGAATATTTGTTGTGTTGTGGGCCTCGTAGTCCATAACTTCTTCATAGATTAGCTCCTTCCATTGCTCCACGGTATGCTCCCTTTCATCGACGCTGTGATCATATGGCTCTGGAGCGGGCTGTATAAAAACCATATACATATTTTAAACATTTGTCATTTGATTGCATTTAAATGCTACGTGCTAAATGATGATTACTTACAGCATCGACTTCTTCAGCATCGTACCAAACATTGATATATTCATGCTTTAATGCCCTGTCAACTGATATTCGCTGCTCGGGATCAATCACAAGCATCTTGCTGAGAAGGTCCCTTGCCTCGGATGCCTTCCGTCGGCTATTTTGATTGTTATCATTAGGAAACAGACCATCAGGAAAGAGCCTATCAAACGAATATCCAGTATATCGTGGACGATTCTCAACGTAATTACGAACAGTTGGCTGCAAACGCTGCATAAATGATGGGGACGGTGTGCCCAATTGCTCTATAATAATTAATTAATAATAAAATTTAATTATAATCCACAATTTACCATTATTTTTAAAAATCAAAATTTACCAATAATTTTGTTCCATTGATCTATATGATCAGTGCCAGGGAAGAGGACTCCACCTCTTATCATCTCACCCATAATACAACCTACTGACCAAATGTCAACATTTTCAGTATACCCCATTCCCAAAATGACTTCTGGAGCTCTGTAATATCTGGTTACAACATATGGTGTCATCATAAATGTTGTCCCAGCTGTGCGTGCGAGTCCAAAATCCAAAATTTTTAGAGTACAGTCGGCCTTAACAACTATATTGGAAGGTTTTAAATCCTGCGATAAAGGGAAAAAGAGCTTTGTTGTAGGACTCGGAGTTGTAGAATATCCGGATCGGATTTCAGTTGCAATACTTAATCAGATCCAACAAAACAGTTTGTTACAGAATAATACTCAACTCTATGTATAATTCCTGCGGAATGCAAATGCTTGATTCCACACAGCATTTGATAAAGCAAATAAGACATTCTATCATGGTCTAAATCCATTTGAATAACTTGACATAAATTAGCATCCATAAGCTCCATTACAAGGTAAACATCCTGAAATTCCTCTAAATTGCGTTGAGGAGTGAATGCGTTAAGCAAGCCTATTATCTGCAAAAAATAAAAACACCAATTGATTTTTGTATTGATTTTTTCAATTTGTTTTCTTTTTTTTTTTAGTATTAAGATCAACTTACATTTTTGTGATTTACAAGCTTCATTAGCTTGAACTCCCGGTAAGCTCTTTTAGCATGCGTCACATTTTGGAATGGTCGAGATAGCTTTTTAATAGCGACATGTTGCTCGGTTATCGTATCATAGGCAGCACTATAACAAACAAAAAACCAATTTAAATTGCGAATATTTTATTTTATTAAAATTCGCTGTGTTTACTATAAGCCTTCTTCAACTCCAAAATTTAACTTCATAATTCCATCTGCTAGATAATTCAGTATCTTAATAATAATTCATTCACCTTCAACATAATTTCATTCTTAACAATAGTTTATTCAACAGAGAACACCATCGATCATAAGAGAATTACATTGATTATAATCGATAACCCTTCGCTCGTTAGGTCAAGTTCGCTCTCGAATCCGGTTCAGGTTCCCGATGTGATAATTCTTATCCTGTTGGTGTCGGCTCAATTATCCGAACAAAGAACGATCGAAACGATCAAAGCATAAATAAATGAACTAATTGTCAGTGAAGCATGTCTTTGTAGCTCTTGTTTGTTGTATTCTTTATTAATTAGTTTGAACCAACAAATTGCTATTATTTCCAGCAAAGTTTAGAGCTTTGCAATATCAGACAAAACTAGCTACTGTTTGTTCTTTCAACGCAATTCGAATGAGTTTTTTGTTCACTTACCAAACTATTCCTTGTGCGCCAGATCCAATTGGCCTTAATTTGATGTAACGACTAAGTATTGTGAAATTAGTATCGCCCACTTCGACGGTATAGTGATGAGCGGCCATGATCTACACGTTGTATTAATATTGGTGTTAAAAAAGGCTAATGACCATTTCGATCTAAAAAAATATATAAATAAAAATCAAAATTATAGAATTTTCTAGCTGATTAAATATTCAGTATGAACTAAGTGACCAAAACATGCGAAAAACTATTTCTTATTATTTCTATTTATCAATCATAATTTTTTGTAGACAAGAATAGATAAGAATACAGATACAGCCATATTTTTATTTAAAAAACAGGCAGACAGACATTTTGATATGGAGTAAGTCCTTGTATACGTAATATTTTAAATAAATGCCTCTTAAATTGAAAAGAAACTTTCTCCAGCTATGCAAAAATTACGAATGATTTGAGAAATTTGCATTTTTGAAGGGAATTGTGTGGAAGTAAAATCAATAATCAGAAAAAAAATATTTAGTGGTATGTATACATTTAAGCCGCAAACATGTTGAATTGCATTAGTCACAACATTTTCTTGCTAAATTCAATTATTGAATAATACGGAAGAGTTTACTTTTTGTCCGTTTCCGATTTTTGTTTGTCGGCTAATGCAAAATTTTCTATATGTCTGTGTACGTTTGTGTGCGCTTGTGTGTGTGTGTAAATGTTTAAATGTACTCAAAAAATAAAATCGATGTTTCTTTTACATGTGTGTAACATGCACATACACATCACAATTTTTGAAATAGAAAACATATTTATTTATTTATTTTTTCTAAATAAAATGTTTAATAAGTAAATAAATATGCACACATATTTATTTATATATTTGTATCTGCGTACTTCTGTTTATCAGTCATGCATACAGCGACAGACATCTTTGAGATAAAAATGTTTGCATACACACATTACACATTACTTGCACACAGATACATAATTATGTGTGTGTATGCCATGTAATTTTGCACATGTGTAATAATTTTCGGTTTTACGTTTAAATTACGCTAAAATGTACATGCACTTACTATTCTATGCTTGTTTTCTTATTTCAAACGCAAAAGATGTGTCAATTATTCTTGCACATACACCAATAAAACAATAAATATATATTCACCTCTAAGATATATAAGCAAGCCGAAGAATTCGAGTACTGACAAGAAAAAGAAAATCGATTTTAGCACTGACAATATAAAAGTATCGTAATACACTGCACAATAATATTCAGTTGTTTTGTTATTTTATATTATCATATAATCGCAGCTAAGCAATGCGTATATCTAATTAATAAAATGGTTTAAAATTGTTTTATGTACTATAGTGCTTCAACACTATCGAGTCACTTCGACACACTGCCGATGGTATCGATTTTTTGTCTTGGCCACATATCGATAGATTTGAATGGTGCAATATGCTTCCTTTCATGATTTCCGTTTTAAATAATATGAATTTTAAAAGTTTAGAGTAAGCGTTAATATCCAAATTTGTAAACCTGTGAATTTTCTAAAATTTTAATATTTGTGTTTTTGGCGCCGAGGAAATTAATAAACAGCGACAACAATGGTTATCGCCATCTATCGGTGGATCGGTATACTAGGGTGTGGTGATAACGCAATCGACGGATAAATTTAAGCTGAACTAATCTACAAAGTTGGAAATGAGTGATTTGAATTGTCTTATTGAATTTAGCAAGACATATTTATTAATTTTTGTAATTCGGACACTAATTTATTATTATTATTTGGATAAGTAATACATATATATTTACAAAAAGAACAATTTTGTGAACTTATACCTAAATATGTGCAAAAATCATTATCAGCACTAACTCGTTTAAACTTAATCCTACGAATGAATTCGCTCGTTGTACTGCAGCTGGGTGATCTCCTAAATACAAAAAGAGCGCATAAGTTGTTTTAATAAAAAAAGGGTTTAAATCACAACATCCATTTACCATTTAATATGTGAACATTTACTGATTGCGAATTTGCGTTTGACGGCAAGCAAGAATATCTTCCAGAATCAGAAATTTGAGCACGCTGAATTAAAAGATAAGATGTTGTAATGTCACCTTTTTCAGTTATAACTGAAACTCCTCCCCTTGCAGAATCGTAGTTAATCTCCTGAAAGTGTAAGAAATTTATTTATTTTTTGTTAGAACAGAGTCTTTTGTATGAGTAGTTACTACTTCTCGAAATAAAATATCATTTCAATAAATATTCCATTTTAATAATATATTACATTATATTTATAATGGTTTTACATTACCTGATTATTGTGAGTCCAGTGCACCATTAATGGTGGATCTGGCAGATGTTTCACAATACAAGTTAAATTAACTGTTGATCCCAAATCGATGTATAACTCGGGACCACCCGGAATTGTTGTTATTGGCTCTAAAAGAAAAAGGATTTAGAATTGTTACTTAATATTTTCAATGCTGATTAAAGCTCGTTAAGCGAAGAGCAAATTAAATGCAACGGTATTAAAAGCATATTTATATTTGAAGAATCAAAATGATAATTTGCCAGCGTAAACATACCTACAACAGAGAAGATCATTGTATATCCAACTGGAGGTGTCGTGGATACCTGACACTCATAAACTCCGGAATCTCTTATTTGAGGATATTTAATCTTAAATATGTGAAAAAAACAAAAAGTTTCTAAACATTTGAAGCATTTTTTAAATTAAAAAATATGACATAAGTATTTGTTATAATACCCGATATAAGTTAAATATTAAACATTATTACAAGGATTCACGGATACAATATGAAAGCTTTTCATACCTGTAAGGACCAGTCGCCAGTTTGCTTATTGTAAATTGCTGAAAATCTTTGGTCCGATGTGTAAGTGCTCTCAGACACAGTCAAAAGGTGCAAGTCTCTGTGTCGTATCCAAGATACCTTAAATTAACAAATGTTTGGTATTTTTTTATTATAATTATATATTCATGTTATTTATGAACGAACCGTTTTATTGCCGAGATTTTTGATTCTGCAGTTAAGATGACCCGTTTTGCCAACGAGAGAAGTCACGTTTTTTGTGGCAGTTGTGTCAAAATAAGGTCCTCTGTCGAGCGGCCTCATATATTTCATTAGTTGGTCCTCATTAAAACTGAAACCATTAACTTCATCGCCCAACATAAACATGTCCGACATATTTATTTTTGGGTCAAAATGTGTACGTTGACATGCTGTTAATCTATAAAGTACTGCAGTAATTCAATTATGTGATTAATTACCAACCATGAAAGATACATAACATCAAACAATACGGGGATAAAAGTCTTATCACACGACATGTTCTAATTTGAAAAGTTTTCCGAAATATTGTGATAATGACCAACTTACAAATGAACAATATAATTCGAGCACTTCGTGCATCAACCATTTTATGATGTGTGAAAACAAAGTTTTTAGTCAGACATTTAACACGTTTAAATTCGTTTAAGAGTTAAGGAATGTAACTTTTATCGCGAACGTTTTTTTTTTTTTGTACTTTGTTTCCTTCACAAAGGACATGCGCATTGAGCAATAAAAGTGAAAAACAGTGTTTACCTAAAGTCATATCAGTATATATTAGAAAATCCCAAGATAATTGAATAATAAAAATAAAACTATGATCTCAAATATATACATAAGCATTATATATTTCTTCAGATTCAAAACTCTTGTGCAATTACAATACTTTGAGTTTAATAGAACATAATAATTATATATATAAATTAAAAACCAAATAATAATATTAAATCCATAGTTCAGTAACAGGCGATCTTTTTATTTCTTGACAATTCAAAAATCGTATCATACTTTTCAAAAAAATTAACAAGTTATGGGTATTATTTGATATCCCACCGTGTTCTATTCCAGTTGTTTCATATCGCCGCTATCTTACCATCGATCAATCTGTCTTTTGTCACATTTTTCGAATTGCACAGATGTTTTCAAACATTCTTGCTCTGTAGATTTAAGTTTACATAAGTAAATAAATAAAATGAACGTGTTAAGAACGATAAGAAATAACTGGAAGAAAAGTGTATTCTTTTCTTGCATCGTTGGATATGGTGTCTCCACCATAAGTACAAACATACAGTAAGTAAAATGAATATGCATTGCAAATATGAATGAAATTCAATGTTTACATCCTTGCAGAATTAAGCGATATATGACCGATTTATCTACTGATGTTCTCCGTTCGAGTCAAAGTTCAGGAAATACACCGTTAAATGTGCTTGTTGTCATGAATCCGATTGCCAACAAGAAAAAAGCTGAAAATTTGGTAAAGTTTAATTCAAACAAATGAATTCCGCTAAATATTTCATTCACAAAATTTATTTGTGTTTCAGTTCAAAAAATACTGTGAACCCATTCTGCATTTGGCCGGTTTATCGGTTGAAGTGCTGCGCACGAATCACATTGGACACGCCAAAACCTATGTAGAGGAACTGAGCGCGCTGCCCGACGTGATTGTTGTTGCGGGCGGCGATGGCACCAAATCTGAGGTTATTACCGGCCTCCTGCGACGCCAGGGCAAATCGTGTCCGATCGCCTTTCTGAAATTCAAATCATTCAGTTTAACCCGTAACAACGAATTGGATTATGTGAAGGCGATGTCCAATGCTTTAATTCCATTGCTGAAGAATCAATTCAAGTACGAGAGTGTCATCAAATACGATGTGCTCAGTGATCCAACGGACGAGGGAAATGTTAGCAATTTGAAGCCGATCTTTGGATTGAGCAAGTTCTCGTGGGGTCTGTTGAAAGACATTGACACGATGAAGGACAAATATTGGTATCTGGGACCGTTGAAGCATCATATTGCTGCATTCTTCAAATCATTCTCCTCAAGTTCTGACTGGGATCTGGAGACGGAATATGTGTACACGCCGCCATGTCGTGGCTGCAGCAACTGTTGTGTCCAAAAGGAAGCGACTCCGTCAACGGGATTCTTTCTAACCAAACTGGTTAAACCCCAAAATAACAGTAACGATGCAAAACAGATGCAAATCCGAAATGATGACTGTGCCACAGAATTGCATGGAAAGATTACCTCCAATCAGATAAACATTTCACTTGGCGAAAACGAGGATAACTTTACTGTACTGAAAAGTGAATTCATTGATTCGCTACAACCTGGCTGGGAGTTCATTAAGAATATCCCAAATATTACGAATCGGACCATTGAGCCAAATTTTAAACTGAAAAGCAGAACAATCAAACTATATCCATCAGCGAGCACTCCAAATACTTTGTATTCGATCGATGGCGAGGAATATGATCCACGACCCATAAAAGTAACCATTGTTCCCAATGCAATTAAAGTGTTTTGTTGATCTTATTACTGAGTTTTATTATTTTTATATTGTTGTAGCAACTTAATATTAGTATTTGTGGTAGTACTTATTATCAACTCACAGCAAAAATTAACAATTTCCTCCCAAGTCCACAGCTATGTAGAATCATTAATTTATTTCTCTGATGTAATCAGAATTAGTGTTATTTTAATTATATCAACTTAATATTATCAATAGAGCATTACGCATTCACAGCAAAAGTTAACAGCGATTTCCTCCCAAATCCACAACTGAGTGTAATCATCTATATATTTCTCCGACGTAATCAGAATTAGTTTATCGCTAACGTGGATACATGAGCCGGTTTTGCGTCGCAGCACTTTGATGGTGAAAGATTTGGGTTTGCATTTGAAATGACCGTACCAGCATTTCTTGGCAATGCACTCAATCGAACGGATGTAGCGTGGAAAGTAATTCAGCCCCAAGTCAATCCAGTTAATTATCGAGGAGCATTCCCATGGTCGAGTTTTAAATACTTCGGGCTTGCCATGTCCACCGCCGCCGCCGCCTTCGATAAAAATGTTTCTAACGTTTATATCGCGCCTCTTCAATGAAATCTCCTCCTTCTTCTCAAAGTAAGCGAAATGATTCGTCTCCCAGGCGGGAAAACTGCCCAATGAGACAACATTATTGTCGGCATAGAATGGTATATCCAATGGCGATCTCTTCGATCCAAAATTTGACGTTTCTTCCCTCGATCCGCTCTTCGGTGGTTCAATACTCATGTAGCGTGGATTGAACGCTTGTCCCAAGATCATGCTCAATGATTTTTTGGACAGCTCTGCACAATAATCCTGCTGCACGGTGCACAATAATCCCACTGTGCAACATAGTTCGCATATCCAAAACAAGCTGAAATTCTTATGGTATGCAGACACTATACTCATTTTGCTGATCAGTATCGGCGTGCATCTACTTAAAGAAATGAATAGTTATCTTTACTCAACTCCTCAATTTATATATTTGATTTGCTTACCGATTTGTTTTTTTTTTGCGTTTGTATGATATAAATATGTAGTTATTTTCTTAAATGAGCCAAGATCAATGTAATGATATTTGCAGACAAATTAATATTTTTCTTCCTCCTTCTTCCAGTTTATCAATAATATCCTAAGCTTTGTATGCAGCTTACAAAAAAGGAACGAATTGATTTCATTTGCATTCTTAAAAATAGGTATAAATGTTAGGTGTTACAAGACTAATGATACAAGTAACAGGTATAAGGATTATTATAAAAATAGCCAGGTCCATTGGCCTTCAAAATTCTAAAAGATATATATTTGTGTGCCATTAGAAAAAATATAAATTTTTTTTACATTTGTCTTACAATGCTAATTGTAATCAAAATGATAAGAGTCGAGTTCCGATTGCAATTACAATTTAAATTGATTGTCTTAAATACGAATGAATAGTTGTACAGAAAAAATTACAACATGAAAATCTAAGGACTTATAAAATTATAAGTTATTTAATTATCAGCCTCGAAATTTCGTAGTATATAGGTAGACTGCAATAAATTTATTGCAAACATCTGTCTCTTATTTATTAAAATGATTAAATTCATATTAAAAATGTTTTTGGCATTCTCTCAGCTTGACTGCTGTCATAGTAAACACATTAAAATTATTCCTGTAACACGAATTAAATTCAATACATTTTCAGAAGCGGCACATTTAGATGGAAAATGGCTTAAGTGGCATCACTGCTCGAAATGAACCAGTGAACACTGCTGAGTCAGCAGAACAAGCTGTTTTAACTAGTTCATCAAATAAAAGTTCTTTGTTTTGTTATGAGTGGCTCGTCTATTGTGGATTGGATATTAAGAAAGTGAAAAAATGAAGACGGTAGAGAATGATAAAGAAAAATTCCTTTATTGTGTATATTGGAGATAATCAGTTGCTTGTCTTATTTCAGGCCCAACAATCACCTGCTTTACAGTTTATTCTGGATCAGGATGTCAAACTCACGGATCGTTTTGTATCATTTTTGATGCGATTTGCCACATTCAAATCGCTTAAGATTCACTGCAAATTTCTGGAAATATCCTGTGATGGCATAGCTTGGCTGTTCACATGGACTGCCTTCATATGGCTGCTCAGCTCCCAGGAGCTGTACCAAATACAAGCAAATATGCTGATAGGATTAATTTTGGACATTGTTATTGTGGCTGTGATAAAAGCATTTGTGCGTCGTCGACGACCTTCTCCAGTTACGGACTCCTATGCAATTGGCCCGGATAAGTTTAGTTTTCCGTCGGGGCACGCATCGAGGGCGTTCTATGTGCTCACCTTCTTTACCCAACTGCATGCACTGCCCATCATATTCTGGATGCCCATCACTGCCTGGGCCGTCAGCGTTGTCCTCTCCAGACTTGTGCTCAGGCGTCATTTCATTTTGGATGTTTGCGCGGGCGCCTTGATTGGCATTTTGGAGGCGGCATTTCTTGGACTCATTTGGCTAAGTTCGGATTCGGCCAATTATCTAATTGGCTTCTTGTCTGAGGACAAAATCCTTAGTGAAAGTACTTAAATTTAAATATTGTATGTATTGATGAAAGCAACTGTTTTTATTTAATTTAATCACCAAATAACTTTTGTTTTTCGATTTTAAATATTAATATTTGTTATGCCCCAAAAAATATAAGACAATGCATAATCTTCTAATTGTAGAAAGATAGAATTTCAGTAATATTTTATTGAATTTAATTTCACAATTTGCTATTAGCCGAATAATTTGTGATTTATTCTTGGGCTTATTTAAACTTTGGCTGCAGCATCCAAAGCATTTTCCAGATCCTTTATCAAATCGTCGGCGTCCTCAAGGCCGATCGACAAGCGGACCAAAGCATCAGTTATACCCAACGTCTTGCGGTCTTCAACGGGCACCGAGGCGTGTGTCATGATGGAACTAAGAATAAAATAAATAAAATAAAAATATAAATCAAAACATTTTCAAGAAATACAATATTAAATACATAGAACAAATATCATTTGGAACTTACGGCAACTCAGCCAAACTTTCATATCCGCCGAGACTTTCAGCTAATGTGAAATATTTAAGGGCCTTCAAGAACGCCGTAGATTGCTTCAGGGAGCCCTTGATATAGAATGAGAAGACTCCACTGTAACCATATGTCTGCTTGAGAGCGATTGCGTGATGTGGATGTGACTCCAAGCCAGGATGCAGCACTTTCTCAACAAACTGATGGGATTCTAAAAATTTGGCGATTTTAATTGCGCTCTTCTGGTGCTGTTCCATGCGCAACGACAGCGTTTTCAGACTGCGATTCACTTGATAACAATCAAACGGCGACGGAATAATGCCAACCGCTGCAACAAAGATTATCATGCATAAATATTATTTCTAAACAAATATAACATATTGTCTGAACAAACCATTTTGTAGGAACTTCAATCTGCCATACAGATTTTCACAGTTCATTGTAATGCCGCCCATGACAACATCAGTGTGTCCATTCATATACTTTGTCAGGGAATAGCAAACTAAATCAGCACCCAGCTCCAAAGGTCTTTGGAAATACGAGGTCAAAAACGTATTGTCGACGGCAACAATTACATTTCCAATTGAATGACTCAATTTTGTAATAGCTTCAATGTCCGCCACTTTAATAAGCGGATTCGTTGGCGATTCAATCCAAACGAGCTGCAAACATCAATCATGACAATAAAATATAAATAGTTATAGACAGTGACTAAAACTTACCTTTGTCTCTGGCTTGAAGGCAGCTTTCAGCTTATCCAAATTGGTCGCATCCACAAAACTAGCTGTGATTCCCAGACGTGTAGCCACCTGTCTAAAATTGTAATATAATATATTATTTGTATATCATTTTTAAACAGAAATTGTGTAATTAATATCTTACCTGATTAGTCGGTTAGTTCCGCCATATACATCGTCACCCATTATGATGTGATCGCCGCTGTTGAGCATGGTGAGGACAGTCGTAGTTGCACCCAATCCCGACGAAAAAGTCAAACCATACTTGGCATTATCCAGCGCCGCAAGGCATTTCTCCAGCACATTGCGTGTGGGATTTCCACTTCTTGAGTATTCAAAGCCCTAGAAGAGAAATAATAATAATAATAATAAAATATGTATAAATATAGAATATCTTTGACTGACAACAGCTTTAAGAGATGAGTTTTTTTACCAACTGGACGAAATATTTCAAAAGTCACTTAGACAACCTTAGACCCCCCTTGGAGCTGCTTGTGTTTTGAAAACAGATTTTTATAATTTTGGTTAGATAAAATAGAATACTGTAAGTTGGCAATTTTGATTCCGGCTATTTCGCAGATAAGTTCTTGGTTTTTTTTGCTTGTGTTAAACAACTAGTTCTGTTCCTTAACATCCTAATTAATATTAATGGAATCGCATTATTCACATATTAAAAATTAATCAGCTTGCAATTTCAATTGACACTTGAGTTTTTATTGTTGCAAAAAAAAAAAAGAACTTACGTAAATGTCAACTCATTGTTTGTCTTTTACTATAGATTGTGCATATATAAAGTGATGATAAGTCATTTAATCTGCTTATTTTATATGTCACGTAAGAAACAAGCGAAAAATAACACAAACATATCACTACGTAGAAATATATACTTATATAGTATATCAATATCTTAATGATATTATTGCTAAACGATATTGTAAGCCATATGTGTGTATGCCAGATACGATATAGCCGATACGATATAGTCGTATAAGAACTTGTGCAACTTACACGATGTTTACCGGGCTCATCCTGCTTGTAGTTTGTGCTCAACGTGATGGGCGGAATAACACAAGCACTCTTCCACTGCTCGGGATCCTGACCGGCATGGATGGATTTGGTGGCGAAACCCTTTGGCTGAACCTTGAAACTCATATTTGGATGAAGAAGCGATGAACACGCGGCAAACACTTGTTAGACACTACTCGATACATGATTCTGTTCGTCCAATTTGAAATAATAACCCATTCACACGTATTCCAGTTCACGATGAACTGATAAGATCATTGCTGGTCTTTTAGCCTTTTTATCGCTTGAGCTGTAAGCTGCACTGTCAACTATTATAATGTAGATTGTACATTTCTTTATAATATACGATAGTTGGTTTATACCTTAACAAATGCATTCCGCTAAATATTTCATTCACAAAATTTATTTGTGATTCTTTCTAACCAAACTGGTTAAACCCCAAAATAACAGTAACGATGCAAAACAGATGCAAATCCGAAATGATGACTGTGCCACAGAATTGCATGGAAAGATTACCTCCAATCAGATAAACATTTCACTTGGCGAAAACGAGGATAACTTTACTGTACTGAAAAGTGAATTCATTGATTCGCTACAACCTGGCTGGCAGTTCATTAAGAATATCCCAAATATTACGAATCGGACCATTGAGCCAAATTTTAAACTGAAAAGCAGAACAATCAAACTATATCCATCAGCGAGCACTCCAAATACTTTGTATTCGATCGATGGCGAGGAATATGATCCATGACCCATAAAAGTAACCATTGTTCCCAATCCAGTTAATTATCGAGGAGCATTTCCATGGACGAGTTTGAAATACTCCGGGCTTGCCATGCATTTTTTATGTCCAAAAAATATAAGACAATGCATAATATTCAAATTGTAGAAAGAAATAATTTCAGTAATATTTTATTGAATTTAATCTACAAATTTGCAATTAGCCGAATAATTTGTGATTTATTCTTGGGCTTTTTCAAACTTTGGCTGCAGCATCCAAAGCATTTTCCAGATCCTTTATCAAATCGTCGGCGTCCTCAAGGCCGACCGACAAGCGGACCAAAGCATCAGTTATACCCAACGTCTTGCGGTCTTCAACAGGCACCGAGGCGTGTGTCATGATGGAACTAAGAATAAAATAAATAAAATAAAAATATAAATCAAAACATTTTCAAGGAATACAATATTAAATACATAGAACAAATATCATTTGGAACTTACGGCAACTCAGCCAAACTTTCATATCCGCCGAGACTTTCAGCTAATGTGAAATATTTAAGGGCCTTCAAGAACGCCGTAGATTGCTTCAGGGAACCCTTGATATAGAATGAGAAGACTCCACTGTAACCATATGTCTGCTTGAGAGCGATTGCGTGATGTGGATGTGACTCCAAGCCAGGATGCAGCACTTTCTCAACAAACTGATGGGATTCTAAAAATTTGGCGATTTTAATTGCGCTCTTCTGGTGCTGTTCCATGCGCAACGACAGCGTTTTCAGACTGCGATTCACTTGATAACAATCAAACGGCGACGGAATAATGCCAACCGCTGCAACAAAGATTATCATGCATAAATATTATTTCTAAACAAATATAACATATTGTCTGAACAAACCATTTTGTAGGAACTTCAATCTGCCATACAGATTTTCACAGTTCATTGTAATGCCGCCCATGACAACATCAGTGTGTCCATTCATATACTTTGTCAGGGAATAGCAAACTAAATCAGCACCCAGCTCCAAAGGTCTTTGGAAATACGAGGTCAAAAACGTATTGTCGACGGCAACAATTACATTTCCAATTGAATGACTCAATTTTGTAATAGCTTCAATGTCCGCCACTTTAATAAGCGGATTCGTTGGCGATTCAATCCAAACGAGCTGCAAACATCAATCATGACAATAAAATATAAATAGTTATAGACAGTGACTAAAACTTACCTTTGTCTCTGGCTTGAAGGCAGCTTTCAGCTTATCCAAATTGGTCGCATCCACAAAACTAGCTGTGATTCCCAGACGTGTGGCCACCTGTCTAAAATTGTAATAAATATATATTTATATATCATTTTTAAACAGAAATTGTGTAATTGATATCTTACCTGATTAGTCGGTTAGTTCCGCCATATACATCGTCACCCATTATGATGTGATCGCCGCTGTTGAGCATGGTGAGGACAGTCGTAGTTGCACCCAATCCCGACGAAAAAGTCAAACCATACTTGGCATTATCCAGCGCCGCAAGGCATTTCTCCAGCACATTACGTGTGGGATTTCCACTTCTTGAGTATTCAAAGCCCTAGAAGAGAAATAATAATAAAAATATATATAAATATAGAATATCTTTGACTGACAACAGCTTTAAGAGATGAGTTTTGTTACCAACTGGACGAAATATTTCAAAAGTCACTTAGACAACCTTAGACCCCCCTTGGAGCTGCTTGTGTTTTGAAAACAGATTTTTATAATTTTGATTAGATAACATAGAATACTGTAAATTGGCAATTTTGAAAAGTCATCTGGCTATGCCAAAGGTTAACTGATTTCGGCTATTTCGCAGATAAGTGCTTGTTTTTTTTGCTTGTGTTAAACAACTAGTTCTGTTCCTTAACATCCTAATTAATATTAATGGAATCGCATTATTCACATATTAAAAATGAACCAGCTTGACAAGTTTCAATTTCAACTGACAATTGAGCTTTTGTTGTTGCAAATTAATTGCAAATTACCATCAACAATATTATGAAAAGAACTTAAGGAAACGCCAATTCATTGTTTGTCTTTTATTATAGGTTGTGCATAAGTTATTTGATTGTAAATTATTTAATCTGGTTATTTTATATGTCATATAAATACCAATAAGAAAGCTAATATATATTTATATAGATATCAATATCTTAATATTATTGCTTTACGATATTGTAAGCCATATGTGTGTATGCCAGATACGATATAGCCGATACGATATAGGCGTATAAGAACTTGTGCAACTTACACGGTGTTCACCGGGTGCATCCTGCTTGAAGGTTGTGCTCAACGTGATGGGCGGAATAACACAAGCACTCTTCCACTGCTCGGGATCCTGACCGGCATGGATGGATTTGGTGGCGAAACCCTTTGGCTGAACCTTGAAACTCATATTTGGATGAAGAAGCGATGAACACGCGGCAAACACTTGTTAGACACTACTCGATACATGATTCTGTTCGTCCAATTTGAAATAATAACCCATTCACACGTATTCCAGTTCACGATGAACTGATAAGATCATTGCTGGTCTTTTAGCCTTTTTATCGCTTGAGCTGTAAGCTGCACTGTCAACTATTATAATGTAGATTGTACATTTCTTTATAATATACGATAGTTGGTTTATACTTTAATTAACTACGTATTTCAATAATACATTTTAAATAAATTATAATTGGTAAGTAAGCGATAAACAATAGTCATGAACTTACTTCGCTCCGCATTTCAATCGAACTTGTTCAGTTCGATTCGATAACGCAATATTATTCAATCGTAAGAATCCACATGAACATATGTGCATAACATATGCATTTTAAAAGAATTGTTTATTTCTGACACAAATTGGGGGTTTCAAAAAGGTAACCTATTATGATTTAAAGAAACAAAGCGACAAATATTCTTATATAAATTTCTTTGAGTGTATGTATGTTTATTTATGTCTGCAAATACCGGCTTATGCACAGGCAAAATGTGATCTAAAATCAAATGTTTTAGTCTGGTTAATGTTAAATTAAAATTTGATCAAAACAATAATATATTCTTGTATTGTCATTTAAGATAAAGATGCCCCTGGGTGAGCTTATTGGAAGTCTATCGACAAACCCATATTTCGGTGCTGGATTCGGTCTATTTGGCATCGGAGCAAGTGCAGCAATACTGAGAAAGGGACTGCAAGGAGCCGTGATTCTGTTTCGCCGACACATGATGATAACGCTGGAGGTGCCATGCAGAGATAAATCATATCAATGGCTGTTGAAATGGATCACGATCCGAGGCGCCAAGAAGACACAGCACTTAAGTGTGGAGACTTCGTTTTTACAGAATGACAATGGTCAGGTCAAAACAAGCTACGAATTCATACCGAGCATTGGCAAACACCTCTTTCAGTACAAAAACAATTGGATACAAGTGGAGCGGACGCGGGAACAGCAAACACTCGATCTGCACATGGGTGTGCCATGGGAATCCGTAACGCTGACAGCCTTTGGCAATAATAAACAAATCTATTTCGATATCCTTGAGGAAGCACGTCAATTAGCGCTACAAGCGACTGAGGGTAAAACTTTAATGTATACGGCGATGGGCTCGGAATGGCGACCCTTCGGCCATCCACGAAGACGGCGACCAACGACATCCGTAGTTTTGGATCGTGGCATTTCGAAAAGGATTGTTGCCGATTGCAATGATTTCATTGCGAATTCATTGTGGTATACACAGCGCGGAATACCCTATCGACGTGGCTATCTACTATATGGACCACCCGGCTGTGGTAAATCCAGTTTTATAACTGCCTTGGCCGGTGAATTGGAATATGGCATCTGTTTACTAAATCTATCGGAAAGGGGTCTCACCGATGATCGTTTAAATCATCTGTTGAATGTGGCGCCTGAGCAAACAATTATCCTGCTTGAGGACATCGATGCTGCATTTGTTTCCCGTGAAGCGACGCTTCAGCAAAAAACGGCATTCGAAGGCTTGAATCGGATAACATTTAGCGGACTTTTGAATTGTTTGGATGGCGTTGCTTCCACCGAAGCGCGAATCGTTTTTATGACCACCAATTATTTGGATCGCTTGGATCCGGCCTTGATTCGACCGGGTCGCATTGATTTAAAGGAATACATTGGCTATTGTACACAGTATCAGTTGGAAGAGATGTTTAAGAACTTTTTTGGCGATTGTGAAACATCGAAAGCGACAGAATTTGCTGAAAAAATTATTGGCACAAGTCGTCAAGCGAGTCCAGCACAAGTTCAAGGTTTCTTCATGAAACACAAATTGTCCCCGCCACAACAAGTCGTCGACAGTGTCGAAGATATTTGGGAAAATTAGTATAATTTACGGTTAGTGCTAGTTTATTATTATTATTGTTATTCGTCTGGCATAAGCAGTGCCAAAAAAATAAAGTTGCAAATTGAAGAAAATAATCTTGTTATTTTATATGAAGATTTTTGTTTACCTGTAGACAGAAATATGTGTTAAATGTTTTATAGATTTTAACAAACAACCACTATCTTAATATATTTTTAGGCGCATAAGTAACATTTGTCCATAAAACTAAATCTATCCGATTTACATATACATATATATAGTAGTGTACAAAAATAAACTTTCTCACTTCGATTTTGGAATGTATTTTGTTTCCTGATCTTCCTTAGACAATATTTTGATTTCTTCATCTAGCTGTTCATTTGTTGGTCGTAGCATATTCCACGATTGTATTTCGGCCGTGCCAAAGATCTGATAAAATATGTAGGTGACCACCGAAATAATTCCTGAGACTACAAAGAATATTCGCCATTGGTCAATCGAATCCTTCATAAGATAAGGGAACAAATAATTACAATTTTAGCCAATTAAAAGTCAAGTTAAAGAGTTTGGTGTTTACCTCCTTGGTGACTAAGAATCCAGCGGTCAGCGGTGATAGAAATGATGCGGACATATGAATTGTCTGGCAGAAAGCTAATACTGCTCCAGAGTGTCCATAGTTTGGCGCGAGATCTATTATATTAGCCATTGCTCCCGCGTAGGATGCCGTTATAAATATAACTGCTATAAACCAGATTGTCAAGAGAATTATTATATTTTCTATATACCCAATACATAATATAAGCAATCCGGGAATTATTTGCGAAAGCGCCGTAAATAGTTTTCTTACATTAGTCATGCCTAAAATATTATGCAATAACAGTTTATCGGCAATATAGCAAAATAATACCGAGGAAAGATACGAAAATATGAATGGCATTCCCGACAATATCCCATTTGTATCGTACTCAAACTTAAGAATATGTTTCATAAATGTCGGTCCACTAACAATAAACACATAATGTACAAATATTCGACCGAATGTTGTAATTGCAATTGCCCAAACTGGCAAAGATCTAAATATTTGGGCCCACGGCACTTTCATTGTGGATGCCTTCAATACATCCTCACCAACATTGAGCTCAATGTAATTGAGCTCCTCTTTTGTTATACGTGGATGCTCCTGGGGTGTATTGAATGCTAAGGTATACCATAAAATGCACCAGCCAATGCCTAATAGGCCGGTTGTATAGAAGACAAGCGGCCAGCCGAATGTGTTTATGATAAAGCCACAGATGGCATAGGTTAAACCGATCCCGATACTAAATCCTTGAAAGCTTGACATAAAGCGCGAACGTTCCGTCAAAGGTATCCAGTAGCCGACAATTGCGTACATCGCTGGCCATGTTAGGCCTGAAGCAAATCCCTGAATTGAGCGTAAAAATATTACAACTGCATAGTGAACTTCTGCGGCTAACGGCATAAGTAGACTGCATAATGCAGTTGCCAACTGTGACCATCCAAATACGCACTTTGTTCCAAATGCTTGTGTCGCAATTCCGCCAACAACTTGCGATAGAACATAACACCAATAGAATGAGCTTATTATCACAGATTTCACCTTTGATGCATCTTCCTCAGAGGCGCCACCCTACAATGCATTAAGTTCAAATTGATAATTATGATCATTCAGATTGTATTATTATTACTGGAATTTTTTTTACCATATTTAATGAGTAGGAGAAACTAGAGTTATCTTGTTGTGTCTCAGTGCCATTGCGTATCATGGCAACTAAGGCAAAATTCATGTCATTGCGCATCATAAAGGACACCAGGAAACCAGACCACGAAAGAAAATATAAAACTAAACGAGCTGGAATTTTATCTGTAATTGAATTAATTGATGAATATTAATATACAATATATATACAAAAATATATTATGAAATAAATAAATTATTATTGAAATCGCCAACAATATCTTACCGCCTAATCTCGAATGATACGAGATAGATTCAACTGATTTCCTAGGAATCGAATACATTTTTATGCGCCTTCTGTTTCCTCTTCATATATACAAAATTTCTAAAAACAAAGATAATTAAAGTGATTCATATGGATACATTTAAGTGATTTGTAGTTATGCATGTATTTGTATTGTATCTAGTTAACAGCTGATGTTGCACACTATGGAAAAAAACCACAATTAAGCTATGTGCATTCGGATGTAACAGACAGTTGCGGTCATCTCTGGCCTTATATATATTATACGTCAGTAAATATTATTGATTGACAATAAAAGACACGATTCAAGGCAAATCTTGTCGATTTTAATATTCACGTCACTGGATTTTCCGTTATAAATTATTATATTTCCCTAAATATTAGTGTTTTTCCCCCAAAAAAAATACTGTTTTTTTTATATTTTCACTTTGTTGTACCTGATAGAGTTTAATCGATTTGACATCGATAAATTAACGCTCTCGGAATGATAAAAAAAAGAGAGCATAGAAATCAGCTGATCTTTCTAATTTCATCATGCACGCATTTCAAGGATGTGTAACTTTCAAGGTGAAACATTTTCAAATTTATGTTTAACTTGATTTGCATTTCATCATTGTTCACGCAAGCAAAACCTTTGTCACATACATATGTTCATATTGACATACGCAGATATGTACACTTTTACATATATATATATATATATATATACATATATATGTGATCCCCTCTTATAAGATATATATATATATATATATATATATGTGATGACATATATACATACATACCAGATAAATCACATAAATGTATTTTTTCCAAGCTGGCTTTTTCCAATGCGATGCAAACTTAATTTAATTGTAGGATTTTATGTGACGTGTTTAGCGCACTTAGATTCGTACATAGTACTATTTACTATTTACCACTCGAGCAGGTACATGTGTTGTATACACAAACATTTAGTGTGTAATTTATGATTGAACAACCGAGAAGGAGTTGGTATGTTGCACAGCTGTGATGCTGATTTAGCCTTTTTTATACACATCCTAGCTTCTTTTAGTTATGTTGTGCTGCTATGCTCAGTTTGCAAGTACAGCTTTATTATCATACTTTAATGGTACTTACAACAATTATTTAACAAATTAATGCTTTAGAAAATCTTTTATCTTCGATGTTTGTTAACTTTTTAAGCTAAAACTATTTCTAATGCCATTGGTTTGCACTATAAAAATATCGATAGACATCGTATGCTACGGCGCATAAATGTTTAACCACCCCTATAATCTATTATTTATGTTATGTTGCTCATCACTATTCCTGATAATGTGAAACTAATAATTATTTTTAGCCAACATGATCTCGGAATTGATAGCTGTGGCTTTTGCAGCATTATCGCTGAGAGCTATAATATCAATGAACTCATTCTCTGGCTACAACAAAGCGCCTATGTTTGGTGATTACGAGGCACAGCGGCACTGGCAAGAGGTGACAGTAAATTTGCCGGCGAAGCAATGGTACACGAACGGAACACGCAACGATTTACAGTATTGGGGATTGGATTACCCGCCTCTAACTGCATATCACAGTTATCTCGTTGGCCGTACAGCCGAACTGGTGAATAGCAGTTATGTTGAGTTGGACACGAGTCGTGGCATCGAAACAAGGCAACATAAGAGTTTTATGCGCCTCACAGTTTTAGCAGCGGATGCATTTGTTTATATACCAGCGATGATCATTCTGGCCATTTGCATGGAGCTCACCTTTCGCAGAACCAACGCCAACAGGCGGCAATTGTTTGTGCTGCTCGCAATTTATCCCGGCCAAGTGCTGATCGACAATGGACACTTTCAGTATAATAATATATCGCTTGGATTGGCGGCTTTGGCCATCGCTGCGATATTGTATAATAAACACTATGTTGCCGCATTTGCCTTCACGCTAGCATTGAATTACAAGCAAATGGAATTATATCACGCATTGCCATTCTTTGCATACCTTCTCAGTTCAACATTATCACACAAAAGGTATATTATTTGAAACATATTCATTTAGTACCCTTGATGCTGCCCATGATCTGATTGTTCAGCATAATTAATTTATATGTTTATTTCAAAAGGTGTCCAGATTTGTTCTTCATTTATACAATATGCATAGTTTGTGTATGGATAAGGTTTTCAGTTTGCACTTAGATCCGTGGCTTCTTGTCTGGGGTACTTTAAACTTTTAGCTTAGTCACTCTATGTTGTTTTTATAATACAGTTGACTGCTTTTGTGATACCTTAATAATATGTAGAACTCGTCCAGAAAACGTTAAGTATGATAGACAGAGCTAAAAAAAAAAGATCGAAGAATAACCACAGAAATAATTTACTATTTTCTAGTTATCAATGTGGGTTATTGCAATGCGTAGCTGAATACAGGGTATCTTCATGTCGGCCGGCATGAGTCAAAATGAAGCGTGAATGTCGCTTACATAGATGGAAATTGACCATGCGCAATTCAAGTACGCAGTTTATTTGCACTATTAATAATTTGACCTTTCAAAAAGTACCGTATTGAAAGTAAACACATCAATCAATATAATTTAATTTATAGTTACAAGTCAGGAACTAATTACACACAAAAGCCAAGGATATCAAAAAATTAAATATATATATATTAGTTGGAACAGCAACAATGTATTTAAAAACCTTTAAGTCTTAAGTTCAAAATTTACACTTCTTTCCTACAGTTTTAGATCGTTTGCCATTGAGCTGGCGGGAATTGCTAGTATTGTCCTGGGATTGTTTGCGATCTTATGGTTTCCCTGGCTTGGTTCACTTGATGCAACTTTGCAGGTTTTGCACCGTCTCTTTCCAATCGGACGCGGTGTATTTGAGGACAAAGTTGCAAACTTTTGGTGCAGCTTTAATGTCGTTTATAAACTGAAGTAAGCTTTAACTGATATTAATAAGAGATACTAAATAAATGTTAATATATTTTTTGTGCGCTTACAGAAATCATATCTCAAATGACCAAATGGCAATCATTTGTTTAGGCACCACATTATTGGCAGTACTCCCAACGAATATACATCTATTTTTCCGCAGAAGTAAACACACATTCCTGTTAGCTTTATTTAACACGGCTGCAGCGTTTTTCCTGTTTTCGTTTCAAGTATGAATTAAGATTTATGATTGCCAAACATAATCCCTAAAAATGCTTATTTTTCTTGTTGTTTTTCAGGTTCATGAGAAGTCGATCCTGCTGGTTTCATTGCCAGCGATATGTTTATTTCCCTGGTGGCCTAGGGAAATGGTTTGGTTTCTGGAGGTGTCAGTGTTTAGTATGATTCCGCTCTTAAGAAGGGATAACTTGCTAGTTCCAACCATAGCATTAATGATCATATTTCATTTTGCTTTTAAGTGTAGGTATTTTCAGGTCAACAAAAAAATGGAAGATGAAAAGAATTTGTTAAACTCCATCATTAAAATATCGGAAAGTTTAATGGTTAGTATTTTAGTAGGCTTTCTGACGATAGAACCAACTGCCAGGCTTCCAGATATTTGGCCATTAATAATTTCGGTAATAAGTTGTGGACATATTTGTGTCTTCCTGGTCTGGGGATATATTCAACAGTTTTCCAACTTGAGTCTTAACCTTAAATAATTCGACTTTGTTAATATTATTTTGAGTAAAGTAAAAAAAACCACGTTGAGAAGTAAACTATTTATGTAATGTGATGACATTAAGATTTATTGAATGAACCATCAAAACAATTGCACAATGCCATTTTGTAAGCACTATCTTTACATTTTTTATTTGAACAAGTGTGATGGTGACAAAGAAATTTTCTAATGCTATATAAAATGTTTAATTTGATTACCACTATTTCGGTTTTATTTGATCTGGAAAAGTCTGTTGGTACGTAGACAATGAGAGTCGGACTACAATCTGTCGGGCATCGTCATTCCGTCAGGCGCCTCCGCAGGATGACCTTCTTATTGAGTTAGTTTGGAATTGACCGCAGGATTTTAGCTCAGTGAATACTTCTGTGAAGAATGCTGGTTCTGCATTTATTTTTAGCATCTTATTACTTAGTCTGTTGACAATAACCAGACATCTGAAATCAAATTTAAATTATTTAAAAATAATACTTTCTTACCACATAATTTCTACTCAATTTGATTTGTTTGAAAAATGGTTTATATATTCAATAAAAAAATGTGCTCAAAAATGCTGCTCACCTGTCCCAAAAGTGTTCCTTGGAGTCCTCAACTAGAAATGGCTTAAGTGGATAACTAATCTCGTTACCCATATAAGAATACGACAGATACAAACAGGTGAGCACAGATGCTTGAAGATCAGATTCCTTTGTTTCCTCTCCGTTGACAAGTTCGCGTACTAGCATGTATACAAAAACAACGTTTGCTGGATTTATAAATGCTACATCCTGAAATTAAATTCAATTCACTTATCAATATTTTGTGTTTAGAAAAACGGAACTGAATTAGTAAATATAAATAAAAAATTACAAATAAATTAATAAATCAAATTAGAAAGTTCTGAGAGAGCTCGCCAAAAATAAGTATTGGATTCAGTAATCTATTGTATGTAAGTATGTATATATAAAATGCAAGTCTTATGAAAATATGCTTTGCTTGATGACTTTGGTTTTTTCTTATCTGATCTTGATAAACCTTGTACAGTAAATCAATGATATGACATATGAATTGAACATTCAATTAGGAGGCAATATTTTTCGAAATTGTGGCTCTTATTGATATCGAAAATCGCTTCATATCGATATTCATGTAACGGTTGGAGTTATCGATCAAATAAACCTAATCTGCGCCTAGAAGAATTTTCACTCAAAATTGAAGGCCTCTAGCTCAAACATATGTAGATCGACTTGGCTTTTGTTGCTGATCAAGAATATATATATATATATATTAATAGGTCGAATTTACTTTCTTCTAATATTATTTTATATCTATTTTTGTAATTACATATTTTTAATGGTATCAGAAGATAAGAATGCTTGATTGCAAATTGCTCGAATTTCAAATATTTATTTAACAAATACTATATGGTTATAAAACAAAAGTAGAATTCAGGAAGCAATGGAAATTCTATTATATAAGTTAACTCATTTCATTTTATTTCTTGCTTTTTCCCGAACTTTGAAGTAGTTGAATTCCATTATAAATTGAATCATATTTACCTGCCAGCCTTGCAATAACAAGCTTCGATCGACAGCTCTTAGCCACATGACAGCGTCTCCGGGATCAAAATTATTTAATCTTTGGCATCGATAATGTAAAAACAGACCTAAGCATTTCAGGAGCTCTGAAGTAGATGCCTGCAAATGTAAAACTCAATAAATCATAATTCCGATATAGAATCAAGAAGCAATCGAAAAATTACCTGAATAACAGTTTTGCGTGGAATGTGATTCTGATTTGTGTTCTTAAGTTGTATTGAAGATGTTAGCAACTGCTGGGGCAGTGTCAGTGCTAACGGTTGTTTCTGAATTAATTTATTGTGATTTGTTATCGAATTTGTATTATTAACACGGCCCAGTTCCTTGGCAGTTGATGGTTTTTGCGTTTTGGTCGATGGGAAAAACGGAAGTTCCCGAATGACCTGATTTTGATTGCAATGATGCGATTGATGATTCTGATTCTGATTCTGATTCTGGTTCTGATTCTGATGCTGATGATGTTGGTGCTGATGCTCTTCAATATGATTGCAGTGGAGTTGAATGTTTTTATTTTTATCCGATGACGACGAGTAAGAAGCCTCTAAAAGCTGGGCCTTAAAGCATGCTGATGGTAAATTCGCACATTTATTCTTATTTTCAACTTTCTTCTTATTATGCGATGTGGACAGTTTCTTCCACGAGAGTGCATTTATGAACAGCGAATGTTTCTTTAAGCTTTTCTCGATCGAACTCTTCTCCGATATTATGGTTGAGTTCTCGTTGTGAGCATCCAAATCATTGTTAATTGTATCTTTGGATGTATACGTTAGATTGTTAAAGTTGTGCGAGTTGATCTGCGAGTGCATATTAAATTGCACACTTGTATTTTGATGTCCTGAGCCATTCCTGGATATTTGATGGGTAATCGCTTTCTTGTTTTCGCGGTTCTTTGCATTGTTCAATTGCTCATATGAGAAATTATTCAAATGTGAGTCAACTGACCCTGAAGTATCATTTATCTTCTCAGTTTGACTGTCAGCGGATTGATTATATGGAAAATTAGGCTGTGACGAATATACTGGATGTCTATCCCGTGGATTGAAACTTAAAACCGTGCCCATTTTAACTATAAAAATAAAATTATTTATTTATGCATTAAATACTCATATTCATATCAATTCGTTTAAAAACCACAATTTTATATTATGTATTGCAAATTATTGATTATTTTTCACAGCTGCACTTTTATTTGTGTACATACATGTTTATTTAAGAACTGGATTTAAATAAATAAATAATTTTTCAATTTTTTTGGGGAATTGCATTTTCTTTGTAAGAGGGATCAACCAAAATTACCTGAATATGTCAATTAAAAATTCAACTTAATTTATTGATTGATTTCTTAACACACGTGAATTGAAAAGAAGGAATAATTCTTTGGAGTTTTAAAAACTTAAGTAATTTGTATTTGTTCTTAACTTCATAGACTTTTTCTATTTTTTACAATTTTTTTAATGGGATTTATAATATTATTTTACATTTTCTTAAAAGCACATTTAACTAGAAAACTTCTGAAATATTCCTTAAATCGATTTCCTGCAAGCAAAATCACATTCACCAACCCTTAAGTTCCCAACTACTGAGCATGCTCAGTAAGAAAGGAAATTTGTATTTACCCCTATTTTGGCACTTGAAGTCACTTTTATTCGGCTTATATGGGATAATTAGTCCTATGTACGATTCTTAAATACCTATACCTTATTAACAGATGGATAAATAAAAATAATCATGTCCCCATAGATGCCATATTTACTACAATTTATTTGATTTCTGTCCATTTGTGTTGCTGCTATTTACCACACCCTCTTTCAACATAAAAAACAAATTTCCCACTATTTTCAATCTAGGATCACAAAATATAGAAAAGTTATAGGGCTAATGATGATTCGTTTCATAAAAGGGAGGCCATACCTTAATATATTAATAAACTTATATGGTAACTAATAGATGTTTCATACTTTTTTAACAAATATACCAGAAAACTTTAGATATTGTACGTCTTGTCCAGTATATATATAGTATGTAGTTTGTATAATATGGACAATATATTGTCAGGCTTTATTAAAAATAAATAATTAAATTAAATTTAATTAATTAAATTACTTTCTTTTACCCTGGTTTTTTATAAGTTAAGTAAAGATATTTGGAACAGAATTATAGTTATTAATACAAGACAGCGTACGCAGCTGTTGTAAAATGGTTCCTGAGGAGGCGATTTTCAAAAGCGATATGCTCTTAATCTGAATTTGCTTTTTACGTTGATACTCTAGGAAACGCAAAAACAATCCTTAATCGAATTTTAAGGTGAGCCCTTTTAGGTAGTTTCCTTCTGTATTTTTTTATATTAATTAGAAAAATTAAATAAGTCTCTTGCAGCATGTATAAATATTTTTGAAAAGCAGATATGTGTCTGGATAAAATAATATTTTATTTTTAGTAAACTACATTGCAGACATCTGATATTCTCGCTTTATATATATAATATTAAATATAATATTAACGTCTTTTCATGCACATATATCGAAGTGTTTCTTGCAACGGTGCGCCTATCGATAACAATTCCAGCACGATGATATACACTTATGTTCCAGTTCAGCGTTCCAAAATGAATGATAATGAGTTTGTGCTTGTAAAGACTTCAACAGAAATTTAAGCTCAATGGTCTTGTCGATAGGTTTTCCGATATACTTCGAGTTTACCCAGCACTATCACAATTTGATTGTCATCATTCAACAACGCCGAACAACTAAAAGATTTGCAAAATGGTAAGAGCTATGAAATACTTTGTGACAAACATAAGAGACAATATATATGTAAATATTTGCAGTTTCGCAATCAATATGATAGTGATGTCACAGTATGGAGTCCACAGGGTCGCCTGCATCAGGTGGAATACGCCATAGCCGCTGTTAAGCTGGGCACCGCAACGGTCGGCTTAAAAAACAATGATTATGCAGTTCTCGTTGCGCTCTGCAAACCACCATCGGAGCTATCTGCTTCTCAGCGCAAAATAATTGCAATTGATGAGCATTTGGGTATATCGATTGCTGGCATTACGGCCGATGCGCGTGTGCTCAGCAAATATCTGAGGTCCGAGTGCTTGAGCTATAAGCATTCCTATGGTTCAACTTATCCCGTGCCGCGTCTCATCACCACTCTTGGCAATAAAATGCAGACGACAACTCAACGCTACGATCGCCGTCCATATGGTGTCGGTTTACTGCTGGCCGGTTACGATGAGAAGGGACCGCACATCTATAAAGTGGAACCATCCGCGAATTATTTCAACTGCAAGGCAATGACCATTGGATCACGATCACAGAGTGCTCGCACATATCTGGAACGTCATTTGGCCACATTTAACACATGCACCAAGGACGACATCATTTGCCATGGCATTCATGCCATACGCAGCACACTGCCCAATGATGAGCTAAGCAAAGATGACGGTGCATCTCAGTTGGTATAATATATTTATAAATATTCCCCTAGCTATCTGTTAATGCTTGTGTCTTTTAGATGATTACTGTTGCCATTGTTGGCAAAGATCAGCCCTTCAAGGTGCTCACTGATGAGGAGAATCTGTTTTATCTGGACATGGCCAAGAAGCGCGGCGCAACAATGTTATCGAAATCTGGTCGGAATGATGATGATGATGATACTCCACCACCCATTGCCGAAGACAAGCCTGAACCAGCAGGTCCGCGTGATCCTCAAGTGGCAGTCGCTACCATGGAACGTCCTTAATAAATCATCCCCATTTACTATTTCGATGTTTTAATAAAGGTGTCTGAAATATTCTATATACTCTCTGCTTTTGATTTTGATAAGCATTTATGTTTTTTTTTATTACACAAAGTGGCATCATATCGTGGGAAAAGTATAAAATACCCGAAATTAACTGGCCAAATGCTCAATTAGCTGAAGATTGATTAAAAATTACGAGAAATTTATTACAAATATGTAACCAAATTTACTAAAACCTTCAGTTTGCATAAGGGATTTGAGGAAATACAGTTTTTTACACAAGGAGTCATTATATGAGGGAAAAGATTAATATCAGAAACAAATAGCCAATATCTCAATAACCTGAAGTAAGGATTAAGGACTTAAAATTAAAAGAAATTTATTACGGCTTTCATAAAACTTTTGAAGATTTTAATAAAGTTAATCTAAGTTCAATTTAATGGATGATGATTTGATGCAGTTTCGATAAATTCATAGAAATCTTATTTCTTAGATGGGACATTTCTGCATTCAATCAGGGAACAGGTAACAAAATTAAACAAACGAATCTTACTTAAATATTCTCTCTTTGTGTTTATTAAGAATTAGATTTTGTTGAATGCAGCAATATCAACACTTTGCACAAGATCCTCGATTTTCTCGATCTCTTCGGTTAGCCAATCTACGGATACTTTCTCATCCTCCACAACACACGATATTGTTATCTTTTGTATGCCAAATGCAACTGGTACAAATTTTGATGCACCCCAGAGTAAACCATCCCATTGGATTTCACGAATCTTGGCTTCCATTGCTTTTAGGTCGGCTTCATCGTCCCACGGCTTTACATCGAGCAGAATACTCGATTTGGCAATAATGGCAGTTTTCGTTGACTTTTTCTCATTGTACTTGGATAGACGTTCCTCCCTTATCCTCTGTTTCTCAGCATCCTCCTCCTCGCTGTCCGAGGCAAATAAGTCAACATCATCATCATCATCATCAGCAGCTGCTGCGTTATTATTGCCATTGCTTGTTTCTACTTTTTGTACCGAAGCAGCAGAAGACGTTGTATTGTTGTTATTCTCAATTAGCGTTATTTTTTTCAAAATTGCTTGATAAAGCTCTTTTATTTCCTTGTTCTCAGCTTCCAGTATTGCAAGTCGGCTTAAAATTCCCGAATTCGAGCAAGGCTCAAATGTAATATCATCAATCTGGAAAACGAATAATATCGTAAATTAATATCAACAGTGGAATATATTTAAGTTTAAATATAGTATACAGTGTTTGTTTATTTATTTAATGTCAACTAAAGTCAGTCGACACAAAAAAAAAATACATTAAGAAACAGATTACATTAAATTTAAATAAAAAGTAAATATTTAAGGATTTTTAAATGCAAAACATTTGTTGCATTGATTGGGAAAAGTCCGGGGAAAAAACAATTAAACCAATTTAAAATTGAGTTCTTAATGATAGACATATAGAAGACCGATGAATTGGTTATATGATAGAGTCTATCGTAATCATTACAGAGTACTCGAAACGGTTCATGCAAGCAATAATAATGGTAATTAAGATTTTGACAAAATTAACTGCCTCTCAGCTATATTTGAATATTATCTTTATTTATATTTTTTAATTGGTTGCAACTCACCTTCTCAAGTGAACTTTGTATATCCTCTCTGGCTTTCGCAATTTCCGTCACTAAAAGACTGCAATTGTTCGACTGGGTTCCCTAAAAAATAAAGCAAGGAAAATGTAATTTCCTGTAATAATAACTTAACTATATATTTAAATTACATGCAGTATTTATTTAAGACACATTTTTCTAAACTAATTGCCGGCTTTCAATCGTAACTCGAGTTGTGCAAAGGAATGCAGCTTTTTTAGGTTAGGTCGCTTGGCCTTCGCCCTTCGCAGCCAACTTGGCATAGCGTCCTCTATATACATACATATATATATACAACGATTTATCCAGTCTGCCCGATCATTAAAAGGTCGTTAAACTACTAATTTTACTGTGATTGCATTTTGTGACGTAAGTAATGCAGGCACATGTGCATTCTTGCACAAATTTATGAACATTCACACGCACATGCAGTAATTTGTATGCACATTTTTTAAGTGAATTAAGCTTAAATGTATATATATATATATATTTAACATATATGTATTCTTATATGCACTTACTTTGCACAACCATTCTTGGTATAATTTTTCTGCTTTGTTGTAACAAGCTTTATCAGTCCAAACTTTATCCATATTTTTAGCAACGTCCATTTCAGCAGGCTTGTTGAATCTGTAGCAATGTGTCAATACACTTATATCGATGAAAATATATTTCTGGTACTACATGTCGATAACATCGTATCAATATATATGTGCGATATTTTACAACAAAATAATCGTGTAAGTGATGACAGCGATATTTAGTTGATTGTATTAAACTATACACATAGAAAATAAAATGGCAGATGCTCATAAGCTAATTGGCTTCATTTACCTAAGTCAAATATTAATCATGAGCTTTTCCATCATTTCTAAATGCTTGCAGTGAGCATTAACATTTTTTCCTACATAAGAATTAGCTTTCTTCTGTATAAGAGTTGGTTGCTCCACAAATTAAAACGGCCAGATCTGAGAAAAAAGGCTAAATTGTCACCGCTACTGCAGACTGAAAGAACTTGTGAACATTTTTGGTTCAGCCAGCAAGTTCGGCATTCTCGAAATGAACTAATTTATCACATATACATTCAACATTACGTGTCACAAAATATTAAAATGATAAAAATGTGGATTTTATATCATGTGGCAATAGCATATTTAATCTTAAATGTAACCCATGCAGAGATAATCAACAAGAATGTGGAAAGAACTTTGGATTTAACGTCGCAGCTGGCAAAGACCACATATAAAATTTCCGTGGAAGACACAGCCGGCAAAGCACTCAAAGACTATGTGTTTGTTGTAAAAGAGCCGAATTTATCATTCATTTCGGTCAAGGATGGGTTTAGCAACAAAGTGAAGTATGAGGAGAAAAAAGGACTGGCAAATGATCAGACCGAATTTAAGTTAACATTTGCCTCAGTTTCGCCGCAACAAAATTTGGTTATTGAAACAGTGTCTACCAAAAATATACTGCCACATCCAGCAGAAATCAAACAGAACGACAAACAATTGGTTAAATTTGTGGGCGGTCTCTATTTGTACTCCAAATACTCAACGAATACACAAAAAACGAATGTTATGCTCAGTTCATCGAATATATTATCGCACACACAGGCAAAACCATATTCCGTGTCGTCGAATAAATTGGCATTTGGACCGTATGAAAATATTGCACGTGAGTTTTAAAGATTCTTTAATATCTTTTTTATACTCATACATTTTTTCTGATTCTCTTTTAGCATTATCTGAGGACGAACTTGTCATCCACTATGAGAATCAATCGCCCTTCTTGACCGTGAACTCTTTGGATCGCAGCATCGAAGTATCGCATTGGGGAAATATTGCTGTCAAGGAATCTATTGAAATGACCCACACGGGAGCCAAGCTAAAGGGTTCTTTTTCGCGTTATGATTTCCAGAAGGATGGCCGTTCTGGTCAATCGGCTGTCAAGTCATACAAAACCTATTTGCCCGCATCCGCATCTGGGGTGTATTATCGCGACACCAATGGCAACATTTCCACATCGAATATGCATTTTATGCGCGACTTTGTCGATCTGGAATTGCGTCCGCGATTTCCGCTCTTTGGCGGCTGGAAAACCCAATACACTCTCGGCTATAATGTACCCTCCTACGAATATCTATTCAGTTCGGGCAATAATTATGTGTTGAAAATGCATCTGATTGATCATATCCATGATAATATGTCCATTGAGAAAGCTGTTGTAACTGTCATTTTGCCCGAAGGCTCTGCGAATATTGAGCTGATAACGCCATATAGCATAAAGCGGCATCAAAACGATCTAATTTACACCTATTTGGATACCGTGGGACGACCCGTTATTACCTTCTCCAAACAAAATTTGGTTGAGAATCACATTTCGGAATTCACTCTGAAGTACACATTTTCCAAGGTGTCTTTGCTGCAAGAACCACTGCTAGTTATTGGCTTTATTTATATGATATTTATATTCACCATTGTCCTTCTGCGCTTGGACTTCTCGATCACATACCATTCCCACAAGGAATAGGACGGCGGGTTTCGCTCAGTTTTTGTGATCATCTCTAAAGTGAATCTTTCAATTGAACGAGAAGCAAATAAATAGCAAGATTACAATAATTCCATTTTGTGTTTATTATGCACACCATTTGTATGTTTCATAATAAATAAAAGGCAAAGTCTTCACCTATAACTCAGCATTATTTATAACACAATATTTCCTTTGCAGCAAAGCAACTTGAAAACCTTTTGAATTTTTAAGATTTATCATGCACTTTGATTACACTTGAAAAACAAAAGAATTTCTTATTGATAACCATATATAATTGTTAGTACATAACTTTAGTGCAATACGCCCCAACATGGTGTGGTGATTAAGAAGTAATCTCATGAGATCTGCTATGGTACCAAACCAGAAGAACGGGTCAGCGGGAGAAAGATATTATAGGAATTGAATAGAGATTGGTTTTTTAATGAATTGATGTTTCTTATCTCTATACTATGTTATTGTATAATCAGCATCTGATGGCAGATGCCGTGCACTATTTTGACAATCTAATATTATTAAATTAAAGAGCAATATTTATTTTTTGAATATTTCAACATTGCGAAATATGCAATTTAATAGTTGTAAGCCAAGCGATAAAAATACATGGAACTGTCAAAGGAAAAATCGCATCGCCTTTATCGACTAGCCTCCACAATGTCTGCCTTACGACTGCCGAAATTGAGAGCACAGAAATTAAACGCCCTGCCACCGAGAGATCACCCTGTACTGCGCTTGCCTCCCTCTTTGTGGCATAAGATAAACAGCGTCGCACCTAAACACTACTGACGTAATTGGGCGTGACTTGCAGTTGCTATTTTGACGATCGTGCATGATACTGCAAGAGGCACTACGCGAACAAAGTGAAGTACTACGTAGCTCTTATCGATTAACTTTTGATGAATCGCTATTTGCGATTCGATTCACATTCGTTGAGCTGCTATAATCTAATATTTCTACAGGATCTTAGGAGGGAAATAAGGAAATGAAAGGAGGTAGCTCGTTAATAAAGCAGAAGCAGAGCGATCATTAATATCGTTTGAAGAATGCAAGATTCTTGAGTCCGCCAATATTGCATAGCCGAATCATTGTCAAAGACATAATGTATGATACCCCATTTGGTGCGCAGCACTAATTGTTCCAGTTCCGAGTCGCTAACGCCATCCCTGTCCAGCACACATTCATGCATGAGATCATCGGGCAACTGTACATGAAATGGAAAACAAAATATCTTCGCTGATTTGAGTTTAACGGTCCGCTTGCCACCAACGCCATGCCAGCAGACGTATTTGTTGACCTCGATCAGTTGAATGCTATCGCATTCGTGCAATTCTGACTCTTTTAGGGCGGCCATC